GTACTGCCTGCACCGTCTATACCACCTGCACTGCCTGCACCGCGCTGCCTGTACTGCCTGCACCGTCTATACCACCTGCACTGCCTGCACCGCGCACACCTACACCACCTGCACTCACTGTTGCCAAGTCATCGTCATGCCTCTGCTGTCATCAAGAAACTCCACATCGTATTGCGCGAGCAAACTAATCTAGGTGTTGACGACTCTACAGTCGTAAACTAGTGTAAAGAAATGCCGGGGTATTTGTCCTTGCTCTTCAAAAAAGTAAAATAAAAAAAATAAACGCCTTGCTCGACTCGGCCATCGCTGGCTCTCTGCATGCCCGAGCTGTTCCCCGTCTAGTACGCAAAATCGCCCAAAAATGTCCGCCCATTACAATGTCGCTGGAAGTACTGAGACCAAGGTGTAAACGCCGTGTGAATGCAAGGCTCCAAAGTGTCCGGAGAGAGCCGTCGTGTGTTGTTGTCTATGAAGACCCGTGTTGTTGTCTGTAAAGACCCGTTGTGCTGTTGTATGTAAAGACCCGTTGTGTTGTTGTCTGTAAAGACCCGTTGTGTTGTTGTCTGTAAAGACCCGTCGTGCTGTTGTCCATCGAGACCCGTGTTGTTGTCTGTAAAGACCCGTTGGGCTGTTGTCTGTAAAGACCCGTCGTGCTGCTGTCCATGTTCCTGAATCCGAGAAACGCCGTGGAATATTTGCAAGTCGTGTGCGCCGTAATGGTTCCCACAGCTCTACTTGGAGAACCGTCTCTGCCTCCTCGTCCGGGTAGCGTCTACTTACGGAGAACCATCTCCGCCTCCTCGTCCGGCGTCAGCGTGGCCACCGACTCCGCGTCAGACGCGCAGTCAACCAGCGCCTCCTCGTCGTCTTGGCGGATCGTGGGCTTGTTCGACTCCTTGAGCATCGCCCCAGGGAGCCATCCAACGAGCGCAATGCTGGCAACCGCCCACCACGCCAGGCCAGACATGTGGTGGCTGCCGCCCCAGCTGTCGACTGCCCCGGAAATCGTAGGTCCGAATCCGCGGCACACGCTGGCCGAAGACGCTGCCGCGCCGTTCAAAGTCCCCAGCACCCGTTTGGACGGGGACGAGTTGGCCAGGATAATCGCCAGAGATGGGTACGAGAGCGACTGGAACGTGACCTTGCCGAGGAGCAAGAAAATAAGTCCGGGGATGCGAAGCTTCTCGGGGAGGAGAGCGAGGTAGGGAGCCAGCACGTAGAGAACCGGGTACAGGCACATGGTGATCCAGAAGGTCCGCAGGCTTCCGAGCTTCTTGCTGAGCCAGGGGAAGAGGAAGAGCTGCGCCACCATCTGCATCGCGCCCTGCATCGCAAGGAAAGCGCCAATGTTCTGCGTCTGCCATTCGAACCCACCCTCGAACATGAATGGGAGGTTGGCTGTGCCTGGCACGTATGCCGCCTTGGACATGAGAATTGGGAGGAGCTGCTCCAGAGAAATTGTGTGGCTAGCCGCAAGTTAGATGTCGCACTGCGTCAGGAGACTGAAGGAAAACCTACAAAGCGAGAATGCCGTAGCACAAGATGACCAGGCAGACCTGCTTGGTGAACGCGTGTCGTACAGGCGGCGCCGGCGCCTTTTCCTGGTCCAAACAAAACGCGGGTGGCTCGGACAGGGATGTACGAGTACTGCATAGTGTCGGCGAGCTGTCGGTGCTCCGGTACACATGCGTGCGAACGTCGTGGCCCTCCAACATGCATGTCATCTCGTCAAGCGATGCATCTTTGTCGTTGAAAGACGCCTCTTGCTCCGACCTCCGAATCTTGCGCAGCAGCCACTTGCCGGCTTCGACACCGCGGTCCTCATCGTACTTCTTGTCCTCGTGCGTTTCCTGCAGGAACAGAATACCGACTGCGAGTCCAAGAACGACGACTAGGGCACAGACAACATTCGGCAAGAGGAACGGGTGCGTTTCAAAGACAGTGCCCTTGAAGAAATCGTATGTCTGCGCAGGTTGCGCGAGAACTCCGCCAAGGGAGCCGCCAATGATGGTGCTGTAAAAAGGCGGTTAGTGGGCTGCAGGACCATACTACGGAGAGGAATCATTACCCAAGGCACCATACAAAAGGCATGATGGAATAAGCGCGCGCTATGAAAGTCAGTCGACGATCCCTGTAAACTTTGGGCGTTAGAGTAAACTTACGCTGGTGCCTCTCGTCCGTAATCAGCTCAGCGACGGTTGTTTGGAGGACGCCGATGTTCCTGCATGTCGGTTAGCGGAAGGTCAGGCCCTAGCGCAAGCGATGACCTCACCCGTTGAGAAGGCCACCAAGAGCCCGAGCGAACAAAGCCACTGGCAGGCTTCCGGCGACACCAAAAAGAAGCATGCTCAAACCGGTGCCAAACATGCCTCCAAGGAGCACCTTCTTGCGCCCAATCCTGTCGCTCAGTCGGCCCCAGAAGATGCCACTGACACACTCCATGAATGCAAATGCCGATGTGACCATGCCCGTGTACATGGCTGCTTCGCCTTCGCTGTAGCCGAATGACTTGACCATCTGAAACGCGTATGGGAAAATGGACATGAAGGCAATGGGTTCGCATATCCGGCAGAGCGCTACGTTTGTTAGACCAATTGCTTGGAGCAATCACAAAGGACCACCACTCACCCAAGATAGCCATCTGCTGAACTGGGAAAGGCGCCTTGCCTCTGCTCGTGGCGGATAGTCCGCCGAATCGAGCCATTGCTGTCGTATGGGTGTGATATGCGTGAAGGGAAGATGTGCTGTTGTTACGGTCCGAGGAAAGCGTTGGTCGATGTCTGGGCGTGTTGTAGCAGGTGAGACATGTGCGGGTTGGTGTGAGTTGATACCTCCAGGGTAGAGAGGAAGAGTTCAAGTCAAGGTGGGTGCAAGCGTCTCAGAGTATATAGGGCAGAGCAAGATTTAAGTGGCGTCGTGAAGCGGATGGGCCGCTGGGGCGTGCAGGGATTAGGGCAGCGGGGAGGAAACGGAGAAACAGGCGGTGATTGTTGTGGATATGGATACGTAGTCTGGGCGGATAGGGACAGCGGAAGGACCAGCGAACGTGAAATGAAAGCGGAGCCGCGATGCCATGGCTCAACGCGCACAACATACAGTTTGCCGATAGACGTCCACAGAAACGCTGTGCTTGCAGCCACTCTGCTGCTAGCCTCACGTCAATTGCGACCCCAGGTCACCGGACGAAATGGGTGACTTTGTGCCCGAAAACAACAGCGGAGCTGTAACCCCTGAGCGAGGGCGCTTTTGTGTGTGTGTGTGCCTCACACAGGACTGGGACCGGGTTGGGCGGAATCCACGACATTGGACAGGCTAGGGTCGATCTGGTATGGTCAGCCAGGGAGAGTTGCAAGAGCGTTGAGACGTCGTGCGATGACTTGGAACTCGCGAAGACGATCAACGCGCACGGTTGCGTCCCGGCAAAAAAATATGCGGGTTGTGGTTAGCCCAAAACCGCGGATACGGTCCACATGCACTAGTCTAGTATGGCCTCCAGAGCTGCATCACACGGCGCCAGGGATCCCTGCCGTGACTAGGAAGCCCGCGAACGTCGTGCCGACTGTCGCTGGCCGCTGAGAGGCCGTAAGAGGAAACGGGATTGCTCCCAGCTTCCCCGCGGACAAATAGGACTTTGTTCCGGTGTGGACACCATCCGGTGCCAAACAATTCCTTTGTCAGAAGCCTGCTCAGGGGCATGGCAGCAAAACCTTGCGGCGCAACTGACTCTTGAGTCTTGACAGCTTGCGAGTCAGGCAGGAGAGCCTTCGCCGTACACAGTATGCTTTCCAGAAGCAAGCTTTGGCCAATCGAAGCCCACCCTGCTGGGAGCCTGTGATGGGCGTTGGCATCGTCGCTTCAAACCGTGATTGCTCCGACGAACTCAAAAATGGCGGTGTATCTGCACCTGGTAAGAGCCGCGACCACGTCAAAAGTATGCCCATCGAGGGCGTCACGCGGCGACGCGCAGCAGTAGCTCCAGCGTCGCCTTGCTGCGGTAGCTAAGTGACGATACAGCTCGTCGTCAGCAGCGCGTCCAGGGCACGAGTCGCGCGCTCCAAATGGCCGAAAGAACGACACAACACGTTTCGTGTCTCCCAGACCGCTCCTTAGCACTCCCCATGCCGCCGTTCCATTTGCTGCCCCAGGTATCATTTCCACGCAACCCTGCTGTCACCGTGATCCGAAAGTTCCCACTTGCCTCCTTGGCCAACCGACTCTCAGGACGCCCATCGTGCCGTCATCGCATATCAAACATCGTGGACCTCGATGCCCAAAGTCGCATCAGCTGACGGCGCCTTTGCGCGCATCTGCGCTCGGTAGGCACCTGCTGTGTTGCTGCCCTGAACAATAGCAGTAACACTCGCTGGCCTCCTGGTGGAGCCGGCAGCACCTCCGTCGCATGTCGCGAGCTGAGCTGTCGCAGCTGCGGCGGGCACAGTCTGCGACCGCGCAAGAACGGCTGGTTTCGACGCCGAGTCAGGATGCCTTTGTGGCGGTGTGGACGTAAGGCTGCGCTGATGCAGCCATTGGCCAGGGTGCCTTGCAGATTCCACGCGAGATGAACACGATAGACCGGGGCCTGAGAAGGCTTTGAAACGTCTTAGTGTCTTCTACTCGCGCCAGGCTGGTGGTCCTTGCGGTATGATTGCTCCATGCGAATCCTCCGATGAAGGGCTCCACCGGCTGTTGCTTTCGCATACGCATTACCGTAAGCACACTTTGCATCCACAACCGAGAGGCACGCCTGCCTGAAGCAGCAGCGAGACCTGATGCGCCCTTGGATTCGTGGGGATCCAGTGGGCGGGCGGATGCCTTGGGCGTGCCCTGTCGTCGCCGCCAACGCTGAGAGTGGGCAGAAATAGATACTTGACGGACCCGACAACATGGGTCGATTTTCTCCGATCTCTTCAGACGAGTCACTGCTCACCTCTGCCGTCGAACAATGCGCCAACGGGGCACGTGAGGCGCGGCAGTAACGTGTGATGCAGTCGCAGCCTGCTCTGCTTGTTTCGTCGTGACTGGAGCCAGCGCATTTCAAAGCCGTGAGGTTGCACGACAGGCGGTCAGATGTAGGACGAACCTATCTCCAAAGCCGCATAGATATCGCCGGGCGATCGTCACTCAGGTCGCTTCTTGGTCGCTGTGCAAGGTACTCAGCATCCGCAGACCCGGGTCGCAGTCCTGTAGTGAGCACCAGTTACTGTCGGACCGTGATCCTTGCGTTAGCGACGGTGACGGCCTCGTGGGTGCGCTGCATGTATGTGTCACTCACCGGTCCTTGTCACATTCCTGTGTCTACGCTTCTAGCTTTGTCTACGCTTCTAGCTTTGGACAGAGGCTGTCCGCGCCCAACAGGAGCTTCTCACGCAGGATTGTGTAAACTCGACACCGTACCGCCCACACCAAACGCTCCCCCACCGCTTGCAGCACTGTCTGCAGGACGCCTTGCCGCGGCGGACGCTAACGTGCATGCAACAAGGGCTGTCCACGCGAGGGTCGGACAGGAGTGCGTATAGTATTAATTATCGTTGTGGCACGAAGCAATCGTCTCATGTGGTGCTTTTTCTTGCCTCCAATCGAGCAATGGAGAAAACATCCAGCCAATTCGCGCTTCCAAATCTGCGCTGCTGCACTGCCACGTCGGCATCTGGTCTTTGTCTGCAGCACTCCCGTAATACGCGCTCATCTCCTTCGCGGCTCTGACAAGGGCACAGCTTGATGGTGTTGTGCGCTTGAAGGTGCCAGGTGCAGCGGCTAAGGGCGCCCCACTTCTGTTTAGCGACGGCCGGGCAGATCGTCCCTCAACGCTCCTGCAACCTCACCACAGGAACGACCGCATACGAAGTACAGCACCAACACTGTACGCGGCATGCCTCTATCCACCTCATCTCCGAGGCTGTCGTCTTTCCGAAAGCAGCATCTGCTCATCGAGTTGTAGGTTGCGGTCGGCAGCTTGGCGGTCGGTCTTAACAGAACTTAGCTCCACCCTGCAACATGCACAGCTCGATGGTGTTTTCGTGAGCATTACACCCGGTGATCCGTCACTATGGGTGGGCGTCATATTCGTGCGAAAAGGTAGTCAGATGTCGTAGAGCTAAGCAAAGCCTACTGACGCCATGCCTGTCTGCCACACCAGATTCTCTTTGTATTCACGCCTGACAGGTCCATATGCCCCTGCAGTCCTACGATTCCAGGCTTCATTTCCATCTAGCTATCCGGCTCTGCCACCTCTGGTGACCTTTTCTACCGATGTCTTCCACCCTCTGCTCACGCCACTCACAACATACACCCAGACAACTGCATCTTCGGACACGGACACCGTCAGCGCAACCGACGATGAACGGCTACCACCAGGTGGCTTTAGTCTTCGTCATGGCTTCCCGCACTGGTTTGGTCGTGCACGACGATCGACAGTGAGTTCACGAGATGTGAGTGGATCCGCAGTCGATAGTCCCGCTCGAAGTGTTAGGCCTGTACGCTCGGTAGCGGACACTGCAACCTCAGGCGGCTCCGGACCACAGCCCCCGGCGACTGGTATTTCCATCGTGACCATTCTCGAGTATGTCCGGTCGTCATTCAGCGAGGAGGCAGTCCTGGATTCAGTCACGTTAGACGCTGCAGCAAACCCAAGCGCATACCACGCATGGCGGGCTTATCGTGGCCCAGCATTGCCAGCGCAGCAGCTACTTAGTCCCGGTTCCGCGGTATTAGGTGAGGGCTCAGCGCTCGGAAGGAATCGACGTCCTGGAGAGTGGAACTGGGACGGTGTATGGGAGGACCGTATGAAGAGAGCGGTCAACGCTAGCTTATCTGAATCCGTTCTATACGGGCCGGGAGCCGGCGATGATATTGTAAGCTGTCGCTATCTAAAAGCTCTTTTGCTTGCTCAATCGCTGACCACACCAGATACGTTTCCAGCAGGGAGACAGTGAGACTACCGCAAAGATAAAGCAGTACCTGGACATCGCTACTGCAAGAGCGGCAAAGGTCTGATCTGACGGAGCTGGCCTGTTTGATGATGTCTCCTGGGCGACTTCAAGGTGATACGCGGCCATGCTTTGCGGTGGCAAGGACGATTCGGGCTCGTCAACAAACAGTTGAAGTCGCGACTTCCTTTGGCCTAGTGCTGAATTAGCTTCACGGAGGCTTTGTTGCATCTCCCACATACACCATCAGCATCAATAGCAGATAGCGTGCTCTATGCATGCAAACATTCAGAACATACCGTCTTCTTAGTATTCCTTGCGTTTTATACGTTGGTTGTGTTCGTCGCCCGTTCAGCTCACGCAAAACAGGTTTGTTTATTTGTTTCCTTTCACCTTGTGTGCAGTACTCACGGTCGAGGTAGGACACAGCGTGTCACGCTGTCCGTTTGCACCTCGACGCGTCAAACATGGCGCTAGCAGCGCTCGAGTCCTTTGGTCTCTCACAACACTCCGCGTTCTGCCCTCCGCCGCTGCACATACAGAAGAAGCGCAGAGCCACATTCCGCAAACGCATCTTCCGTAAGTCGACCCATCATCGAGTCGACGACAAGTATGTGTATGGTCCGTTAGACGACATCATCAACGAGATAAGAAGCGACATCTGGGAGTCACCACAGGACTACAGCACTGAAGCATATCCTCTCGGTTGGGCCGCTTCGCTCGAGGTGCCATCGACTTGGACCGTAACACCCTTGCCTGTCAGTCGATTGCCCAGCAACCAACCTCTGACGATACGCAAGAACAGGGAAAGTCGTTCTTCGACATCGGGCTCCAGTATGGGTGACCCAGCAAACTTCGCGCGCACCAGCAGTCATGACAACGCATTCAACGGTGGACCAGTAGGCGCGCCTGCCTCAACAACCGCCCCATGGCCTTTGTTTGATGCCCCTATGTCGTACGAAGCAGCGCACGCGCCAGTCGTGTCAGGCACTGCTGGCCATACCTACCACACCGAAGCCGCCGAGAATCTCAGCCAGAGTGCGGACGATCGCCCTGTCCCTACCAAGCGCCGTCCTTCTGTTCTTCGGCTATTCACTGGCCTGTCTCGTCTGCGGCGGACAGATACTGGCGAAACAAGTGGCAGCAGCGGTGATGCGTCAGACTCGGCCTGGCCCACTACACTCGAACTCCATGATGAGGCCGACGTCAGCGAAGACCCGTCACCGGAGCCAAGCGAAGACGCTGTCGAGGCATATATTAGGAAGCATGCACGCAAGTGTGTCACTATCCCACGTACCTTTGAGCTGAAGAGTAGTTGCTGACCTGCACAGCGGGGCAAGGCTAGGATCAATCATGGGCCGTATTGCCAGACGACTTCCTTCACCTATGGAACACCGCCACGAAGAACCCGAGGCTGAAAACATAGCCACTTGCGGGAAGAATCCCACAACATTGCGAGCTGCTGTCAGAGTCTTTTCTGAGGTTGCTCAGCTAGCCGGGGAGGGGCAACAAGAATTCTGGGTCGCTGTGGAGACTGAAGGCGCTCTCCACAATCGTGGGCTGCTTCCAGAAAGTACTATCGATGTCATCTTTGTGGTTGATAACGCGTGAGTGCGGAAAAGTCGAGATAGATCCGCGTAACTAACCCATTCTAGGTACTATGTCAGCAAAGAGTGTCTAGGTAGAGCTCTGGACGCCGTAAACAGTGCTCTCTATCACATCGACCGGAGTGACCGTGTAGCGCTCTACACCACACACTGCACTCATCAGTCTGTTACAGGAAACAGACCAGATGTACTATTTCCACTTGGACACTTCAACACAAATACCGAAGAAACGTTCCGCGATCTCACCGCATCTATCGCCAAATGCGGCACACAAGCGTGGAAACCACCTCGACCAAACCCATTGATGGCTGAGGTCATCCTGGGTGTGGTCAAGTCCGTCGAGGACAAGAACCTGAAATACCGACGTACCCATGTTGTATTACTCTCTCCAGCCGCACACATCCTGCACGATGTATCAAAGTCTTGTCCAGACCTATATGTCCATCAGATCAATCCTGCAGCTATCCCATTCCGGCGCTCCCCTGACGCTAGCGATGTGCAATGCGTCGAAGAATGCTGCAAGAACTTCTTCATTAGCAACTGGAACCAGTACCAATCTCTTCCGGGGCGTATCAAGCGTGTTCTCAAGTACGCTCGGTCGGTGAAGCCAGTGGGTGAGATCAACAAGGTTTGCGTCGACCTTCGAGCCCGGGATGGCTGCGAGATTGTTGAATTCTCAGGCAACAAGGATATCGCGAGTTTACGTCTTGGCCAGGTCCATACAGTGTTTGCCAAAGTCCGTGTCGGACGATCAGCAACCAAAGAGGTGGACCTGCTCTCCAAGAACCCAATTTTTAACTCCTCATTGGACGTCAAGGATCTCAGACAGCAGCTACAGAATGCCGCAACCGTAGGTGCTGTCAAGGTGCACTTGCTAGATGTCCAAGTCTACCATCAGAACACGCTGCATGGAAATGATTGCTGGAATTATACTGAGACACCCTTCCTCGTCGTCCGCGACTTGGGTGGCCTAGCTCCTCCGTTCGACACCGCTGTGGAGGTACAGAAGCGTCGACTGTTCCACGACTTCGTTCAGCTGCAGTCGGATGCAGCAAAGGCAGAAGCTAATGCTTTTCTTGCCTCTTTGACCAACAGCCAAGGACCTCTGAAGAGGCTCGTACAACGCACGTTGAAGGAAGTCGATCGATACGAACAAGTGCTCAAGTACGAGCAAGAGCACCGTCAGAGACTACCATTATGTCCAGGTCCGATCGCCATCGAGGCTTCACCTCACGAATGGCTTGTGGGCGTTTGGAACAGAAAGAAGATCAAGCGTCAGGGTATCGCCATGGTCGAAGAGGAGGAAATTAATGGTCTCATTGACGGTCTGTACGGTCTGGAGCGGCTGGGCTGAATTGACAGCCATCGAAACTTCAGGACGGGCTGAATTTTAACATGTTTGAATGGTGATCTTGTGATTGTTGGGTTACCATATTCTGGAACGTGTTTCGGAATTTGGGGCGTTACAATTCGGTACAAACCGAGCGAGGAGGCATGCGTACTAGTCGACGCGCAGGTTTACGCGATAACGCAACATGTAATACGGCGGTCTTATGCATTTCGACGGACGTATGTCCGGACATCTTTAGCAAAAGCTACGATAAAACCTTTGTGCCAAAAGCATAATTTCGCTCAGCTTACTTTATCCAAGGTTTCCTTCGGCTAAACTCTCCTGCCCAACCGTCGGAGCTTTCCCCGCAACGCAAACCGCAAAGCGTAGCGAGCATCATCAGTGCCCAAACCTCAATCTCAAACCCGGCACTTCCTCCTGCCGCGCGCCAAAGCTTTGCAAACTCTAACACACTTTTGGGACCGAATTACCACTACGACTAAGAAGGAAAGTAGTCGGATCACTAACTTGAAGTAGAAAGTGACGGCAGGAGTCAGCGGCATTCCCCGCGCACACACCACCACATGGCAGACGGGACTAGTCTGCGCTACCGGGGAGCAGGCGAGACGAGGCAGGCGAGACGAGGCAGAACAGCGTGGCCACGCTCTCGTCTCGGACGCTTGGGGCGGACCAATCGGGTCTGCAGGAAGGCTGACTTCGGTCTGAAACAGGTATTTGGCCGTTATTGATCAGCGCCGGAGTCGTGAAGCGCTACTATTGATTTGGCAATGACCTGTTCAATTTCTGCTGCAGACGCTAGCAAACGTGTGGATGGTGTGTGGCTCGTGGGTCCTGGCGCGAGCTGGGCGCGAGACTGGATGCCTGTTCCTGGCCAACGTTTGGAGCGTTGGGGCTACTGTTGCTGGGATCAGGGAGGGAAGGTAGATCGCCGATGATGGACGCATGCCAAGATCGATGGAGGGCTCAGAGGGTGAATGTCGGCCTTTAATGATGACGCAGGGGTGGGAAGGATGGCTTGGCGACTGATATCGTATCGAGTGCATGGTTGTTTTGCCGACTAAATGGTGAACATTTCGGGGCGGCGTGTGTTCGGTGACCGACGCGATATCAGACAATCATCCCTGAAATTCAAGGTTGGCAAGGAGGAAGTCCTCGTTTCAAAATGACCGGTTTTCTCTACAGTATTGGTACGGACGCCTACGGCGCTGTGGGTAGTGTGCGAAGTGAAATGTGATGAATGATAGTTTGAAAACAAAGCTGGAGCATGGTGTTTGGCTTGAAGCATCTTCAACGCCATTGAATCCAGATAAAATGCCCTACTGAGGCATCCAGGCCATCAGAACTCCTTTCCAATCAAAGCAGGGTCTGCAAATCTCAACTCTCTACTCCTCTTCTCCCGTACGATTGGATCTCTCGACAGTTCTTCGTGCGCTGGATCTGGTCTGACGTGCGCCCTCGGCACGTCCAGTCCAACGCTCTTGCTGTACCTATGCGGTATTTTGACAGTCAATGGCAATCCGTTGCCAGCTAGAAGGATCTGCCCTGCTCCTATGAGGGAGGGCTTCGTGCGAGCGTGCGACTTAGGGACAGGCTTCTTCCTAATCACAGGAGATGCAAACTTGAGAGGCGCAGGTATACTTTGCTCATCTGAGAAGTGCTTCTCGGAATCGTGTTTGATGTCGTCCCATCCCAGAGGCTCTGGTGCAGTTGGTGGAGGTGAGAAGGGCTTGATCACAGAATAACGGCCCACTTGCACAAGTACAGGTGAAGCAACACTCTTCTGTGGTATCTTGACCTCCTGCGCTTCGTGCAGGTACTTTGCCGCCACTGGGCTCAACAGTGACTTGGCCGACGTCATGCTATTGGGTTGTCTGACTGGTAACTTTGGCCCTACTGGGGTTCGAGGAGTCCGTGGAGTCACAAGATTCGGCGACGGGGCGAATATTGTCACGCTATCGGATGTACGATCCTGCTCGTTGACATGAAGAAGTAGGTCGTGCTCGAATGGGTCCGCAAACGGGTCGCTGTCGATGGTCTGACGTCTAGCATCGTTGGCTAGCAAGGGACCTTGAGTCGACGAGCGCTCGTAAGGTGAGACTGGCGGATACATCGAAGCTGGGGTGTTGAGGTATGCGTACGGGTTAACGGCCATCTGCAAGTACTGCCCCCTTTCGCCTTCCACATTGCGCGGTGTCCTGAGTTCTGGCCTTCGAATATCATCCGGTGAGAAAGGAGCGAAGATCGGTGATGGGATCACATAGTCATTAAATGGATCTGTGACATCTGGTGGGTACTTCGTGTACAAGGACGAATGATCGGGGGTACCACCATAGCCCGCTACTGCAGATGAAAGCGCCCGTGCGGTATTGACACGTGCATATTCAGAGTATCTGTGAATTGCTGGGTCGCAGACTGCCCTCACGAACGGGTTGCCAGGACTTGTGAAGCGAGTGACTGGCATCGTGACTGTGCTATGACGCTGCGTGTGGATCGATACACCCCGTGCTGCACCCCGCACAGTATCATTCGGACCGCCTGTAGCACCAGACATCAAAGCATCCGTGTCGCCACCATCTCCGCTAGTCTTAGGGTCGTAGAGATATGCAATCTTCGGGTAGATCGATCCAGTACTCATACGATTGCCTTGCTTGGTCACATAATAGCGACGAGCGATGAAGATGACTGCGACGACTGCAATGAGCAGACCAGTTGTGGCGCCGACCGCAACACCAGCGGTCTGCGAGGTCGTGAGCGGAGGCGGACTAACAGCAGCAGCTGTTTGGCTTGGACTGCTTGTAGGAACGTGTGGGCTCGCAGTTGTCTTCGCGTCTTCAGTACTAGATCCGTCTGTGGCTGGTGTCCCATCAGAACTTGATATTGACTTCGCACTCTGGGTCTCCGATGGAGAGTCAGATGCACTATCTGAAGTATTGGAGGTTAACAGACCTGCAGTTGTTGAATTGATTACAAGTGGAACGGAAGAAGTCTGTAAAGCTTCGACCTGTGTAGCATTAGAAGCAGGCCCGGTGCCTAGAGTGGTACCCGTGGGCGGTATCGAAAGACTGAAGGTGATGCCGAACTCTGGTGTCTCCGTCGTTGTGATGTTGACAATGCCGGATGAGCCAACTGTAGCAGCCAACGACGATTGTTGCATTGGCGATGTCGGGGTTGAGGTTACTCCAGTACCGACACTGGTAGAAGACGTGAGTGTTTCACTTGCAGGAATCCGTGTTTCTGGGCCTTGCAAAGTGGCCGTAACCGTTCCAGCGCTGGAAGTTCGAGCCTCTGTCTGATTCACTACAGTCCCTGTCACAGGACTGAATAAAGAGAAAGCGACTGTACTCAAATCCAGTACAAACGATTTAGTACGGGAGACGTATATCGTGGAGAAGGTAGCTGTGATCGTTCCTGAGGTGGTAGGAAACCTCAATGTTGCTTGTATGTCATTCGTCTGAACCGATGATGGCAGAGGTGTGTCAATGGTTAATGCTCTAGATGAAACAAATGACCGGGTGTCACTAAAAGATGCAATGGCCAAAGAAGTTTGCGTTGAAGACCAAGTCGTGGCTGTGAAGCTTGGATCAGCGGTTTCCGAAGCTGAAATTGGGCCATTGGTAGGAGAAGTCATCGAAGGGTGTACAACTGACGTTGGATGCTGCGATGAAAGAGCCTGACTAGCACCGGAAAATGAGCTGAAAGACGGCGAGCTGCCACTAAATGCCGATAGAGGTGAAGAGCTAGTGGTATTAATACCCTGTACGGACGACATGTGAGTGTTGGTGATTTGCGGTCCTGAATCAGTGATCAGGCCGAACGGTGACTGTCTTCGAGTGGTAGTGGCAGACGATGGTCCGGTAGAAGCAGGCTGTGTGGCAGATAGTGTTTCTACAAAGGTTGATGTATGTGAGATATCGATGGAGGTCTTTGAGGAAGATGACCCGGAGGAAGCTGCACCGGTGGCGAGCGGTTCAGATGACACAAGCGATGGACTCGGTACACTGCCAGTGGTGATGCTTGATGAAACACTTGTTCCAAGTGAGGCTGATGGCGATTTAGTGGCGCTACCGAAGCTAGAGGACGCGGTCCCGAAATTTGATGATGCAGATGCGCCTGGCTCAACCAACGTAGGCGATGGTGCAAGTACAGAGGTCGAAGAAGGAGTCAGGCTAACAGACGTCGCTGAAGTGACTTCCATCGATGACGAGATAACGACACCAGATTCGCTTGGCGACTGAGGTATCTCTGTCGTTGCTGAACTGCTAGAAGAAGTCGCCGCTAAAGAGTGACTGGACTGTTGGGAGGCCGGTAAACTCTGCGAATCAATGACTGAGCTAGACAAGCTTGATGTCTCACTAAACGTAGTCTTTTGCTCCGCCTGGGTGCTGCTAACAGGAAAATTGGACGAGGAGGAAGTAGTCGCTCCAGAAGGCTGATCCGTAATGGCACTCGGAATACTGCTGGTAGTAGTTGTAGACTCGGCGATACTGTTACTTGAAGGCTGCTCAGTGGAGCCGATAGATGCAGCTGAAGTCGGCAGAAGGCTTGATGAAGGTGTCGACAGTGTCCCTTCCATCGTACTTGTTGCATGGTCCAGGACAGAAGTTGAACCAGGCCCCAATATCGAGGAGACCGGCATCGATGACGCTGCACTTGGTGCAACGACGGTGGTAGGCTCGGGCGCGACGCTCAAGGATATCTCCGTCGTACCGGAGGCCGAAGTCGGGAACAATGGGATGGAGGAAGAAATCGGTGCTTGTGCATTGGAAGAACCAACGGAAACCGTGGGACTTGGTATCGGCGTGCTGGTTGCTTCAGATAATGAAAGGATGATTGAGCTCTGTTGCTGCTCGATAGGCATAGTTGCTGTGGTGCTCGGCTGAGTTGTCAACACAGGTGTGCTGACCACGTTGCTACTGGTTTCCGGCACGAATGTTGAGGATAGAGGTGCTGGTACAATGGAGGATCTGGATTCGATCAAAGTAACAGTAGTCACGCCGTCACTGGTCAAAATTGGGAAGATGTCAGACTGTGCTTGTGAAGTTCCTTCAGCTGGAACTGAAGCCAAAGTGTGTGATGGGAAAGGACTTGCTGTTGAAGACGGAATAAGGTCTGACACAGCAGTGGACATGGACGTTGACTCAAGCCTTGAGCTGGTTACAGATACCATGCTACCTGTAGCCTGTGACTCGGCCGTGAATGAGCTCATGACGAATGTACTATCGAGGACTATCGAGGAGATCGCGTGCTCTGAGGTCACAACTTGCGAAAAACCTGACGGTCCTGTTGTCGAAATTCGGGATGGCCGCTGTTCAATTGCGGAGCTCGATGGCGACATGCCTCCGGTACTATGCAGGCTCGTAGTCGAGACATGACTGCTACTCAGTGTAACAGAGGTGAAGTCTTGTCCGGATTCGATTCGTGTAGGGAGAGGGAAGAATGATGAGCTCGATTCAGGCAACGATGCTGTTGTCGGTATAGCAATACTAGTCGACGCTTGGGATGTCTCCGGGACTTCGGAAAGGTTGGATGGTTCTGCGTCTTTGGAAGTCGGCACAATGATCTTTGTTGAGCTCGTCTGGTTCCCCACAGGTTGTTGGCGAAGCTTCAGCGAGGGGAAGCTAAGCCGTTCGGCTTGGTGATGCCTCTTATGCATGGTAACATCTGGTTCCAAGTTAGCATACAGGACTCTTCACGTTGAATCGATATAGCAACAAGGGTCATGTACCCTTGCTGAGCGCTGCTGCGGTGAAAGTCAACGCCAATGATGCCGCGTAGAAACCGAGCAGGTCCCTCTTGAACCACATCGCATGGTCGCAAATCAGAAATGACTGATTGAGTGTATTAGCAGTAAAGCGACCCTGCAATTCCAAGAAGCGCACAGTAGGTAGTACGGCATTGAATACTTATTGACTTTGCATCTCAAGTGCGAACACCGACGGATTTCTGCTCGTGGTAGGCTGGATCGGGCCAATTCTGGCTTAGTGAACCTGCAAGGCCCCTGTCCATTTATGAGGCTTAGCCCCATAGTAGTCCGAGAATACCTACCAGTCATCTAACTTTAGCATGCGGTACTCCGTCGGCGCAATGCATCTATAGGTTTTATGCGACTTGCGAAGATTTGGGATTCGTTCGTGAGGGAAGCTCGTTGCGGTTGGTACGCTAGCCGGGGCACTGCAATATACACGGCTGCTGCCCTCTGCAGATACGCGCTGGAAAGTCGCGATCTCGCTTGTCGCAATCGTCCAGACGGTGATCACATCTTGAAGTTGCTTTGCCGTGCTGCTTATGCACATCGGTTGCTGTCGGTGTCGCCCACACCCCATATCATATCCGGTTCCCGGCCCCCAATTAGCAGTCTCGACTTCCTGCAGTATCTTGACCGTGGCCTTCTCATCAATCTCATGTCGCCGCGTCTGCAGTTGATCCATTCCCAGATACCACATTAGCTTGGCTGTCTCTGATAATCTCCTGCAGCCACATGGGAAATGCGCGGATCTTGGGCGATATCGCTGGACCTAGAACAATTTGTCCACTCCTTTCTGCAATGATCTGCTTGACCATCGCGTCAGCGACATCCTCAGGCTCCAGAAGAGTAGCTCTGGCTTGCTTCAGCCCTGCTTTGATCGCTTCATGAGACGTTATTGCCGACTTCGTCCAGCCCGGATGGACGATGGTTGTCTTGATCTGCGGGCACTTGTATCGATGCTTCAACTCCTGGGTGAGGCCCTCGTGAAAAGCAAGAAGGGCTGCCTTAGTAGCGCTGTAATCGACTGCGCCGGCGAGAGCTACGAATGAGGCTAGACTAGCGACGCTCATGATATGGCCCTTCTTGTTGGCAATCATGTCCGGCAGAAACTCCTGAACGGTACTCCAATGACTGATCAGGTTGATGTCGAAAAGCTGCCTCAGCGCTTCAGTTGGAATTTCAAGGATGGTGTAAGCATTTCCGATGCCCGCATTGTTGATTAAGACTGAGGGTGAGCCCAGATCAGAACGGACATCTTCTGCAGCCTTGTGAACATCGTTCCTCGAAGTGACATCGCAGCGATAGTACCGGATCAGTTTTCGCTCAGCTTTGAGATTGTCAGCGGATACGATCGGCCTATTGGATGCATGGATTGCTGACCATCGGTGAATTGGCTGGACAACGCCCCAATATCGAGGACTGCGACCTTGACACCATGTGATACAAGCTTCTGGACGACACAAGCACCAATCCCCGCCGAGCCACCAGTAACGACTGCGACCTCCTTGGACCAGTGCCAGTTACTCCTGTCATTCCTCCAGCTCCACCTGTTGTCAGCCAGTTTGTTGAGCACAGCGTTGGCTTCAAAAGTGGTCCAAGCAGCCAAGCCCCATTTGATGAGGCGGAAAACGATTACTTGTTGACAGCCAAGAGGTAGGTCGTCTGGAATGCCGATTGCTGTGGGATTGACAAGCTGCAGACCGATCCATGTGGCGGCCAGAGTCAGGCACCGAAACATAGTGGCTTGTGTTCAGGCTTGATGCGTCAGCAATTCGCAGTACCTGCATGAACAATGGTGTATTGGGGGCTGCCTGTCTCGGAAGTAAGCACTATGCAGCAGTGGTGGTGCACGAAACCCGAATTTGCGACATGACCACCATTTGAGGTATATTGAAAAGGTACGAAGTAAGTTTGGGGAAGGAGGTGCGTACGAGTAGCGTGGGGCTGATCCCGGAACTTCTACGCGTTGATTGGCTGCGCAAAACTGAAGCCATCACACCCGCGGCTCAAATGTCCCTTCCTTTACCTGCAACACCAAAACATAACCTTGTGACGTATGCCTTCTGTTCGACCGAGCTTCCTCAGCGGAACGCTCACGCCGTTCCTTTATCCGGCATTCACCGAATCGACACTCCTCGCTGTTTCGCGTAGATGTCCGTTGCATAGGCGATACCCACCAGCACGATGTAGCTCTACAGGTACCGAACAATCGGACTACTCACGACTCGACCCCACCCCAGATGATTACTCGCTTACGCCCTTCGCCGATCGAACGATTCTCACCTTGGAAGCTGGTGCTGGCGGTCATGGCTGCGTCTCGTTTCTGCGCGAGATGTACACCCCAGAAGGGCCTGCGAATGGCGGCGATGGAGGCAGCGGAGGCAACGTATACATCCAGGCGGTGCGTGGTGAAACCTCGCTGCACAAGCTTGCTCGAAGACGTCTTATCAAAGCTGGAAGAGGCCGAAACGGGCAGGGCAAGGTGAAGGGTGGCGAAAGGGGCGCAGATGTCCTCATTAAAGTGCCAGTGGGGACTATCGTGCGCGAGATACAAAGACACGACCCTGTTGAAGTTCTTCTCAAAGAGGCCGAGGAGGCTGAGATGCAGCGCGAGCGCGCGGAAGCAAATAGCGACGTGGTGGAAGAGGAGGGTGGTTATAAGAAGGATCGATGGCTGGTCTATCCTGGAACAGTGCCCACCGAACTGAATAGGATGAAGTTTCCTCAGCTTCCAAAGCCTCGACGGTCACATCTCGCCGCTCTCGAGCCGCAATCGCCGATATGGCTCGACCTCGACAAGCACATGGAGACGCCCATGCTCCTCGCAGCCGGTGCTATGGGTGGTCTGGGCAATCCCAACTTCATGACGCCCTTCAACAACAGACCGAAGATGGCGACAAAAGGAGAAGAGGGCCTCAAGATCTCAGTTCAGCTGGAATTGAAGATTCTTGCAGACCTTGGACTGGTCGGTCTTCCAAACGCAGGAAAGAGTACCCTCCTTCGGGCTCTGAGCAACAGCCGTGCTCGAGTAGGTAACTGGGCCTTCACAACGCTTCAGCCAAATGTTGGCACCGTCGTTCTCGACAACCACAAAGGTCGACCACTCGTCATGAAGCGCAACAAGCATGGCGAACTCCGCGAAAGCTTCACGATCGCCGACGTGCCTGGACTCATCGAGGACGCACATCTTGACAAAGGTCTTGGTCTTGGCTTCCTCCGTCACGTAGAGCGCGCTGCTGTCTTGGCGTTCGTTATCGACCTCAACGCCGGCGATGCTGTCCAAGCCCTGGAGCTGCTCTGGCGCGAAGTCTCCGAGTACGAAATTCTACGTGGCAAGGAGCTCAATGCCGAAACAGAGCGTAGGATGGTCATGTACCGCCCTGCCGGCAGCCTTCAACCAAAGTGCGAAACTGACATGCTCGACGAACCGGACCTGCATTCTTCACTAGAACCCCTGCCCTTCCTGACATCAGAGCCTATCTCCGCGAAGCCGTGGTTCGTCGTTGCTACTAAAGCGGATCTGGAGGGTACGCAGGAAAATTATGTGAGGTTGCAAGATTACTTGGCAGACGTCAAGAGTGGCGCGCAGCCGCACCCAAGCGGGCGTGAGAATGCATGGAAAAGGGACGTCTCATCGATTCCAATTAGCGCAATTCATGCGCATGGTGTCGAGGCAATCCCACAGATAGTCATGGACCTGCTAGATGATTAGAGAGATGTAAGTGTATTGTAGGACTATCACATCATTTTTACCACTCCCAGGTCACGGCGACTCACTAAGTATGCTGGGTATTCTCAGGGATAGACTTACAGTTGCAGGGACCGTATTCTGATCGAGTTCTCTAGTATGCAGCTATTCAATGAGACTGACTCCCCGTCACATGAACATTGATGGTCCCAATCGGGTGGTCCCGATGTCCAAAAAATCAAACAAAACAATAAACCCATCTTCACCAAAACTTGCTAGGACGGTAAGAGCAAAAGGACGACAAAAAACATACAACAGCGGGTATTCGCTAGTGGTCACCCACCTAACTACTAATCCGCCGGTACGTTGCTTAAATAGGGCTGAGCGAACGGGAAGCCTTGTTTTCAACGTCCTATGGTCGTATGTGAGAGATACTTATGACATAGCATATATAATGAAGTTATTGCACTCTCTAGATGCCGCTTATATGACCTGGTTCAGGTGCCAAGTCGTGCTTCTGGGGCGTCTTTCAAAGACTTATCGCCGCACCGATCCAGATTTTGGTCTTTCATGAATCTGTATGGTGGTAAGATAGGGGTTTGAGGTTATCGACCTACTGTAGGGTCTGGTGCGTGCAGCTACCATGCTTCCATCCTCAAGTGAACCACAATCTGGGTTTGAGCTTTTCATACGCCACGCAATGCCCTTCCAAAATCAGCTCAATCCTACGACATGTACAAGAGACTGATCTTTGCATTACTGGACAGGACATGGATCCCGATAAGCAGCCTCTTCTCAGCCAGGCAAAAGATGTCGAGTGGGATGAAAAGAAACACACCTTCGACAACAAAACCGCTTTATCCAACGCATTATCTGGAACATATCAAGAGAAAGCGTGTGAGGTGCACCTTTATGCTGAGGGACCACGACTCCCACTTCTGATTCCTCTCAAAACGCAAGTCATGTACTGGACAGCCTCGGTCAGTACGGTAGCCTTTGGCCAAGTCATCCGCTGCGTCGCCACCCAGCATTATCTGACAGGCCTCGCTCTTCTTCTGACTGTGGCCGCCTGCCCAATCACAACCACAATCCTGTATCTACGCGGCCGACCTTGGTGGAGCAAACGAGAATCGTGGATCATCACCGTCGCACTCGTCATGCTCTTCGCCAATGAGTTGATGCGACCACTACGTCTGATCGCCGGGATGCACCGACTGAATCAACCTCATCGACCACCTTACCAGAACAGGTTCACACCTCCTTATTGCCGACAACGGCTCAAGGGGTACAGTCTGGTGTGGACCGCCTCACTTGACCCACGTTGACAGGCAGGCACTTTGTCAGCGTCAAGACAAAATACGCGGCGTCTGCCACGGCACGCTTGCCTGGTGCATCACGTATGCACTTGCACGGATTGTCGCACATGTACTGAGAGCCCCGCCCTAAGTCGTGGGATTCACTCTTTGAGGCGTAGGATGTCCTGGAGATATGGACGAGCCAATGCGATCACTGCTGCTAAGACCCATGCATGCTCTGGTACTCTGGCTATATGATCGGATCTTATACGGAGTTGGCAAGCTCGCACGACAGTAAGCAGGTTTACACCTAGCCACTCACGAGACATGTCATCGACATTTTTTTTGCAATAGATAGTGCTCTCTGTGACTATACTAGCGAACTCTGCAGAGCCAAGGGGTGTCCAAGCCGACCTTGTTGCTCGTTCCTCAGCTGATTGCCAAACAAGTCGAATCCTTGGGGAACAGGGACTACGCTATACGGGCGATGATCAGTGTTGGAAATGCCATATATTGGAATCAATGATCTGGAGGTGGAACTTACACCGGCTCTCTCGACCTCGTTTGCGGCGACCCGAGTACTCAGGCATATCAGCAAGAGGTCTCAGTGGTCAAGAGGGTTGGAAGGCCCGCATTCGAAGCTGGAATCTATCGCAGCCCATACACCTCGGTCATTTGAAAGTATACGAGCTGGAGTGACCCTGTTGCAAGGCCCAGTAAACAAAATTGAGCGATGACCGATAGAAATGACTACAGCTCAGCCTCGATTGGTCCAGTCGGGGGTCATCTCTGTGGGCTAGGCCCACGGAACCGAAGTAATCGCATGGCAACATGTGTTCAAGCAGTCCTGGCTAAAGAGGGCGATCGCTCAATGAGTCAAGATGGATTGAGGATACAACGTCGCTGGTTCCAATGCGGGGCATGAGAACGATGCTATCGTCTGGTCGAGTGTCGATTATGCTTCTGATAATTCCTAGTTGCGAAGGCTAGAAATTGCCTATCTACGTGACTTCATTTCTTCTCAGCCTTCTCCTTCAACTTTGATTGGCCATCTTGGACGGCTGTGTCCAAACCGCTCCACCTTCTCGCAATGTGCTGAATCCCATGAGGCAGACACCCGAGGACTTGGATATATCTGGAGTAAAGTGGAAGCGCGACCTCACCACTCTCACCCTTATCTACCAATCTAATGATCCTCTGTGCTATTTCTGCAGGCGTGACAAGCGGCCCAAAGAACTTGCTCGGCGCGTGTACGTGCTCGAACATCTTCGTGCTCATTTGCCCAGGCTGTACCAGTATTGTCTTGATTTCTTCTGCTCCAGGCATGTTCGCGAGTTCTGCGCGAAGCGAGTGATGCAGAGCCAGAAGAGCTGCCTTCGAAGCGCAATACGCGGAGAGGTTCGCTGCACCGAGATGACCAAGTACGGAGGATACCGTGACAATGGTGCCGCGGCTTTCTGCAATCATGTGTGGGAGGAAGGCACGGAGGGTTGTGAAGTGGGAGATGGTGTTCACGCGGAAGGTCTGCTCGACTTCGGCGGCAGTAGACTCGAGGATCGACTTTGTGTGGACGATGCCGGCGTTGTTGATGAGAATTGTCGGAGGGCCAAGCTATGCTCGTTAGCAAGTCATGCTTCACACAACTTAGTCAGTCGTCTACTCACATCCTTGACGATCTTCGCTGCCGTAGCTTCCACCTGCTGCGCATCTCCAACATCGCACTGGTAGTAGGCCACCCCCCTTGCCTCGGCTTCCCCCTTGTCCACCGTCTTCAAATCTAGTACAGCGATATTGGCGTTCCTCATTCCATATGTCTCCGCCAACAGCCCACCAAGTCCATCGACACCACCTGTGATGACAATGACCTCCTCGCTCAAATCAACCTCTCGGTGTGGGCCAAAGGCTACTCTGTCGCTGACAATGCCGAAAATACCAGTCGCGCTCATCAGAACGGACCAGCCAATCGCAATGCGCATCTCAGGCGCCTCATACTTCGTGTACTGCGCGCGCAGACACAGGACGAAAATCCAGGACACGAACGGGTGGAAGATTGTGTAGCCCAGCACGTACCATATCAGGTCGATGGTCAGGTACTGGTGCCATGGCGCATCTGCCTCTGGTCGTTGGATCTTCTTGGGCGGCTGAAAGGGCACTGTTTTGATGGTGGACGACATTGTGGGTGCCTCGATGCAGGAGGGACGATGCTCGATCATGATGTAACGCGCAATGAACGGGTGGGGCCAGGTTGGCGCGTAATAGAGGCAGATAACGTCGATATATCAGGTTAATACCACAGCTATGGAGGATACTGAGGAAGACTGAGGAAGCCTGAGGAAGTCAAGATTTGTGGATGACATGATCTCGGTTTTCATGTTCTATGTGCGCATTTATCGAGGCGTGATGCTGAGGGTTGCAGCGTTTCATGACTGTCGCGCCTCAGGTATCAACCTTATCTTAGCACGCTTTCCTAATTAGCAGATCTCGAGCAGAGCTGTCAACCAGACCAGCCCGTGCTTGTTCCTGACTAAAAAAGCATGCAAATTACTTTTGGGTGTCACAGATCACGAGATCTGCGTGGCTGAAGTTATGAGATAGAAATATCAACGCATATGGCTGAGGCCGGGCTGCGGCTTACTCGAGGTTGCTGTGCCTTGAAAGTGAACTTGCGGCATGTGATCTCACCGGTGCATGCATGCCCATTGCAGGACACCGGCTGAGATCACAGCCAGCAGGACTTTACGTGTCGAGTGACATTACGATGCAGTCCGGCGTATTGGTTTGGTGAGTAGACAAGTCCTCTTTCCTTCGTCTTTAGCTACGATGAAGTAGGACAAGGGTACCTCGATTCTGGTAGTGAAAGCAAGCCATAGGGCTGGCTCGTTTCTACAGCAGCCCAACTCCGCTCCCTACAAAAACAAACTCCACGTCCAATCGCGACCAGAAGCACACACACCAGCAACGAAGCCTGTGACGACATGCCGTTTCTGATCTGACATTCTCCAGAAACTTCAGCTGCAGTGTCCAGCTTTCACATAGCAATGTTCACATGTGCACGCGCGCAAGGGTCTATCATCTGAGCCGCTTCGCCTCACGACACAGGCAGTGAGACACTGCACGAAGCGCAGTTGACCGGCCGCGTCTGCCTGGTGTTCGAGACTACAAACACCCGCGCTGGGCCTCTCGCCTCACTTCAGCGCGCACAGCGTAGACCTGATCGCCCGCCATGGTCAAAGCTGATGCTTCGCGAAATTACTATGCGGATCTGAAAGTCACTCCCAACGCCAGCGAGAACGAGATCCGCAAGGCTTTCCGCTCTCTTGCCCTGCAATACCACCCCGACCGCAATCCAGGGCGTGAACAAGAGTTTGTTGTCAAATTTCAAGAGATCCAGGCTGCTCACGAAGTCCTATGTGATCCAACGCTGCGGCTCAAGTACGACAAGGAGAGAACAAAGTACCGCAATCTGAACGTACCTACGAACACGCCGAACACACCACGAACCAGACCGCCCCCTCCACCACGGAATGCCTACACGACCACCGCACCCAGCAGCTCCTACCACCGTCCTCAGCCCCCAAAGCCTCAGCCTCAGCCGCAACGACCGCCCCCGCCACAGCATCACCAGACGTACAACAGCGGGCAGGACAGATTCACCAACAAGAACTTCAGGCCGCCACCGACCGCGCAACGGCCACCTTCAGGGCATAAAGACTCGCAGGACCGTGCGAATGTCTTCACAGCATGGCAGAAGATGAAATCAGGCGCTCGGCCTGAAGAGACTCGACCACACAATCCTACAAACACCAAAAATCCCAATGGTGCACCTTTTGGGCGCAGTCAGAGTACAAGGGTGCCGTCCAATAAGACTGGCTTCAACCCAGGGACGCCGGGTGCAGACGAAGGGCCGGCAAAGTCAGGAGGGTATCGGTCAAGCTATGCCCGCCCAGCTGCGACACCACCCACACCAGCTACACCTAACTCGCCCAACGTTGATGCACCATTCTCAGAGGGCAATCGTGTACGAACACCATACTACTCAAGGGCTTCAGGTGTTCGCGAAGAGGGCATTGGCAGGTCTGCGAGCATGCGCAACTCCCCATCACACTCACATCAACCTAGCCCGTCTAATGAGGGAGGGTCATACTCGGACTCCGGACGTCGACAACAGCGTAACTCATATGGCGGTAATCCGACGAAGGGTCCATTTCCTCAAATGTATCCAGACTCCAGCGACGAGTCTGAGGCTGAAGTTTTCCAAAAGAGTACTGCAAACAGGCCACGAGCGCAACCAAGAGCTCCACAACACCCTCCACCACCCACCTGGGATCAGAATGGCTTTGCAACTCCTCCATCCAAACAAAGTGCACCACCGCCCGGGAGCGTACCCAATAGCTTCAAGAGCAGGAGTGAGGAAAGCATCAACTTGAAGTTCTCGCCCTCAGACTGGCATGGCAAGTTCGGGAGTAATGCTGATTACTTTGCTGCGCCGAACGTACAGATAGGTGCGAATAACAAGGGTCGGCAATCTCCAACACGAGGAAGAGCTGGCTCACAACGAGCAGCAGCACCTTCATATCCACCGGCTGGAAACACGTTCAAGACACAGTTTGGGTACATGCCTCCACCGCCTCCTGGTCCCCCGCCTAAACCCAAGTTCGCGCCACCTACCGAAGCCATGCCTCATACTGCGAAGTTCAGCCCAGAGATCTGGTCTGAGACGTTCAAGGAGCCAAGTTGGGCGTTACCGAAAGAAGCCTTGGATCGAAAGAATTCAGAGACCGTCAAACGCCCAAAACCTCCACGCAAATCGTCTGTGCCCAGACCACAAGATCAGGCCGAGAAGGCTCGGCCGAAGTATCAAGCGACTGCAGAGGAACCGACAGGCGAGCCGGATGAGATGGATATCGACTTAGACACTCCGACCACAAATGCGAATACGTCCGCTACAAGACCTAAAACAGCACCATCCTCGCCCAGGAAAGACAAGGCACGAAGGACAGGGTCGGTGCCTCCAAAGACTGGCCTCTCGCCTGCGCCTGTGGGCGATTCTTCTGCACCAGGCCTGAATGGCCTCGCAGGCCTTGCGACTGTCGAGCCGTTCTTGCCTGCCCAAAATGGAAGTCTCTCGCTTGATGCGCTCAAAGACACGCTGCCATTCCAGTCGCAAGCCTCCAACGCTCATCCAACGAAACCTAATTCAGCGCGTTCATTGAAGCTTCCTCCAGTACCCGCGGCTCCTCACCCTCCGTTGAAGCTCGACACGACAACGACAGATGCCTACTTCAGTCACATGGAGGGTTATGTCAGGTTGTTCAACGCCTTCAGCAAGGGTGTCACCGACCACTTCGCCTCCAGGAGCGCGGAGCTTGAAGATCTCGATGACCGCTTTATTCATCATCGCGGTGAAACTACTAGGAAGCTCGGTTTTGCCAGCTATCTCAATCGCATGCGGGAAGACGAAGCGGTCATGGTGATGTGGAAGGTCGCGCAGGAGAGACACATCCAGGCGTTAGAACAGTGCGAGGAGGTCCGGAACAAGACGATCAAGCTGTATCAGTGAGCAGCTAGGGATGTCGACAAGCAGCACATATACTGTTGTGCTGACATTTCTTTAGCATTCAGGTACCGAGAGAAGATACGAGTCCGACGAAAGTGATGAGGGAACGGTTCATTGACATTGTCGCTGCGCTTTCGCTTCGACGAGCAGTCACAATGTCTACTTCAAAGCCAAGGCCGGTGGCTTTGCCTGCGAAGGTGTCATCATCCACATATCAGTACACAAAGAGGAACGTCAGCACGTCAGCTTAGTGTGCAGATGATACGGACGATGAACGAGGTCCATCTAGGCCTGAGCTGTTGAAACTGAGGAAAAAGCCAAAGAGATGTGTGCTTGGATAGCATGGTGTTTGGGCATAGGATACCCTTGTTCTTGTACTTGCATATGTAGACCACCATTCGCATAGCATGTTCGGACACATCTTTATATAGGCAGTGCATAGCGAATACAATATCAACATCGCGATGCTCCCGAGACCCACCGATCTCAACTTGGTATCAAGACGGTATGTAGAGTACCATCGCGCGGCATCAGAGACTTGAATCACCCTCCTTCACCGATCACGGTCGCAGTTCGCAGCCAGACCCCACTTTTCCGTCACGCATTTCCGTCATCGCAAAAGTAGCGCATGTTTGCCTGCTACCGGCAACTTTTAACCGTCATCTATGCCTTCACCATTCACGCCCACCGCATCAGGTAGAAGTCATACATCCTCTGATACTCGGCAAGATCCAATTTGACCGCCTTGGATGCGCCTACGAGCGGGTGCTTCAGCATGGCAGTAGCCCAGTACGGGAGGTGCATGCGGCATTCGCGGATCGACAGCAAAGCTGTGGGGTAACGGCGTGAAGGTCGCTGTGGAAAGCTGCGGATAGAGCCGGAGCCAATGTTTACATTGTCTTTGTTTTGAGGACCTGGACTATTGGGAAGCGGACTTCGGTAAGTGGTTTCTTACAGTAGGAAGGGAGGCCTTGAAGCTTGTCGGTTTGCTAGTTGAGCGTGCACTCGGTGAATGCATCGAGTCTGGTGGCCCGGTGGCGTAGTCGACGTTCTTGTGTCTTCCCCAGCTCCTCCACATGTTAGTATAGTCGGTTGCCATCTCAAATTGATAATTTAACTGAAGTGCAATAGTCTTAGTGTAGCGAGACCCGTTCAGCGGTGGAGAGCGGACCTGTTCAAATTCTTATGTGGTTTCGAGTTTTAGATGGTCAGTCCATGTAGGCCGGATCTTGTGGCCCAGTTGTGACTTAAGGGTGATCCCTCTGGAGCTTCTGCCGCTGTACCCCCTGGACGAAATTGTTGAGGTATTCGGGCCGCCTCGATGGTTTATCTCGTATACAACGGAAACACTTACGCTGCCATCGAGTGAGGGAATCTGAATGAATCTGAGTCCTTCAACGTCGTGTGACCATTCGCATATGTGTCCGAGCGTCTGGTCGTGGATGCTTAGGTAACCTCTGAACTGTTATGTACAACGTCAGCGCTATGAGCCTCCCGAAAAAGTTGCTTTGATAAGGTCAAGACCTCGGCCGAGGACTGACAAAGCTAACCACCATCGTCATGTGGGAGAGTGACATATTGATGCCCATGCTCGTCCGACCAGATCACTTCTTGCCGCGGCCAATCATGAGTACGATCGAAACAGCCTCATGTTGCACAGGTCATACCAAGCTTTCTTCTAATCTCGTCGACGTCGAGAAAGCAACAACAGCTTCGTTGTCATCGTCGGACTACAGCAGTTCATTTGCCGCTGCTCCAGTCACCTATTTCAAATGGAAGGCGTCTGTCGGTGCCAACGCGCGCTCCTCGGAGATCTTCCTAGCCTTCCGCAGACTTGTCATGCTCTTACCCATCACCGAGGCGAATGTCTTCGGGATCCCCGGGTCAAAATGACCGGACGATGTTACTATAAAGAATCAGGGCGTTGGAGGATCGAAGAGCCCACTGCCACGCGTTGGTGGATCTTGATCGACAGCTAGTCCCCTTCATTTGGCTCTTCGGATATGCTCGAAGCACATCACACCAGCGCCAGGAGCCAAATACGACATATAACGTCTGACTGTAGCGTACAGGTCGCGCTGTACGATCCGAGTGGGATGAGGCAAATCAGCAGTACTGACGAAGGATTGAGGGAATGACAAGAGCCTCTTCGTTTGCCATCTCTTCCGCTCTGACATATGAAGCTCTTCATACTGATCAATAGACCTGCCTTTTTGAGGGAGAGGAGGGCAGTGCCAAAACGTTAGCGGCAGTTGCAAGGCCGAGCTGTCAAGTACAGGCTCACGGTAGTCGCGGGAGTGTCACAACGACTCGCCTGATAGCGCAAGCCTAGAGACGTACATTTGCCCAGTTTGGGCTCCAATCTCACCGGTGCGGCCACATTGTGCGTGCAACGCACGCTGAATCGCGGGTGTTTTCCCTAGGCGTCTTTTCGGACGGGGAGACGGGAGCAGATCAGGGATGCTTGTTGCTCAGGGAGGTTGCCGTCGCCCGACCTTGTTTCCTGCAAACTATGTCGGCTTTGTAAAGGAGCGCTCGTACACAACGGCATTAACGCGCATATTGTAAGGCCGTCTCACGGACTGCCAAGCGTGGAGGAGCCGAACTCAGTTGGAGAAGCTCGGACGCCAGCCACATCCAGACACAAGGTCAAGGTTTCAACGGCGCGCCCACCCCACGCACCATCTCCTCCAACTTTACATCCAACGTGAGCCGGTAGTGTAGATCAAACCACTGTCCAGGTTTGATGCACTAGTGTTAGCGCCATTTAGTGGCAGGGCTTCAAGATGACACCATGCCGTTTCCCAGCTGTTGCTCTTTCCAGCCACTCATGCCCCCAGTAACGGCTTTCCTGTCCGTTACCCACTAACATGTTTTTCTTACACACAAACTCCGCGGTCACTGCTCCCTGCAAGCCGCCGGGACACGCCATTGCACCCGCACGTTTTTCCCTCGGAAACTGGGTTGACTTTAGCTAGCCAAACTTGAGAAGCAAGTGCTCGACCACACTCACTTTCCTGGCTAGGCAAATCATCGCGTCGCCGATGCAGGTCACCTGGCCTAGAGCCCATTTATGCGGTTTAGCTATGCATCATGCTTCGGGTACCTGGTTCGCACCGACCTCTAGCTGCTGCTTTGTATACATGCTAGACGGACCGGCGCGCAGCTATGTATACCTCCGATCGCCAACTCAGCTTCTGACTGTTGAGCTGTCCTATATCGATCAGTGACGTTCAACGCCACATTAGCGCCTTCAGATCCATCCGAACATTCTTGTTTCCAGTCATCTCCTCTAAGATCACAACAGTCACATCATCTCGATGTGCGACTACACCCAGGTTCAGTACAAATGCAGCCACCTACGATATGTAGTTCGAGCATGGTGCACGAAGTATCAAGAGACGCACAAGAGATGCCCTGCAAATGTAGTTGCGATGTGAGGATCCTGAGGGAACATGGACGAGACGATGCTAATAGCGAGTCAGAGAATATCGATTGGACGAGGACTGCGGTTTGTTCACCGGGACCCTTGATATCATGAGATCATTCTGACATTGTTACCAGGTGATTGCAGAACCTCTACCTCCAAAATACGGACTCGATAGTCGGACACCTCGTCGATTTTCTTATAGTTTGGTTGTATTACCACGCAAGGCGCATACGGCACAGCGGGAAGCTGCAGAATACCCAGTCTAAGATCGTTTCCACTTTGAGATTCCTATGGTCAACGTATCACCAGAGTCATGTTTGCTCATTCCGCGGCATACACATTCAGCCCTGCAGGCGTGCGGGCAGGATTTTGTCCTAAAAGTCGCTGCGCGAAGATTTTGCCGTCAGAAAACGTCAGGGCCAGTCACCTCTCCTTTCCTACCATCGTCAACAATGTATCTTCAGGAAGCCAACAAAAAATTGATGGCACCACATGGATTTCAAATGGTTTCCCAGGCTTCGACCTGTCGTTGCACTGAACTCTGCCACATGATGAGTGGCACAGGGCACGGGTGTGACACAAATTTTTATGTCCGTCGGGGTCAACTCCGACCTTTACGCACACACTTCGCTGCCACTGACGTGCCGTTCAGTGGTGCGGATCGTGCAGGCCGACATCTGGCTGCACCCCATATTGCATCATATCGATGGTTCGTCACCGCTCATGTTCGATATACTGTTGGGCACCTGCGCTGCTGGTCTGATATGTCCAGCCACGGCCACCGACCTCTCCAATCCTAGGTACAACTCGACGACGAATCACCTCTGCGTAGTATACCACACAAGCGCTCAATATGAGAGATCAACCTCCAAAAGTCAAGCTCTTTCCAGCATCATTTGTTGGTGGAATGTTCTCCACCGTACGACAGAGACCATGTTGTGCCTGACCCGCTGCTCAAGCACGACGTCCTGGCATCTCTTGCACAGGATTTGCCTGATTCTAGATATCATTTCCTACCAAGGTGTTACAGCTCCCGCACCTGGCAGTTGTGCCGTGTAACTACCATGGTAGGCCTGGATTCAGGCCCAAGGAAATTTCGTGATACCAGGACTTCATTACCGGGTTGCGCGGGCAATGATACTTGGGTCGTGAGCGATGCGCGTACCGGCTGACTTTGGCCGTTAAGACAGGACAAAGCTGGGCCATTACTTTCCTCTCACGAATGTCCGCCTTTATATTGAAAATATAGTCTGCAACAACAGCACATTCACAAGCATACAAGACGCTGCTGCCGTCATCAAAGGGTACCCCACCATTAGTTGTACCGGGTGCTTAGCATCTACTGATGGTATTGCAGCAACCGCATACAAATCCAGTGCGATGACCCAAATCCTGGTTGGCAGATCCTGCGGATATCCAAATGACTTTGGATAAAAATATCCGCGTCAATAAGACCGGCCGCCACTCGAAGGGTGGAGTCCAGGGCGGCAAACGGGCGAGGTCGTGGCTTGACCCTGACGCTTGTCAGCTTCTGTCACCCAACGACGGACTATACTAGGGGGATCTCGCAGTAACGGAATCTGACCCGTTCCCAAGCGAGGCTCTTGCAGCGTTCTCTAAGGATCCACTCAACGCCCAGTCACGAGCTCCGAGGAGCATGTACCCTTCTCAACCACATGCAGCAAAGTGTAATGGCTCGAGTCTAATCCCGCATCCAATCGCATAACGCCTCACCCTAGACTATCGTCTGATTTCAGGGACGGAAGCTGTTCCTCACGAATAGCAGCTCGAATTTGAGAAGGATTTACCGGCAGTTGCAAGCTCAGTGTCGTACAGGTCAATGCAATCATACTGGACCCACACTTCCAGCTCGATATGGAGAAGAAGACCGAATAGTCATCGATATATGTTTGGGTGAACGGCGCTCTTGCCGAAGCTCCACTCTGGCACCGGCCGACTGCGAGCTAAGATCTTGTTCTAAGTGCAGCTGTCGTTATCATTGTGCGTCTTACAGAACGTACGACGTGTTAGCTCTCGCACGGCAAACGTCCATCGTGCCGGTGTGGGGTATTTTGAAATAAATGACGAAGTAGATAGAACAAGAAACAGGAATACATACTTACACGCGCTTGTCGATGTCGACCAGGCTTAACAGCTTTTAGTCCCATACGGACAGAAGCCTGACGGGACCAACCCAGTTTTCAGGTGGGATCGAATCTCCACAGTAGCTCTGAATATGCACACAAGGCAAAAGCGCAGCGAAGCAGGGCTCGAGGTTTCACATTTCGTCAAGCAGCGCGCTTATGGTATCTGCGATTGTGTAATGAGTATGCATATTTCAGGCACTGCATGCCTTCTGCACTCTCGTGAACAATACTGCCCTTCGATCGGGCAATCCTCCCGGTCGCTACTCACGTCTCGGCGGTCAGCCATAGGCAGAATCGAATGTTCGTCTCCACCAGGATTCGCTCTCGGAACAAGATGCGAGCCAGTCGCCTGGCCTGGTCACGTAATTGAACCCTGCTTTCCAACTCCTTACAATCACGCACGCCATAACGGGTCGGCCTTCTCAACCAAGTCCACTCAACGAATTCGTCGAAAAGCGCAATGATCGTTGGCAGAATGCACCCGCATTGGTATTGCATACTGCACGCTGCTATTATCATCGGTGAAGAATCACTACCTACGGTGCATGACGTTACTGAGACGAGCGACAAGGCATCTGATTCAATCCTCAGGAACCGACGTTTTGGCTCGCGGGAGCGGGCCGAGCTCTGACAGAAAGCCCCGTTTCGCTCGCAGACGCAGGCAATCGGTCCTACTAGACCAAGTCTTCTTCACTTGTGTTCATATTCAGGAACATGCTTCATCGTGCTACATCAGATCGTTTATCCAATCCTCGCAGCATTTCTAGGATGAGGATCAAACAAGGTCTCCAATGTCGCTCAACTGCGGGTCATAGCCAGGCCAACAGCATGGACTCTGTCACGCTGACGAAGTGCTGAGCAAGCGACCGTGCAATTGATCCGGAACTTCCCTCTATCGCGAGCCCTCATCGACACAAATGACATCAATAACGAAAGAGTCTCGCGCCAACTCCAAGGAATGAGCCCACCTTTGGTCCTCAATCTCGACGCCTCTGGACAAACTTACCTTGCCTCGGCTCAGACCATGCCTAGCTAACAAAGTTGCATGGCAGCCCGCCTCGTGTTTGTCTCCACCGTTGCCAACGGATGGAGCGAGCTCCGTCTCCTCGACCTATACAGTCGGTTGCGACGATCAATAAAAACCCAGCTGGACCATTGGGCTGAAACGCGCGCGAACTTAGCCACGCGTGACGTGCATGCGAAGGCCCTGCGCGGACGCAATATCGGAAGCTTGTCCAGTGGGTTTGCTTGAACGCACGTTCGATGAATCGTCCATGTCAACGATCTTACATACATGTCATATGGGTGCGGACGCTGCACTTACAAGGTTCAGGCGTTCAAATGGAAACTTTACTAACGTCTTCTCCGCAGCGTTTGCGTATCTAGCCCTAGGGGAGACGATACCAGTCCTGTCTGTGACCTTCGCTCTCATAGAACCGAGACTCATACCGTGGCGGTCCTACTCCGGTGCTCGTTCGACCAGCACCCGTCTTCCCCACGAAGCGCAACGTCTCACATTTAGCGTTCGGGAGCTGACAAGATTTGTCCGCACCCTTAGCGTTCGGGGGCTGACAAGACCTGTCCGCCTTGCGACTCGCGAGTCCTCTCTTCACGATGCGGAACCTTCGGGGTTGAAGAATAATACGAGGACACCGTGGAGAGCTAATAATGCGCAACGATCAGGCGTTCGAAGTGGATGGGCTGAATGTGCGCTGCGGCCCGAGTAGACAGTAATAGGGGTTCTGAATAATACAGCGTACAGCATCAGCGAAACGACCGCGAACGGGGAGCTCGTCGCTCTTCTCCTTCTCAAAGGACGCAGAAGGAACCAGGACCATGCGCGAGAAGTCTTCTCGCGACCTCGGAAATGGAGGACCCAGGAAGTTGAAGGGTTTGCCAGATAAGACTGCGGATTTCGGCGGAGAACTCGACGGCGAAAACATGAACCCGCCATCGAATTCAAGCACGATACGAGCTCGAGCTCTCGGTGGATCGTGGTCAAGCGGGAAGAGTAGAAAGTCGGAGAGCATCTCCCCAGCACGGCATTCGGCCGAGCGCCTACGGGTGCTGTTCGAGGATCTCACGGACACTGCGTCGAGGCCCACGTCACAAGGGCAACAGTCAAATGCAGTGACTTCGAAGAACTTTCGTTCGCAAAGCTGTGTGACACAGCAGACCTGGGACTTAGACCAGGCTGAGATACTGCCGGCCAATCAACAATGGCTCCGCGCAAGCAACCTGGCGAGCATGTGTTTATGTATATGCAGCCTAGTTCTACAAATGCGATTTAACCGGTATCGCTCACTACTGCACCTTTCAAGAAGCTGCATGTGTATTGTATCCTGTACGCATTCTCAAGTCAATCGTGTAATTGTCGTGATGCATTTCTCTGATTGGGTAATTTCAACTGTAAGCGAAACAGGAACAGGAATTCGTCCGCGGCGTTGGCGCGTTCGAGGATCCGCATCAGCCCCATTCCAGCCGTGAGAAATGTCACATCTCGAAGACATTACAACACCTGAAAACGGGTACTATGTACTCGTCACCGGCGCCAACAGGTGAGACAAATTAGTCATTCAATGGAGACAGTCGATTGACACAATCGCAGTGGCCTGGGACTTGGCATTTGCACACGAATGATCGACGAGTTCCTGCAAACACGCTCCCAAACCGAATCCCTCGTCCTCATAATCACAACACGCGACAAGAAGAAAGGCGATGCCACGATCAAAAAACTCGAAGCATACTTGCGCAAGGTCTGCCGCCAGCATGAGCGGTCGCTGCCAGGCATTGCACAGCTGCTACAAGGGCGGGTACACTTCAGGCAGGAGCGACTGGACCTACTGAGCCTCGTCTCGGTGCAGAAGCTCGGCAAGAAATTGTTCGAGACAACGCCAAAGCTTGATGTCGTCATCTGTAACGCGGGCATTGGCGGGTGGACTGGCATCAACTGGCCTCTAGCCATCTGGAGCGTCCTGACGAAATTCAAGACGGCGGTCACATTCCCAACATACAAGTTATCTGGCAAAGGATGGGTCGCCAAATCACAGCTGCCAGCCAAAGATGGGGAACCGCAGGACGAACCTCCGTTGGGCGAGGTCTTCTGCGCCAACTTCTTTGGACACTACCTACTGGGTCATTACCTTGCGCCGCTACTGGCACGGCATTCCAAGAGCGAAGACACGAGGGGGAGAATGATCTGGACCAGTAGTCTGGAAGCATACGCACACACGCTGAATCTGGACGACTTGCAAGGCATAATTTCAGAGGATGCCGCGTACGAATCATCAAAGCGACTGACAGACGTCATGGGCATCACATCAAGACTTCCAGCTACGTCCAACGCCGTAGATCAGTATTTTGACCTGCCCAACGAACCTGGCACCACAAAGCCTTTAATCTACGTTACCCACCCCGGCATCACCGCGACCGCTATTTTCACACTTCCGCTCATCCTCGAGTACGCCATGATCGCCGCATTTTACATCGCCCGCTGGCTTGGCAGCCAATGGCATCCCCTTACACTTGAGAAAGGCGCAGTTGCTACGGTCTGGCTTGCACTCGCCAAGCAGAGCACACTGGATACAATGGAGGAGAAGGAAGGCGTAGGCAAGTGGGGCAGTGCAACAGATGCCTGGGGTCAAGAGCGCGTTGAGCGAACAGAAGTAGCTGGCTGGGGCTGGGGCGGCAGACTGGCCGAGTACAAGAGGAAAGGAAGAGATCCGCATGCGAAGGATCTTACGAAGGAGGATAAGGAGAACTTCGAGGTGCTCGGAAAACGCTGCTGGGAGGAGATGGAGGTGCTCAGGTGCGAGTGGGAGGACAGACTCAGGCGCGCTGGCGTTGCCGTCGAGATGCCTTGAGCGTTCACTCGCAGACTTCGCAACATTGTACGACTACACGAGACACATTAACGCCACATTTTTGCATTGTAATAGTTGGACTTTCTTCTTTCAAATCAATACAGTTCGCTATCCCTCCATCCTCAGCCCACTTCGAGAACTTTATGTACACTCACATGCACTTGAGCAAAATCTGCACTGTTGAGCCCACGATAAATCGCGGCTGTTTCGTGATACCTACGATCTTCGGGCCTGGCACTTCACACTTGGCCTCATCTTCGGCCTCGCGGCAGTCGAACTCTGATATCGTGGCCCACGCTCCATCGGCAACTCTCGTCTGCTGCTCGCGTGAAGTTTTTTATGAGCTATGATGTAACGTCATGCATAGTTAGTGTGGAGCGTGGAGTCGTAGTGAACTATACTTCCACGCGGAACCGCAGTTCGACGGGTAGCCGACGGCACGAGCTGGTTGAGGCACGAGGTTGGATGGAAATCGGCCACACGGAGCTCAGCACCTAACTAGCAACCTCCAACGTGTAGGTAGGTTTCGCTAACGCAGGGCAACGCGAGCACGCGTTTGACAGCAACGGACAAGAAGGTGCACAGCTATGCTAGCTCCTCAGACAATGCTACACTTTATCCTCCACATCCTCCACGAAACAACGGATTGGGCATCTCTGCGTGCGGGCTTTCTGTCGAACAAACATCAAGGGTTCAACCATCGCCACAGCCAGACTTCTCCTGCACGTGGCACGGCGCTATGACGGTAGCTTGTGGTTCGCGCCAGGAACACGCCTCGTCCCGTGCTCGCCGTTCTCGCGCCGCTGGCTTGATCAACGTGCTTTTTCGCGTGGTTGCGAGAACGAATGGGTGTGCGAAGCGAGCGTGGCTTATCACATTCGCTTCTCCTGTGATAATGAATTATCGTCTGCACAAATCCCAGGCAAGCACATTGTGGAGCGATCCGCAGCTAAGTGGCACAGGACCAATCAGTGCTGCCGGGGAATGCGTGCCGTGGATGCGCCGTCTATCGATGCATGGCCCTGAGCAGAGAGACCGACATCTGCAGGCGCGCTCCACAAACAACATGCAGCTGCTACCCAACGTTCCCCTCCTACTTGGAGCCTCTGCTTCCCCGCGCAAGCTCGCCCGCCATGCTCGTGGTTCTGTCTGCCGTGGCTGGGTTCTGCATCCCATTGCTTCTTCAGTGACGTGGAATTCACCGCCCATTTGAGCTTCGCCAGTGCTCAGCGAACCGAATTCTGGCTTTGCCGCACTTTCAAAACCGCGACTTTGAGACATGGCACCGAAGGCAGACCCTCTATCGAGCGACTTCCCTCCCGTGTTTGCGCGCAACACCGCCTAAATCACTCCCACCATCACCCAAACATCAACCAGAGTTCGCGACGGACCGCGCCGCCCCACGTTGTTACACGAGGCGCTTTCCAGGGTCAATGACGTTGTGCTGGACCCTCGCGCACCACAACGCTCTCGAGCAGTCGCGCGATTGAATCACACCGGCAAAAGAGCGGGTGTACCACATTGTGGAGTCCAGGGTAGAGGGTTCAGGGTCCTCTGTTGCAGTCTTTGACTCTGTGCGAAACAAAAGAGTGGCTCGCAAACCACCATATAGTCAATCCCTGCTCACGACCCACAACTACCAAATCAACCACTATTGGATCCAGACTATCGCAACTATCATTACGAGCACACGGCCAATATGGCAAGCCCGCCCCCCTCGCGAGGGTCCTCAGTCGCCCACACGTCCAGGCCTGCGACACCCGAACCCAAACCTGCATTCAGCCGGTCAGCGACCTCGATGAGTATGCCCAGAAACGAGTTACTGCGCAAGACGCTGGAGGCCAGGCGAGCTCAGGACACTCCTGTCCATAGCTCGTCGAAGCCGGCGCCTCTCGATACCCTTCCTCCCCGCCCTGAAGCGCCGACCCCTTTGGCACGTCCGCAGCAGCTACAGACACCAGCTACGTCGCCGGATGCGTTTGACGAGTTTGACCTCCCAGAGGATCTCATGACGCCGGAATCGCCTATTCAAAAGCGACATCCTCGTCAGAAAGATGATACACCGCCACGCGGCAAGACTAACCAAGAGCTCAGCGCAGAAGTGCAGAAGCTCAGGGAGGACCTGATGACAGAGAAGATGCGATGTGAGTTAACGAAAAAAGGCCAGAATGATGTGCATGACAGATGGTTGAAGGCAAAAGGGGAAGTGGAACGGCTTCAGTCTCTGGACCTTGAGATGCGTGAAGTGGAGGCAGAGAACAGGCAGCTCAAAGATCTGTTGGAAGCTCACCAGGAAGACATGGTAATGCTCGACGATATGCACGAGCACCTTGACCTGCTGCAATCTGAAAGAGATGCCGTCGAAGAACGTAACCAGGCCCTACAAGCGGAATTCGACGACCTCAAGAATGCGACTGCCGCAGAGCTTGCGAACATGGAAGATGCTTTCAAAGAAGCCGTGGATCTAGTTCACAGTCACGAGAGCGAGAAGGCCGATCTCGCAAAAGAAAGTCACGGCCTGAAGAGCGAGAATAAACGCCTCATAAGAGAACTTGGCGATCTCAAAGCAAGGATGACTGCGATCGAATTGAAGCATGTCGACGGCAGCTCCGATTATCCTCGGCAAGTCCTGGTCGACACCAGCCTTGACGAACATCGCCCTGCCACCAGCTACGACGACTCGGACTACTACAGCCAGCCAGCCACGCCTCGTGCAGATGTCGAAAAAGACGCGCAGTCCCTCCGATCAGTGACTTCGGCTCGTTCGAGGCAATTCATCGAATTGACCAGAGAGCGCACACGGTCAGCGCGCCGCTTGTCGAAGCGCATGTCAGATGCTTCTCTTATGGCAGCAAGCGTGTTCTCTGCTGTACATACTCCCGAAGTCCCGGAAATTCCCGAAGAGACTGCGGAAGTCACGCCTCGAACGGTCGGCGAGAGGCTTACGGATCGGCGGTATCATCAGTCGGGTGCCGAGCAAGTCGTCGCCAGATCAGTGACAGACATGCGTCGGCCTGCCTCCAATACTTCAGTGCAGACACACCAGCCCTCCGGACTTCGCAGCGTGTATCGACCAGATCAGATGCAACAATCAAGCACGTCACGGCCTTCATCAAGTCACAAGACCAGCTCAGGCAAGACCTCACGGCCACATACTCGCGGGAACTCCGCTGCCGAATCAAAGCCAGTGCCACCGCCGCGTATGAGCAGCCGTCACGCACACACCTTTAGCGAGGATCGTCTTCGGCCACAGCCCTCAGACGCGACCTTCGAGTCTAACACGACATGCGGTACTCTGATAGGGACAGAAGAGCAAAAGCAAGAGCAAGTACTAAGCGCGTGGTCTTCAGCAAACCCTCGTACTTCCACTGTATCATTACTGACAAAATCTCCTCGCATAGATATAGCAGACAGAGACCGCTGGTGGAAAGACACCGAACACGTAAAGCCGCTGCTGCGGACGAGAGCGACGACGAGGACACTTCGAGCAGACTACAGCTCAGACGACGGCGATTTGGGGTTGGCGACCTTCGCCGTTAGGGCAGGCGGCGTCAGGACAACTCCTACTACGCCCGCGGCGCAGGGGCCGCCAGAGAAGGATTTCTTGTTCAATCCGAAGGAGAATGAAGAGGATTTCGTGCGGAGAGCGATGGCGAGGCTCAAAGGGAGTATGAGGAGACGGCATAATGAGCTGCCCTAGCTGGGTGTAATGATTGTACGCTTCATGATTCCCTTTGTTAGTTACAATTTTGGCAGCATGGCATTCTTTTGGATGGTCCGCGAGGACATTCGGTTGGATCCTCTACTTGGACCAACCTTCTTGGGCTTCCACGCGCCGGCGACGCGCTTCTTAGGCAACCTTTTTGGGACTGCTGGCATGCAGATGTATTCATAGACTAGGCGAAACAGTGCTGATGCTCGAACCTTGTATCATGTGAAAGTGGAAGCGGCGCACGTGCTCGCTCGGAGGTGCCACGTTTACTCCGCACCGCCCCATCCCAACCACAGTTCCGTCATCGCTCTTTGCCCGAGCATTCACCCTCCTTCTCTCAAGTCCTCTACGCTTCAAAGATGCAAGCGCAATAACCCACACAACCCACTAGACTGCCGTATTGTAGCGCACACGACACACCAAAATGATATCCTCAGGCTTCACCAACGCGCCCGTCTCCCAATTCCTCGTCTTCGGCACCGTCATCGGGTCTCTCGTCGCATCCCTCACCGACACACGATATTACCTCCCGATTGCTGTGGTGCCGCATATCTGGGGCTATGGACAGCTGTGGCGTGTGCTGACGTGGGGTTGGGTGTGGACAAATAGTACCGAGGTGCTGTTTGGCGTGCTCGGATTCTATCAGCTGAGGGTCGTGGAGAGGCTGTGGGGGAGCCGGAAGTTCTTGGTACGTTTGCTCTCTCCTCGCCGTCCTTCGGCGTCAAAGACGTGTCGTGCTAGAACAACATGCTAACCACCATGCAGAGCTTCATCATCGCAACCCTCCCGTACACGACGCTTCTTCCGCCGCTGCTCTTGACCTTCGTCCTGAGACCGCTCACACTCGGATACGTCAACTACCTGCCCTCGGGCCCAACGGCCATGCTCTTCGCCCTCCTCGCAAACTACTACGCCGCCATCCCCTACACGTACAAATACCGCATCTCGCCCTCCACCCCCTCCCCTTCATCCTCTTCGACAGCAACCCAACAAGCAACGTCCGTCTGGTCGCGCAGCCTCACAGTCACCTCCAAAGCAACGTCGTACATTGCGCCCTTCCAGCTCGCGCTCTCCCAGTTCCCCGGCTCGCTGCTCGCCGCTGCAGTGGGCTGGGCGGTCGGGACTGCGTACCGCCGCGATTTACTACCAGGGGCGTACGCGTGGCGGGTTCCGGGGTGGATGGTGGGCGAGGAGGACGGAGACAAGGGCGGGTTCGATAACCTGAGGCAGCGGCTGGAGCATGAGCGGGAGGGCACGAGCACGGGGATTCTGGCGGGCGAGACGGGGCAGGGGGCGCTTAGGCGGCGGACGCTGGGGGAGATGATCGGGGGTCAGTTCGGTGGAGGGCGGTGAAGTAGATCTCGATGGCTGTGCGAGAGGCGAGTAGATGAGAGAGAGAAGCAACGATGCAAGATTGCCACGATCAAACGGTTAGAGACTCTGGCTGCGCGCGTTCCGCTGCTCGATGCCAGCTTCACGCCTCCAGCTCGTCGTACAGCCACACGCCCTCTCCCTCCCCTCTGACGAACAAACACATCTCCGCCGTCCTCTCGCCAGCAACAGACACAACATCAGCCTGTGCCACGCTCATCGCCCACATGATCAACCGCACGCCCAGGTTCTCCGTGGGCTCGCTAATGAACGCCCCCGCCCCATCCGGGCCCTTCACAAACGTAACGCCAAGATCATCCAGCACATCGCCCGGCCCAAGCCCCCCCTGCTGGCCCTCCAACACCAAGAAATCGCAAAGATGCTCGTCCAGAAACCCATACGTCTCGGCGTCTTCAATCCCATCCTCGACGCGCGGCAGCGGATGCGCACTCGCGAGACGCGCGAGCAAGTCGGAATTGAGCGCCCCGGCGTTCTCGGCGTTGGTCAGGATGAGCGCGGCGTAGGCCACCAGTAGTAGAGACCAGACCAGGCGGTCGTCCTGCGCGTCGTTTAGATTGTATTTGCGGAGCCCGGCTTCGAAGGTGAGGGCTGCGGCGGGGTACTCGGCGCGCAGGGCTGCGAGGCCGTTGGGTTGTGTGAGGAGGGCTGAGCGCGGGGGGAGGGCCGTGGTGCTGGGGATCAGGAGGGTGGAGATTGCGGATGAGAGGTCGGAGCGCACGGCGTGGATGACGGCGGCTTGGCCGTCGCGGTAGGATTTTGCGAAGCGTTGCTTGGTGTTTGTTGGTTCCAGGGGGAGTGTGAGTGGGAGCGTGGAGCTGCGCTGGGTGAGGGCTTGGTGGAGGAGGGTGAGGACTTGGAGGGTGATTCGCTCTCCTGGTTTGGCGATGTTGATGTTGGCGAGATCCAGATCGAGAGAGAGAACGGTTTGGATGAAAAAGAAATGGACGATGTACGGGGGTATGCCGCGGAAGAACGAGATATGGTTCTCGTATCGTCCGAATGGATGTCCCTTGGCGCGCAGGAAGTGCTGCTCCTTGTTCGGGTCTGTCTGCAGGAAAGATGTGTCCATGCCGAACGGCACGCTCTCCGGCTGCATCAGTCCCACCTGCGTGGCATATTGCATGAGCTCGGGCTGGAAGGCGAGCTTCAGGGCAAACTGCTCAATGGGGTTGTTCTCGAGGCAGAAGCCGTAGCCGAGGAGCAGCTCATCGTTTTGCTTTGGGGCGTAGTTGTTGAAGAGCTCTTCGTTGACAGTGAAGTCGGAGCTGTCAAGGCATCGGAGGGTGAAGGATTGGTGGGGCTTGAAGTCCCATTCTACCTTGGCCGTGACGGAGTGGTTGAGGATGTCAACGACTGGGAAGAGGATCGGTACCGTCTCGATTTCAGGCAAGATGTGTGTCGAGATGAATGCTCGCGATGTAAATATGGTGGCGGCCCAGAGAAGGGATTCGCTGGAGCGCATTAGTATATACCTACCAAGTATGTGCATCGTCCAGTGGCAAGAGTGGTGTAGAAGGCTATGACGGGCAGCCTACCAGCCAGTACCGTTGACATCTAGCTACTGGCACCGGATACAGACAGTCAGTGTCACCGTTACGAGCACTTACAAGTCGACCTCATCAGCCCAGGCAACACCAACCTCTCTTATCACGCTAACGGCGTGTTCCCACTGCTTCTGGTAGTCTGCCTTCCTCTCCTTGAGAGCAGGGGCCAGGCTGGTTCCGGCAAGGAATGCAACGTCTTCCTCACCAAACCAGAGAGGGGTGGTCATGCTCTCCACCGCAGGTAGACACGCGATGTAGTGGTGCCATGGCGAATCATTGCCCTTGTTGCGCTGTTCAATCAAGAGCAGATAGGTTAGTATGTGGTCAGGTATTCGGCCACGACACTGCTGTAGAGGGCTCGTGATCGGTAGCACCTCTTTCTGATCAGAGTCTAGGTTGAGGCTCGATAGGGTCAGCTTCAACGGACAGGCCACCACCTCTGGTGTTGTGGGCCTCAGCGCTCGCATGTGATGACCTTGAGACTCGTTGTGAACAATGTGGACATCCGGACTCATCCAGCCCCCATTTCGGGTGAACCATGCGATCAGGTCTTCGGCCAGTGGATGTTTACTGAAACCGTGACTCGATGTTCGTACGGCATCAATGCCACGTTCCGACTGGCGCTCGTCTGATGACATGATGGCTTGATCGCGGTGAGGCTGCTGACACGAGCGCTGTTGATGGCCAATTCGGTCGCAGTGGACATGCAAACCGAACTATGATTCGTCACGATCGGGTGTGCAACGCTTGGGCGAGTGATCGCGATTTCACGAGCTGGTCGGCGCCGGCGCAAATTTTGACGCGGTGCACGGGAAGCGGATGACAGCGGATACCGATCGGACGAACAGACAGGGCGCGAACAGGAGCTGGAACGAGTTTGCAGAAGTTGCAAGAGAGCGGGGAATAATCGGGATGCAGAGACAATGCAGAGATCGGCCGATGGGTGTTTGGTGCGGCGGGCTCGGCGAGCGGTGAGGATGTTCGCAGTTGAGTTTTCTGGTGTGCAGCAATCTCTGTTGTTGGTCTAGTCACTGCAGCGCAAATCTCGATTCAAGCTCCTTGAGCACCACCGAGTCTTTCTTGAGCATCACCGAGTCCTTCTTGAGCATCACCGAGTCCTTCTTGAGCATCACCGAGTCCTTCTTGAGCATGGCCGAGTCCTTCTTGAGCATGGCCGAGCCCTTCTTGAGCATGGCCGAGTCCTTCTTGAGCATGGCCGAGTCCTTCTTGGAGCTGAGGTTGTACGGTCCAAGCATGTTTATCGATATCGGTGACTTGCAGCTCGCTTGAGCTTACCGTGACACGGCTGGCAGCCAATGAGATTCAAGAGGCTACGCATACGACGAACATGCGCGCACTCGCGCTGCAGGTCAAGTCCTCAGCGGTGTGTTACGCGGCCCTTCCTCATGGCCAAGCAGCCAGGAGACGATGGATCGTTGCATTGAAACAAACAAGATGAACGAATCGAGAAGCAGTCCGTGCAGCGTGCTTGAGCACTTGCGTCTTGTGTGTAGTTTGGATCATGGCCGCGCTAACGGGCCGGGAGACATGACGGCGTTGGAGGTGCCTCGTGCGTGGGAACCTCGGACCACGGCCAAGCCGATGTTCACGAGCAGAAGTGAGGGTGAGCCTGTGAGCATGCGATGAGGGAATTGCAGAGCCGACCATCCGCGTGCATGGTCCACGGCCTTTGCTGAAGAAGCTGCAGAGGCACGACGGGCAATCTCCTTTTGCCACATATCCAGACCTGAGACACGCGGTACCTCTGCTGCGCGTGCCGGGTGCCAGACTACCAGTGGCTGTTTCGTCCCTGCTTCCCTGCATAGATCCGCGCGCTGCTAGGTACCTGTGGCTGGTAAGTAGCCAGACCGTGGGTGGTGAGCATTGCGCACTGGCGCCCTAGCAGATTGCGCACTCTGGCGGAGACTGGGGGGCCTCAAACCTCCAGGCGCACCGGAGTCAGGACTGCGGCCCTCAAATATGGCCACGGCCGCCAGCTGCTTATGCTCCCCCCTTTCGGAGAGCCCTCCTGCGCATGTACAGTAGAGAAGGAGCTGACCCCGCCGCCAGCATGCCGCATCGATAGCCCAGAGCGCGTGCAATAATGCTGCTGGACATGTTGACCGCTGACACGCCCACCAAACACGACCACGACCACGACCACGGCCACGACCACGGCCACGACCACGGCCACGGCCACGACGCACCTCCGCCCCGCCGCCTGCCCTCGCCGGCGAACGCTCGCAATGGCGCCTACTCGCTGGCGCAGATGCCGCTGTCCATCCTCAGCTCCGTGCTGCGTTGCCAGCCCCAGTCGCCGGCGGCTCCCACGCAAGACGCCGCCTCTCCTGCGGTCGCTCCCTACAACGCTGCCACCCACGTCGCCTCTCCCGCGCCCTCTCGCCCCGTCTCCGCCGGCAGCAGCGCAGTGGCCGGCGAGAGGCCCCGCAAGAAGGCCCCGCGCCCGAAGACGTCCTACATCATCGCCCACCCTCCGCCGACCGTCCACCCGCGCTCCAAGCTGCACATCCGCCCCAAGGTGCAGCTGCAGCTGCACCAGGTCCTGGCCGCCCAGCGCCCCAAGCCCGTCTACGAAGTCATCCCGCTGTCGCTCCTCGCGCCCCGCTCCACGCGCCGGCTGGCCCGCGCCTTCAACACGCGGGAGCGGCTCGGCCACCACGACCTGCTCGTTGTCAGGGCTGCCGCATACGGCCACACCGACGAAGACCACAAGTCGGACGACGAACGATGGGGGTCGCGAGAGGTCGTCGCCGTCATCTGCCCCGCCAAGGCTGAAAGAGGTCACGTCGTGAGCCACACGGAGATCTGCATGGACGACGGAACGAGCCGCTGGGAAGTCGTCGCCATGGCCAACGGCGGCTACGAGTTCACCTCGCTCGACGAACACGGCCTGGCCATGAAGGCGCGCTGGGTCACCAAGCCTCCCAACTCGCGACGCATCTCCAGCCAGTCGATGACCTCGCAGCCCTCACCTGGTCTCCCACCCGCCAAAGACGACGCAAAGTGGAACTTCAGCACCATCGACGCCAACTCCAGACGCCATCCCATCATTGCCAGCATGACGCGAACCCGCATCGACGTGAACGACTCGTATGCAATGCCCGCCGCAACGCAGCCTTCAACACCTGGTGCGCACCTTCCTCCCTCGCCCGCACTCACACCTGCAAGCATCGACGCCGGCTCTTTCCTCCAAGTCACCGACCGATTCCCAATCCAGACCGAAGAGGCACTGCGACGCTTCATTGTGGTCAGCGGCATCTGGGTCTCGTCTCTCCACGAAAACTACGAGCATGTCAGCCTGCCGCTCTGTCCCTCGTTCAACCATTCTGGTAGCATTCGCCACCCAATGTGCCGCGCAGCGTCCATGTCCTTCCTTGAATCGCCGCGCTCCGCATCTCCAGCCTCGACGGACGACACGGAAAAGTCTATTCCTAAGCTGCTTCGGCATACTTCGCACAGATTGAACCGCCACGCAAGTTTCTCCATGGAGCCTCCTGCTTCGCCAATGTCGGCTGAGATGGCTCCTTCTTCTCCTGCTACCAAGGCTCGCCCACGTCGCGCAAACTCTACTGGAACACACAATCTCTTCAGCATGACGGGCAGCCTGAAGAGACGATACGGCATTCCGTCACAGGTCGAGACTCTCTCAGAGGCCGAAGAAGACAAGGAGAACAAACGCAGTGAGGAGATAGTGCGGCTTAAGCAGTTGGCACTTCCCACACCGATCGAGCTATCGCCATCTGGAATACCTGCGGCAGAAGCTCCTCCGCGACCTCCAGTTCTGATCATACTCCCACCCACCGTCATCCGCCCCTCAGCCGACGGACTCTCATCCCCCATGCTCCTCCCATCACCGCAGCTTCCGGACTCGGACCGAAAGCGCAAGACCCAATCGGCCTTCAACCCCATCACGACTGCTGGTCTGTGGGACTCAGGCGTCATTGACGGACCGGGCTTGAAGCGGCGCCCGACTAGCATGTTCGTCATGAACGAGCGCAAGAAGAAGGAGGAGAAGAAGCGCGGTCGGAGTGAAGGCAAGATGAAGAATCAGGAGAGAGGTGCGACAGATCGCAGCACGAGCAAGGAGGACTTGAAGAAGGGTCACAAGAAGAACGAAAAGGACTGCACAGGCATAGGGAGGAAGCTGAAGAATAGTCTCAAGGGCATGTTCGGCCGCAAGGCCTGAATATGCCGCTGTACGAAGTACTTTGCGCAATCCATTGCGGACCGGATAGCGAGTCCTGATGGGCGTTTGTTTGGTTTTCCGCCACCACTACTCAAGGCCGATTGAATTTCCTGTTCCCTACGTGCGCATACATCCGCTACGTGCGCATACATGTCCTACGTGCGCACACATCAGCTACGTGCGCATTCATCTCCTACGTGCGCATACATCCGCTACGTGCGCATACATCACCTACGTGCGCATACATCACCTACGTGCGCATACATCAGCTACGTGCGCATACATCACCTACGTGCGCATACATCACGATACCCACCGATTATCGGTGCTGCTCAATTCAATCCCATCGATGCTTCCCGCCCACTCCCTCTAGAGTCTGGACCGTCTCGCACCCACTGCCCTGTCTCGCGAGCCGTCGGCCGAGCCCTCTCACCCTCCGATTCGACTGACCCCCCGACAGCCCCGATGCTTTGTACCTCCAGTCAACTCTGTCGATCCTTCCGCCAAGGTCTCCGAAGTGGGCTCCAACGTGGGCTCCAACGTGGGCTCTGCGACTTGGTAGCGAGCGCTCGGAGTGGGTCTGGGTCTGCATCTGGGTCTGGGTCTGGATGCAGCCCTATCGCTATCGGACCGGCGCTCTCGGGGCCCGGGGATGCGGTGCGCGGCGAGGGGCTCTGGACGGGTGACGCTAATTATATTGCGAGGAGATGGCTAGGTATCAGGGGTCAGGGGTGTGGGTTTTGGGCTGTGGGTCTCAGGAGAGTAGGGTTTTCTTGCTTGCTTTGTCGAGGGATCGCGAGGCGTGACTATTGGCGTTGGGGCGAGAAAAGCAGGTGCGTATCGAATCTGGCCAAGGACAATTGCGTTGAACTCTGTGAAATTGTCAATTGTAAACAAGAGCCGTGTGATATGTTCAGTGCATTTGAAGAGCGTTGCTGTGTATAACTCCAACCATTAAAATCAGCAATTGGCAGAGCTGAGAACAGCAATAAACGAGCCTGCCAAAGCTTCATGCGCAGAACGAACCGCAGCTTGATCATGAGCGATGATACATGATGGCGGAGGTATACAAACATGCAAACGTCTCGCAAAGCGAGGCAATAGCAGATCCACCCATCCTCGTCTACTTCTCAAGCACCTCCCAATCAGCACCCTCATCAGCCGCCACCTTGTCCCACTCTTCATCGTCGCTGAGATCGACATTATCCCACTGTGCGTCCTCGTCTGCTTGCTGCTGGACAGCAAGAAGCTTCATCCTGCTATGCATCCGCAGCCTAAGCCTCTCTTTCTCTTTGTGTGCGGTCTGCGTTGGAGGCGGAAGGAGGTTCCTAGGCAACAGTGCCGTCTTCTGCGAGGCCTGGAGGCAGTCAGCGTATAGTCAACGCAGTTTTGATTTGTCACGTACAAGCTGCGAGGGTTGAGCGAAAGCTGCCGCGCTTGCTGTCGCGCGATCACCAGACGGAGTTGCAAACTTGGGCTCAACCTCTGGGTCGGCCTTTGGTGAAGCCTGGAGGTAGTCAATGTATGATCGCCGCAAGATGGCTTCAGCACTCACGATATTCGCGGCGGCTTGAGCGAAGGCCATCGCAGACGGAGGTGCGGCCTTGGGCTCAGTCTTCCGCGGAGTCTGGAGGACATCAGCACACAATCGCGCCAGCAAAATACAGCACTTACCGGCATCGAGAGATCTGGGCGCACCGCGCGCACATCCTCGACCCAAGTGGTCGTCGGAGACCTCACAATCAGTGGGCTCTTGACCGCTGATCTGTCGGGCCAGAACCGTGTCGTTTGCGTCTCGCGCCTCAGTCTCTCTTCCTCCGCTCGCAAACGCTGCCTTTCTTGCTCCTTCTTCTGCTCCTCAGCTTGCCTCTTCCGAGACTCTTGGTGAACACGCTCCTCTTCAATGCCGTGGAGGTGGCGTATGCTCCAGTTGTTCTTGCATGAGTGGCAATTGGGAAGGCGAATCGTCCCAGCCCACACCCTACCTGGCGGTGGAAAATCGGAGACGGCAGGAGTTAGTGGCGAAAGGCATTTGAATCCATCGCGTTTCTCCGCTGTAGCGATACAGGTGTCGTAATTGTAGTGCTTGTTACACCACGACGTCTCCACTGTTGGAGTCAGTCCTCGATTCTGCTGGCATTTCTCTGCCCCGAAGGCAGTCTCCAGCCTTCGGGCAACGTCACAAAGATCAGCGTTGAGCTTGCGCTTCTCGCTCATAGGCGCCTGGAAATCAGTCTTGGGCTGTTCGTACTTCTTCTCCGCAAACGGATCAGTGAAGTCAATCTTGCCTCTGGTTGGTTTTCCCTTCAGGTGGATTCTTGAGTGTCCATCGATCAGAGTGGAAGAAGAGGCGCTAAGAGGTGGAGGATACCTGTTCACGACCCTGAGAATATCTCTGTGTACCGGTTCTGGTAGGGGACATGTGAGTCCTGCCGGACGCTGGTAGCAGTGGGAGGAAGGAGGAGGACGGACGATTGTTGGTGATATTTTCGTGGATGTAGGCATTCCACGATGCGCCGTAGGATCAATGGCACCATTGAGGCTGAGGGGTGGGACATCGTGAAGAGATGTGTAATGAGAAACCGGGGCTACTTGCGCAACGCGACGTAGATTTGGCGGTGATGGTGGGGCGTAGAGCGAGTCGGAGCTCGAAGAAGATGCAGGACGGGAGGCCATATCCTCGTGCTGGACGTCTGTCGAGAGCGTATCACTGTTGTGAGGCACTTCTTGCTGAGACGTGCGTTCTGTATCCTGTGGACGGCTGGAGTCGTAACTGCAATATAGACTCCACTCTCTGGAATACTCAGACCACTTTGACATGATGGCATTGAAAGCTCTTGTTGAATGACTTGTCTGAGAAAATGGAGGTACGAGAGTGTGATATGAGCTGAATTTGGGATTGCAGACAAAGCTATCGTGCGAAAGCTGGTAGCAAGTGCCCGGAAGGTTCATGTGTGCGTAATCTTTAATTGGTTCGTGCAGTTCCAGGGTTCAATCGCCTGATTTTCGTGGTAGGTATATGTTTTCAGAGGGTCAACCCCTCACTCGACCACGCTTCTTAATATAGATTTGGGTTGCCAATGGGAGAAGGGTGTGATCAGATTCGAATGCTACTTTCCATGGGAAAGTCTATGCAATGGTAAACAAAACGCCATGCCATCATAAGCAACCATGTCAAGGTTGATGCTGTGCGGTCCCGAAACGCCATAACCACGACAACAAATGCAAAAGGCGCGCTGACCGCCATTACCCGCCAAATCCAACAGTATCGTCATATCTACAAGCGTACAGCACTCAATGACTGGGTCCTGCCCTTGGTGTGGGCCTCGGGGAGGGGTTGTATGTCCACGCACCCTCGCGCACCAGCCTCTCACGTGCTTCTCTCTCCTTCCTCTTCTCTTCGTCTGTGACCTGGTCGTGGACCCAGTACGCACTCGAAGTTCTCTCACGGAACCTCTTGTGCCTTTCCTTATTGGGGAACACCTGCTCCATGTTCAGGGGCGCAATAGGCCCAAAGATCGCCTCAGGGTCCATGAGCTGCTGTGTGGACAGCATCTCCCGCAGATTCGGTGTGTTTACCCAGGATGGTTGCTCGAACTCGTTATCAGAGTCCTCGTCTTCGCTGTCAGTCATGATCTCGGGAAGCTTGATGTCGTCGCCGTTCGGGTACTGCATTGACGGCTGTATAGGCTTCGAATGCGATGCGTGGGCTGAGTCTAAGCCGGGAATCTTGCCCTTGGCGTATTGCGAGGGGTGTCCAGGTGTGATAGGGTTTTGTTTCAGCTGAGATGGCCGCTTGGGTGGGCGCTGTATGGTTTCTGTATCATTATCGAGAGCTCGTTTGGGGGGTTTGGCTGTATTAACTGGAGGCACACGAATGGAGTTCGCATCTTGGACAGTCCTTAGGGTTGTGGGAGCTCGAGCAGCTGCAAGGTCTGCACGAGGCTGTGGTGCTTGAGGCTTCGCCTTCTCAAAGCTTGCAGCGGCTTGCGGCTGGGGTCGAGATGCCTTAGGAGGGGGTGCTTTAAGAGTGTTTGGTGCCGACTTTGCTGATGGTGCAACCTTATTGGCCATTGCTGTACCGGGCCTCGACAATGTAGCAGCAATGGGCTTTGAGGTCGATTTGCCAAGCGTGGGTGGGCCGGTCGATTTCGCAGTGACAGGTGCCGGACGAGCGGCTGGAGGAGGTGCTCGAGCGTACTGGTTCTTGATAAAGATCTTTTGTGGCTCCTGAGGCTTCGAAAGGGCGTCTTTGCTGTTCGGCTTCACAAGCTTCTTAGGCGGCCTGACCTTGGTTGTAGGGAAGGTAGGAAGCAAGCTCTTCGGGGGAGGTGGCGGTGGCATCTCATCGGCGGAATCGGTACCCTGATCCTCGGGGGCTGAGTTCAGTCGGACGGGGTCAGGTCGAGGAGCCGGCTTGAGGCTGGTCTGAGATGACATCTGAGAGGGTGCCTTCGCAATTGCTGCCGCGGACGCAGTCTTCTTGTGATACGCCGCAGCTTTGGTCTGCTCCTTTTCCCGCATCTCTCTGAGCTTGTCTTCGCTCTTCTGTTTATGTAGCAACTCCTTCTCCCGGGCCACTCGCTCCTTGGCCTTCTCGCGCTCTGTAGAACCGCGGGTTTTGCGTTCCTTTACCGGGCTACCCGGGGCCTCTGCAGACTTGTCCAACTTTGCGGACTTGGCAGACTTGGTAGATTTGGCAGATTTGATGGAGTCCTTTGAAGGTGATCGCATATGGGAAAATATCGAAATTGGCCGCTCAGTCCGCTTGGGACTACTCGGAAGATCGTCTGACGAAGGTGCAGGTTGCAATTCTGGTCGTCTGGGGCTGGAAGAAAGGCCTTCGAGCCTGACCTGGGCACTCGCCGCTGTGGAACCGATAAGCTTGTCCTTCGCTGCGCGAAGAGCTGAGTAGAATTTAGCCTTTGAAGCACTAAGTGGGGCATCCATGTATTTCTTACCAGCTGGGGAGCCAACCGGAGTGGTTGAGTCCGCAGCTGCTGAGAGATCAGGATTGGAGGTTGAGATCAGCTTAATTGGTGACGGTTTCAACTTGTGCGGTGAGGAGTGTGAAGCCACAGTGTGGCTCTTGTTGATCGGAGGCCTAACAGGATTGCTAGCGGGCGCTGTTGTTTTGATTGGCGCCGCGATCCATGAATCGTCATCGTCCTCCTCCTCAGCCTCATCTTTCTCGGGTTCGGCTGGAAGGGTGGGGTATGTAGGTTGCGACTGCGATGTGTGCGCTGGCGCAGCAACCTCCTTCGGCTGTGAAGCAGTGGTAGGGTAGACCGAGGGCCGCGAAGACTGCGACAGGATATTCTGGCTGATTCGTTTCGGCGGTGCGTGCTGCTCGAGCATCTGAAAACGCTCAAATAGGCGTTGTGTAGAGGTCTTATTGTGCGTCTTCGTTGTTTCCGACTCTTCGCGCTGCAATCCAAGTCGGTGGTCCTCGTCCATGTCCAAGTCGTCGTGCTGAGAATCCAACGGTTGCACTATCTGCGACGCTCCTAGACTCTTTCCTCCCGTATGCCTGATCTGGCTTGTTCGTCCCATGCTCTTCTTGGGAAGGATTGGCTCTCGCGCGGGTAGACAGGCGAACGTGAGACTGCTCTTCCTAACCAGCGGCTTCACGGGACTGGAGTGCTCGGACGGCGTGGGCTCTTCATCGACCTCCATCTCATCCTGAACGTCGTCGTGAGCAATCGTGTCATCATGTGCGCTTCGTTCGGATGAAGCTGGCGGAGGCCCGGCTGGGGTGTGGGAATGATCGATGTCTGACGGGTCAAAGAATTCGGGTGTGAGGGCGTGGCGATTCGCGGTGTCGTGGGCATCGTAGGTTTCGGCACCAATGCTGAAGGCATCAGACACAACGCGAGGCGGTTTCGGGAAAAGTGAGATGTCTTGCATATCATCCTCATCCTCGTCCTCCTCTTCTGCGTCAATGTCGTGATGCACGACTGTGCCGCGACTTTCTGTCCTCAGATCCTCTTCAAAATCCTCATCAAGAAGCGCGTCGTTCAGCTCGGCTTGCTCGCGCAAATCCTCGTTTGATGCTGTCTTGCTGCGGAACACATCCTTTGCTGAGACAAACGAGTCTTCTGGTGCGTCCTTGTCTTCGGTCTCTTCATCTTCCAGATCGTGTATCGAGTATCTGAAGGATTGTGTTGCTTGTGTGGTTTGTGTTCGTGGAGGCGAGAAAATGGCATTGGCTTGCGAGCTGAAGGCTGTATCTTGTGTATCGAACGACGCCCATTGCGCAGGGGCAGACTGCGGTGGTGAGCGCTCGTCAGAGAGTTCGTGATCGAAGCTGTCAATGGGCTGCTCTCTGTCTTTGATTGTAGCTTTCGTGAACAACTGTCGCGCTAAAGGTGTTGGTGGCATTGGGGACTGGACTGGGGCATCGTTTTCGGCGTCTTCGGCAATCTGGAATTTCGACTTGACTGTGCTTCTCTGAGCGATCTCGCGTAGGCTCTGCTCAGCAGGCGTTGTGCGCTGTTGCAGATCTGCTGCAAAGAGATTTGCGAGAGGCTGTTGGTTGTCAATACACTGGGATTGAGAGGTACTCATGACGCGCACCTGTCTTGGCTCCGCAACGGTCCTCTTGCGCGTTGTGTGAGGTGTCTTGCCGCGTAGCTTTCCAGGTGTTTTGAATACATCTAGGTTGTGTCTACTGAGATGTCAGCGATGGCCGCCTCTACGCGTGTGATGCGCGACGTACTGCCCATCTTTGGCAAAGATGTCTGTCATGTGTTCGTTGAGCCATTCCAGCTCATTGCGCACAGAGAAGCCAAAATCCTCCAGTTCTTGTGACACAAGATCATTCGACTGATGTCGCTCCTCGAGGATCCATTGCGCTGACCCAATGGCGGGTACTTTGCTCTGGGAAGCAGTCATGTCGAATGTGATCGCAACGTGTGTGCGGCGGCAACGGGGTCAACAGTCAACGGCGATGGACACGCGTCGCAAAAGGGCAAAAAATGACAGAAAGAGCAACAGCGGACTGATTAGCTGATCATATCGTTCTATGCTGTGGTCGTGAGGAATAGCTGTGCCAAAAAGTGATGCGCGCGTCGGCCGGGATCGTAGCAGTGCAGGAGCGTTGGTGTTGTTTACAGTGCGCCTTCCGCCCAAACACTCGCTTTGGCCACATTCGCCAAGACTAAAAGTCGCCTCAACATGAATACACCTGCCGTGTCAATGCACGGTGCACGTTCATCATCATCACAACACTCAATCTCTTTCATCACATCTAGATAATTGTAATGCGCCTCTGCAATCCACACATGTGCGTATGCACTTGACGCGTGCTCACTACAGATAGTAGACCCAGTCAATGAATGCAAAGCGATGCGGTAGCACATATTTGAAGTAAATCGTAAAATTCGTGTTGGTCATTATACTACAGAACGCCGTAACCGTGTCTTGTGATTCCAGGTATGCCCAACCCAACCTTTTGCATTTGCGACTTGCGCCATACGATATTATGTCCGTCATCAATATAATACATATGCAGGACGTGAGCTCCAGCACACCCAAACTGTCCTCAGGGTATTCGCATGCTTAACGTTGATTCAATCGATGTTAGACATCCCCGCAATCTGTCCGCGTGTTCCATGACGAATCTGAATAGACATTACAAGTATTGGTCTCCTAAACCTGGCTCATGGAAGGACCACCACGGCGGATGCCACCACGGACGGCACCGCCCTTGCCAGCCATAGCGGAGAAGACAAGGGTGGCAACGAACGCAGCCCAGCCGAACCAGAGGAAGGCAGTCGCGGTCTGAGCCTGGCGACAATTTTGCTCAAGGCTGGGCGAGCTGTTGGTGACACCATTGTTCAGGGTGTAGTTCTGCGAAATTGTCAGATGATGTATTTAGAGCCGCATTACCAAAATGACATACCCTGTTCGAGCAGCTGTGAGCACCAAGGTAGGCGGGTAGCGCGACAGCGGCGCAGAAGCCAAAGAGCACGCTCAATCCATCCATAACCATATCAACGATGGGAATGGCGAATTTGTCGATGAAGGCTGTGGGAAGGAAGTACAGCAGGGTGAACAGCCACCATACACCAACGAACAGTGTGTAGTTGATGATCGAGTGTGTGCCATTAGTGGCGCGTGCGATGTTGTTGCCGGCCATGGCTATGACGATAACAGCACAGAAGAGCTACGGAGTTGTTAGCGAAACCCATTTTGATGGCTCGAGGATGCACAAACCTGGAAGGCGCGAAGGCCCATACCCAATACGCGCGACACCATTTTGAGTTATGTGATGTGCTTGAGGATGAAGAGTTGCGTTGTGTGATGTGGCGATCAAAGACTGGATTGTCTTCTGATAGATGGATGCGGAATATGGGGCTGTAAATACAGGAGGCTGATGTGAGATGATCTACCGGGGGAGCTGCGCTGCGCATATAAACGACAGGCGGGACTTGCGGCTTCCTTCGTCATCGAGAACATACGTCACGTCAGTGCTTGGGCGAAATCGCGCCGCCCCCTTCCGGATCGGGGGTTCCCAGGCGCTTGAGGCCGATCACCCCTGTTCTCGAGTTTCGCGAACAGCTGATGGGTTCCAATGATCCGCACAAAGGATGCAGTGGCTGCCGTGCATGAGTTTGAGGAGCCTTGCGGAAACCCCAAACTCCATGTTCTGTTAATTTCCAGAGGAGGGTGCACCTGTGACAGGCGCGTGGGTGTCGACACCCAGCGACTGATGATGCAAGGTCACGCAGGGATCGGCAGCATTAGCAGCCCCTGCAGCGGCTTGAGGACGAGACCTTCGTTCACCTCACAACACCAGCTACTTTTTCTCCGACGAAGCTACTGCAAGCGCCTACGTCAGGCGCGCTGTCTTACCATTGTATGACAACTTCCAATATTTTGGAACGTCGGCGAACCCTAGCAATTCTAGATCTCTTAGTTTCGGTAGCGAACTGTTGGAGTCATCGAGCTGTTCGTCAACACGCTGGCCGCAATTATGGGCCCCCAGCAATCTGTGATCCTCCTGAGCATGGTCGTGCATGAGGCTGAAAGGTCACCGTGCGCTCATGACGTTTCAGATCGTGAACGGCATCAGGGTCGTCTGCTAGGCTCTAACCGCCATGATGTTGCACAGCTCCCTCGCTACATCAGTCTGCCTGTCTTGCCTGCAGTGACATGCACACGCATTCGAATTGTCCAAAGGATACCATTGCTGTACCATAAGCACAGACAAAACATTGCGAGTACATGATTACGAATTGGGAATACCCTAGCAGTATGGGCTGGTCATGCTAGACGTTTCTTTCAATATTACGAAAGCTGCAAATAGAACTCCTACACAGATATTATTACAATCGGGCTACTGATAGCAGACTATGTCGCAATTGAGATCAGAATCGAGAGCCCTTGCAATTTCAAGCTTACCAGGCTTGATGCAACAACTCTGGTCTCCAAGTAGCGTGCAACATGGCAGCAAGCTGGAGTGTTGTCGCTGAACAGCAGATACCGACGCGCATCCAAACTTGCTCGCAGCGATTGCTGGCGTCCACGTCTCGAGGAGTCATGTAGGTTCTAGAACTACGTGGTACGAAGGGTAAGTCCTTTGTACGCGTTATAGAGTTCAACACGAAGATGTAAGCACTCGATCTGGATGCTAAGTCCATACCATCTGTATGCTCAAAGTATCGTATGTAACGTGAGCTCATATACGTCTGCCAAATTGTCACTTCGTTTGAAGTGTTACCACTTGAGGACCCGTCATGCCCAGCGGCAGGGCCTCAAGCGCGGCCTCCGCGTCTAATCTCGGTGGGTGTTAATCTCAGGGGGGTAGGTCTGGGTCTTCAATGATTTCGTAGGCAAAACTTTGCGGAGTGAAACGCCACTCCGCAAGTGCCATGCGCCGCGACTGCACTGGAGGAGACAACAGTGATGCTGCATTGGCAGAACGACGATGACGGAGTTGGCCAGTACGAGGGCGTACGAACATGTGTGATGTTCAGCTTAGGCTGAGCGCTATTGGATCGGGGAGCAGTTTGGCGTCTAAGAGGGAGCCGCGCGGGGTGGTGAATAGGTAACGTCATATGACTGCTGATGGTCTTCTTTTGGGCATGTAAGCATAATGGTCGTTGGTACATAAGGTCTTTGTTTAAGTGCAGTCATGAGCAGGCTCTGCCTGCACAGTGCAAATCCATCTTCTTTGATCGAGAGAGGAGCCGGGGCGAGACGTTGGTCATACACAGTGGAATGGGGGCTTCAACCAGACAGCGGTGCCCTCGGTCTTGTGAAATGAAAGGTTGGGGTCGAAGCGCTGTCGTTGGCTGCGGCGTAGAACTGTTGCCTAGTCGTATCATAACTGGGGAGCTGCGACTTGAGTAGCGGCCCTTGTTGTATGTGGCTCGCAGGCTCTTTGGTTGGGGGAAGTGCCTTTGATTGATGCTGAAGTTCCTCTTGCGCTCTTGGGTTCTCAAGATGTGGTGTAGTCGTTCTTGCGGGACGGCAGGGTGTTGATGGTGTTGCAGGAGCCCAAAACACACGCAGCTCTTGCAATCCCTCCTACCATTAACTTGTTCACTCGAAACCGCCTCGCGAAAACTGGAACGGGCCCCCCTCTTGACACATCCACCTGCGCCACTCTCGCATTGCCCGAGTCACGAGCCGCTTTTCGACTACCTCCTCTTTACCGATGTGCAGACCACCCGCACGCAGCGCAAGTGCGACACTCTATTGCTTAAACCCATTACCCCTCTCAAGATTCACAGCTGACAAAGGACAAACCTTGACATGAACGAGAGACATGGGCTCTCCGGAGACCTTGAAGGCGAGTCCTGCGCCGCCAAACCAACCGAAAGACCTATGCTACTCACACCTAACGTGAGCGCCTCAACTCCGACGATACATGAGCGAATAACGGATTCCATATCCTCCGAGAAGACACAATTGCTTAAGGAAAGCTGAAGGAAGCTGATAACTTGGCGACGACAAGATGTGGTCCTGCGCCTGCGGAATCAAGCAAATCTCCGCGGACATCTGTTTGACTCACGAAGAACAGGGCACAACAGGGAATTAAACGGCGGGCGCACGCGGTCTGACTGTCACGGCGCCAACTTGATAGCTCCTGAAGCGAAGCAGGGGTTGGCAAGGAACAGGATGTCAACCCGGACCTCACATCCCGTCCTGTCAGACGAAAAAGGCTCCATCAACTAAAAGGCGCGCATGCCGACAACACACTTCTGCTAAACTGTGCAAGATCGAAGTAACTCGACATGATACCCACTGATTCTGAGTATACATCAATACACCACAACGAAGTGTTCGAGGCTCGAGCGCAAGCTTGGCACAGATGCGAGCGAAGTTGGCCGCGTGGAGACCCATAGAGTCTCGATATCGACCTTGTCGATTCAGGAGCTCGGCGTCAGCCACCCGGGCGGGCACACTGCTTACTGGAGCTGCCCGAAAAGCTTGGGTGTGGATATGGAGCATCGACGCATCTCAGGGAAATGCGGGGTTGACAGCATTCCAATCAACGATTGATTTGCCGAGTTGCAATGCGTAAGGGCCGAGAAAGAATTTCCATCCGGGGAAAATGTCGTGCTCAGGTGCTCGACACCAGCTTGGGGCACGCTGTGTCACCCAGATGAACACAATTGGAAAGGTTTTCGCGAACTGTCTTCAGGATCATTGGAGTGTAGTGTCGTCCAGAGCTAGCTCCAGGAACCGTTCACCTATGTGTTTGGACACGCGAAGTAGTGTTGTCGAACGGGGAGGCACCGCAAGTCGGACATGATAAGTTACTGGATCTTCGCGGGGCGATGCGACGATCGAACAGCATCGAGAGGCTAATGTCCCTGGTGTCCGTACTAGGTTGAGCGATGGCGCGTGACAGTGTTCCTACCGTTGGTGAACTTCCTGTTTGGAACTCCACTGTTACCGCATACCTACGCTGGGCGGGGTCGTGAACGATGGCGCTGGAAGCGAAGCAGACCGGCATGCAGCGACATACAGCCCTGTAAAGAGGAACGTCGTCCATCAGAGTTTATCGGAGTCTGGATGGGACGAAAGAGGGGTCTATCGATTGACCTCATCTATGCGACAAACCCCCATCAATGATTCCGTACTGCCGGTCAACGCAAGAAGATGATTTTCGACTGGGGAGAGAAAGACGAGACTCTTGAGAGGTGCTGCAGACGTGTGACAAGGGCCCAATGATTCGATGGTATCTCCCCGTCGCGTGCGGCTTCGCTACCCCCAACAGCGCAGCAATTTGCAGGCGTTCGCCTGAAAGACGCAGGGCTAGCCTTAGTCGGTCTGGCCGTCTCCGCATTTCGTCGCGCATCTGCCACCTAAGCCCCTGATCCTTGAGCCAGCCGTGCGAGCTGCAGAAGCCTCAAAGGCGTTGGATGTCTGCGTGTTTCTGACTTCTGCCCGCTTCTTTGTCACAGGTGTCTTACGCTCAAAGACATCTCCTCATCAGCCCTGGCCTCTCTTGCCGGCTGTCCTCGAAACGCCACACGCTGATCGCACCGCTGTCGCCCTCGACCTTTCTCCTGATCTGCCAAAGCTCAGGAAACTTCAGGGTGTCTGCCGCGGCTCCGATCTCAACCGTTTCGAACCAGCGCCAAGGAGACCTCCTGTCGCCAGTCTGGCCACTATCTCACGACTTATTTATCTGCCTCTGTCGCTCGAGGCACAGGGCGATGATGTGCCCGCTCTAGTGGTCGCGTGTTATTCCTTCAACCACTGGCCCGCAACAGACTGGGCAGGCTTGGGTTAGAACGTGGCGCTTCCCCACATTCCTCAGCTGCGAACCCTCCTCGCCGATTGCAGGCTTGTATAGTTCCATGCAGCGGCTGATACTATAGAGTATCATCTCCTCTTCCAAGAAAAGTAGGGATAGATTGGGCAAGTGTTTGGCGCTCGTTCGTGTACGTTTTTGAGGTATGCTGTCGCCGCCCCGGACTTTGGCGGTTGCCACGTCGTATCGATCGAAGCTGACTGTAGTCAAGTTACCTTTCAGACCGGGTCTGATTTCTTAGAGGCTACGATTACCTTGGTGAGATAGATTGTCTGGTACGTACTCCCTAGCTGTGCGCCACAGCTTCTCATTCTCCCATGCTGCGGCTGTCCGCAGCCTCTGCTCTGCAGGCCTTGTCCTGAGTGTGCCATGAACGCAGTCGAGTAAACATACTGACAGACATCTAGGATAAACTGCCGCCACATTTGATAGACCGTGTTGTACATCGATACCCCGCCGATGCGTAATTTTGGTAGACGCCCTTCTATTATCACCTAGGTAAGCAAACTCTCATTCCATATACCCTCTTCAGTCTCAGTTCCTTCGCTTGTTTCACCCTCTACAATCGATGTCCCAAGTATGGAGTGGCTTGGAGGCGGTCGTTTGAGGAAAAGAAAGGTATGCGAAGGCTGCCGCGCGGAGTTTGTGCTGTGTGCGGACGTGCATTTGTCACCCAAGATGCCGCCTGGACACGTCCGAAGTATGCAGGAGACCATCGCAGAGCTCTAGCAGGTTATTCGGCATCTATCCCGTGCTGTGACCTCGCGCTGTTGGAGGGCTGTTGTCGGTGTGCGGAGATGGACGTCGACAGGGTCGAGCGCAATCACGAGCACGATCAAGCATGGAGAAGAGCAAGCAGATTCTACGTTACCACGCAGTACTGCATCATTTGGATACATGTTCTGTTATCTGCTTCCTCTATCAAGTCTTCATGTCTCTGTTGTACCCTGCTAAGACGATCCTCGGTCAACAGTAATACTCCATATCTCTCCAGCGCCCACGGCTCCTTCCTCAAAACCAGCGGCAAACGACACGAGTCTGCCATCTGACCGTCACCACGTCCGCCCGGTGACACTCTTCTGGGCCCACTAGCTAGCGTGGATTCGGCTCCTGCCTCCTTCAGTCCTCACCCCATCAAGCTGTCATTCAGCGAACCCTCCACCACTCCTTAGCTCGCAGTGAGCATCGCTGCAATCTCCTGTAAGTATTCACCTCTCAACTTGCAGTCCTCTCCGGTGCTCGACGTGAGTGTCTACCGGTATTTATTGGCATCACGGGTCACCTGCTTCCCAGGTCTTGAAGCTGCAACGCGTTTGCTCGCCGTTGGCTTGGTGCACGATAGATCATTCCCATTGTGCATCATACGTGGCTGTCCATGACACCCTTACCTGGTCCATTTCGTTTCCGCTCTCGTGACCCTTCATAGCAATGCTGACGATTGACTTTTTCGACGACATCAGGCAACTTCCAACCCTAGTCACATCGTCAAACTACAAGAACTTTCTGCAAACCTCCTTTACACTTGGTACGACCTCGTTGTTCAAGAGAAAACTAGAATCATTATTTCTGCACCAAAGTACGCTCTTATAATTGGCAAGCTATTGCATCACACTGCTGACCAGTGCAAGACTGAACAAACCATCAAGATGACATCTTCAACCTACAAGGGCAACCTCACTGTTGGAGGGTCTGCACTCGACAAGTCGAAGCTCCAGCTTCGCAGACCTACACCTGACAGCGATGCTCTGGCGTCCAGCGATGACGATCGCGAGCACGTGCCCGTAGTCGTTCGTCCTGCTGGCGGCTACCCTGGTGGTCGCAGGCCCTCATCTGGTTGGCTACAAGACATTCAGCCCAATCGCAAGTTCTCCCTGCCGTCAGTCTCGTTTGCCGGCTCACAGCCCACCACTCCGTCACTAGAGCTGCCAAGTCAGTCTCGCCCTGGTACCTCTGCGTTTCCCTGGAACACCTCCAGCTTCAGTAACACCCAAGCCAATAGTCGTCTCAAGGAAGTTGTCCCATCGCCTACGTCCGCCCACTTTCCCAGTGAGAGGTCCTTGCCCTCACCAGCGGCGCCAGAAGGTGAAGAGGGCATCGGCTTTCTTCTCAGTCAGCAGAACCCCATCCGCAAGGCAGTACGCTCTCAATCATACAGCATCGGGCAGGGTGATATCGAGAACAGTCCCGTTGGTCAGTTTTCCGCGCGCGTGCGCACAACAGCAGGCGTGCGTCACCGTCCTTCCAAGCCCAGTCTGCTTGGTGACCCTGGTGTTGGCCTCTCGCAACTACGCGAAGACGACATCGACGAGGTCGACTCGACTAACAGCTCTGACCACGGCGTTCGCCTCCCCCAAGGCTACTGGGAACGCGAACAAAAGCAAGCTCTACTCAAACAGGCAGCCATGGAGAGTGCACGTGCACGCAATCGCGCCACGTCCACAAGCTCTCCTGTTCATCAGCACCCGCCACCACCACAGCGTCGCAAGACGACCGCCGGACTTCGTGGTATGTCCTATGGTAGTACCGCCGACTACGCGATTGAAGAGCACGAAGACCACGAGGTCGCTCCACACACCTTGCCTCCGTCTTCGTTAACCCGTCGCTTCAGTGAGCACGTTTCCATTCTGAGTCGCGAGCCTGAGCAAGAGATCATGGACAGCCCAAAGAAGCAGCAGTGGGCGACCGGCAATATTCACAACCTCAACATGGAAGCGATGGGACGTCGGCACTCTTTCGCTCACTATGGTGGCTTCAATCAGAGCATGCCTCTTTCTACTACACTGAGCAACACCCAAGAAGAAGATGAGAGCCTGATGTCCCCTCGACAAGCATCTCACTCACCTGAAGAAGCAGAGCAATTCGATGCTGCTGCATATTTCGCAGGCTATGGCCCCGCATCTCGCGCTATCAACGCCTCAGCAATCTCGGCTGCTCACCCGGACCCCATTGTCCCCAATACGGCCATGAATACAACCAACCCTTACGCCGTTCCGCCTGTGCTTGGTCGCCCAGGTCGTCGTCTGTTTGTTGTCACATTCAAGTGCTCCAGAGCTGACATCTACTACCTCTACGACAATACCGGTCTTGAAATTCGTCGTGGTGACTTGGTAATGGTTGAGGGCGACCGTGGTTGCGACCTTGGCCAGGTGGCTCATGCGGATGTGAGCCTTGAAGATGCGAAGAAGTACAAAGCTGAGGCTAACGAGGAGCACTTCCGCTGGCTGGTCATGTTCTCCCAGTACTCTCTCGCAGGAACTCAGAACGACTCCGGCATGCTCGGTGCTCTTGCGCGCGCAAACGGCCTGTCCAACAACCCAAATCAGCCTCAACTGAGTGGCATGATTGGCAACCAAGACCAAGATGCCAAACCCAAGATGATCAAGCGCCTTGCTCAACAGCACGAGATCTTTGCTTTACGCGACAAAGAGGGCTCAGAAGCTAAAGCAAAGCGCCTGGGCGCGCAGAAGGCCGCTGACCACAAGCTGCCTATGGAGGTCCTCGATGCCGAATACCAAGCGTAAGTAAAGCAGCGTACTTCTTCAATCAACGCAGCTAATGAGTTCAGCGATTACCACAAGCTTACCTACTTCTACTACGCGGAGTCGTACGTGAACTTCAACGACCTCGTGACCGACCTCTTCAAGCAGTACAAGGTTCGCATCTGGATGTCAGCTGTCAATCCTGCATCGGTTGTCAACCCGGCAGGTCTGATGCAGATTCCACCACCCTCGGCCATCGGACCTGGTGCCATTATCACTCCGGGCAACGACAACTCTTCACTGCCCGTAGGACCTGGTTTCGGCGGCAACAACAGTCAGCGCTCTAACGAGCATTATGGTAAGTCTGGCTTTGCGCTATTGCAAGACCAGAGGCTAATTCTTGTAGGCCGCGGTCGCAACAATGCCCCTCAAGTCAACTACGATGAAGGACACTACGCATTCTCTCACCAGCTTCCGGCCTACGCTCCTCAAGCCGCTTACGGCATGCCTCCTTGGGCGCAAGGTCAGCAGTACCAACAGCAGATGTACGGCGGTTACGGTGCCTTTGCTGGTGCTTATCCAAATGTGACTGCTAGCGGCAGCCCCATGAACTACGGCGCCTACTACCCACCAGGCTCAAACTATGGTGCAGCATCGGCCTATAACCGCGCTTACCCGGCCGCCAACTCCTATACGCCCACTGGTAGTGCCAGCTATGGCCAACAAACCACTTCGGGTGCTAGCAACGGCAAGGCTGCCGCCTCGAACAACAGCAACAACCAGTCCTTCCTGGCTGGTATGCAGAACATGTCCCTTGCCAGCAAGTAGGTCCAGTGTAATCTCATCGCCTTCACGACGAGCGCATCTTGCCAGGTTTGCACATCTTCGCATATGCGGCAATACTTATATAGATCACGACACCACGGCCTTCACGAGTGCATTGTTTCACGCCATTCTATGGACTGCGGCATATAAATCACACTGAACTTGACCTTTGACATCGACGTTAACTGTCTTTGCTCATAGATGATTCACTCCAATTTCAGAGGAATCTGCGGCAGCAACAAGATTGCATCATTTTGGGATCTGCAACAGGACAAAGGGAGGGGGCTACAAAACGGATGCTCATCATGCTTGCTTTACTTTTTCTCATTTCAAGATTCCCTTGCTTTCGATCTACAGGCTGCGGCGTGCTTCAATTTGCATGCTGACTGATTATGGACTGCAAAGGATGGCTCTTTGCCTAGGTATATTTGGCCTGGGGTCTTTTAGGTTACGAAAATTTATAAAGCTTCTGGCACCAACTTGCGTTTTTCATTTGACAGAGCACTCATCACTAATCACCGTGGCCCAACAGCGAGCGCATTACGGTGAGGGTGGATCATGCCTTCCCAAAATAATACGACCTCGCCTCACCATCGCCCCACCGTGTTGAACATATCGCCGCGACCGCTTCACCACACCGCGACGAATAACTGCGGGATTCGTTCATCTATTCCCGAGTCAACAATGGCTCGTCGAAGGGCCCACTCTGCAGTGCAGCCAGCGAACAGCCAGAGTAGTGCATCTGATGTTGAGGGCGACGAGAGCCAGTGAGTCTCTTCTTCAAAGCTTCCAGCCACTGAGCATACTGATCCTTGTTCCAGGCGAGTGCTCGCGCTGACCTCACTACTCCGAACGCCTAAGACCAACCACAAGGAGTTGCAGGATTTCAAAGTAAGAGTGGCGACTGATCAGGAAGAGCTGAAGATCTTGCTCGGCCAGAGTGTACGACAAGCGTAAGTTCTCACAGTCATACTCCGGCACCTCAAACGCAGACAGCAGCTCATTCTTACAGTGAACAAGCATCTATGCGCCGCCGTAATGAGCTCACAGAAGCCATCCTTAAAGCCCTCCAGACCCCCAATCGCCCTGTCCAAGGCACACCTTCCACGTTTGGCAAGACGAAGATCGCACGCAATGTCGTTTTCAAATCCGCTGCCAGCGTCCTGACGGCCTCTGAGCTCCTTATTGGCGAGTATGATCGACTAGACAAGATAATTGTTGGCATGCGAGACACTGAGCCTGAGGGTGTCGCAGAAGCATGGACCGAGGAGGTAGACAAGACAGCGAGGCTGCTGAAAATTGGCGCTGAAACTGCAATCAAGAACGTGAAAAGAGTCTTAGGTGCAGATGTTGAAGTCCATGATACAGAAAACATAGATGGCGAAACTCTGGTCAATGGCGAGACCATGGAGGCACTCGGAAAAATGGAGCTGAACTACGAACTGCACAAGACCCTACTATTTGCAGAGAGAGGTGTGAAGAAGATGGTCAAGAGCCTGCCGGAGCTGGAAGAAGATTAAGAGGTGTCACAGGCTCGCTGCTGGATACCTTCGGTTCGGGGCTAGATATGAAAAGAGCAACGTATTGTAATGTGTCCTGCTCATGACTCACTGCTGATGCGGCACTTGACGGCTCGGTCCTTGACCCACTGATGTGCCCCGGGATCAGATCTTGCTAGCATCTCTGCCACACGAACACACCATTGGACGACTTCCTTTTTGACAGGCGTCAGTCAGAATTTTGATGCAAACTGCGCAGATCATCTGTCACGCCCAATTATAGGGTCTTTGCTGTGGAGGTCACCTCTCGAGGTTCCCGTCTTCGCTCTCAGACGACGCGGCTGTAGAGGTTGAGGCCAGTTGCTTCATCGCTCGGTTCTCCAGCCGAAGTCGAAGCCGGAAACAACATCATGTTTCGTTCGGCAGCCAATACGGGCCAATTGCACGCTTGACAGATTCCAGAACCAGCCAAATGCCTAGGGCGATCGACTTTCTACGCCAACCCTGAGTAGCGCTTCCACAGCGATCCGGGGTCAACGCATGCCGTCATCGCGCCTGCCAACGACAGACGCTAGAAATGACAGTGACAGAACTTCCAGTGCGTTTTCATGACCACAGCTCTCTACTACCAAGCTATTCAAGTTCAATATCGACTAGGCGCCCGTATCGTTTGAGCGCTCGATGATCGAGAGAGCCTGCCATTCATTCAGCACCATTGATATCGATCCTCATGGTTTCCCCTACGATAACTCTCCTGCTGTGGACCGCTTTGTCGCCATGCGTGTCCGCACAACTCTCTTCGATCCTGTCATCCCTATCCTTCACGCCAGTACCGAGCAGTCTTGTAACCGAGGTCACACCCGAATCATCGTCCTCATCCTTTGCATCTCTGTCAGTTTTGCGCAATGGTAGCACGACAACATATCAATCGTCGACGACGGAGGAAGTAATTGGCATAACAGGCCTTGCTCCGACTGCATCCGGGAACGCCACCGCGTCGACATCCACTACAGCTCGCGCACGGTCAACACAGAACACAACGCCCTGCAATGGACACCCAGAGTACTGTAGCAGGCGGTTTTCAAACGTGTCTATGGTCGTTGCTCACAACAGCCCATTCGTAAGACCGCGTAATGCTGCCAGTAATCAAGTGCTTGAGGTCATCACTCAGCTTACCGATGGTATTCGAGGACGTACGTAACGAAGGCACCGAGTCACTGAGTTGTAAATCCGTGAGACTGACTTTGCTATCTAGTTCAGTTCGAAACGCAGAAGCCAAATTCTTCGAGCCCCATTCGCCTTTGCCACACTTCCTGCGACCTACTTGATGCCGGAACCCTCGAATCGTACCTCGCTACTGTGAAAGGGTGGCTTGACGACAACCCCTATGAAGTCATCGCTATCATTATGGGCAACAACAACGGTCAAGATACACGCAATTCGGCGACAGATTATATACATCCGTTTCAGGATTCAGGCATATTGGAGTACGTGTGGACACCACCCGCGAGGAATTTGAACTTGACTGAATGGCCCACACTGTCTGAAATGATCCTGCGGAACGAGCGCGTAGTCGTGATGATCGACTACAACGCCGACCAGGATGCCGTACCTTGGTTGCTCAGCGAGTTTGACTACCAGTGGGAGACACCCTTCTCGCCCACGGACCCATTGTTCCCTTGCACCCAGCAGCGCCCGCCCAACCAGGCCGAAGATGTCTCTCGCAACCGCATGTACATGTTGAATCACAATCTCAACGTCGAGATCGCTATCGCGGGAGCAAGTATACTTGTACCGGCATACGGTCTTCTAGACCAAGTCAACGCTGATTCTGGGAATGGCAGTCTGGGCACGAACATCCAGGGTTGCGAGGAGATGTGGGGTCGTCCACCAAATTGGCTGCTCGTCGACTACTACAATTTTGGCAACTTTAACGGATCTGTCTTCCAGGTAGCGGCGACTGCCAACGGTGTTCCGTACGATCGCGACTCATGTTGTGGTGAGCTGCGCAAGGCGAGCGGGTCCACTGCACTCGGAATTGATAGGTCGTGGCTGTATGCCGCTGTTAGCATTGCTGTCACAGCTGTCGTACTTTTGTGAACGCCGGCATTCGGTGTGCGCTGTATCTCCTTTCGTTGTCTAACCGTTTCTCAGAGTAGACGCTTTTTTCCAATCATTGTTATAGGCGTTCTGCATAGCAGCACGGAAAGCAAAAGGCGTTGAGTAGCTTTATTTTGTGCGATGCTCATCAGCGTTTCACTTACTTACTGCTACTTTTCCGAGGCATCAATCACATCATTATATCTTGAGTAAACTCTGCTTATCCAAAGTCACTGACTCGAGAATTGTAGCAGACCTCGAGCATACACATTTGGGCCATGGCCCGCGAGAAGCATGGCGGCTGGATCAGCGAGCTCGGCTACAACGTATAGAATGCTTGGTGGCTTTCTTTCACCAAGATTTCTTATCTCATGCGTCTTACACGTGAGATACGAGACGATACCTACTCTCATCTCATCAGCGAAAACGTCGTACCACAAGTAGGTACTCCTGGAACGAGATTCAGCGGGTTTTATGGCCTGTTCTTCCATTGCCGCCTTTGGGCAAGACTATGCCTTCAGCAATCCCAATGGTATCGATAGCTCCATTAGTAGTGGGAGCTGGTCCCCTAGACGAGAGCCTTGCTGTGGCGACTCGAGCCTGCACCTGATCAATTTCTGCTTCTAATCAGCCGACAAATCCGTGATGAATAGAAGTACAACATCCGATCGCTGAAGTGCAAGAGCTATCTTCATTTTTGGATCTTTCCAAAAGTCATGGCCCACGGGTTCGACGGTTCCCTCTTTTCAGCTGTTCGACACACTTACCAAAGTTGATCTCAGTCTGTCAAATAAAGCACTTTTCGATTACTTTTTTGGCATCAATATCCACCCAATTTTCCAGCCGAATGCAAAGAAGGCCTCAGCTCTGCAACTTCTCCCCACATCGACACCTCGAAATATACACGTGTTCTTCGGCTCTCTGGATTGTGGTGCGTATACCAGCCCGTGGGGTCAAGTGGAGCGCAAAATCAGACTCGAGCAGTACAACAGCGCGTACAACGTGTGCTTCCAGCGTGTGCTCTTCGACTGGATTTGCACCTTTGTCTACCCTATCATCTCACGAGTACCTGGAGTGACCGTACATCTTTGAGGGGAAATCAAGTCAGACACAAAGAAGAAATGGTTGAAGAAGCTCAACTCCGGTTGTCAGCATAATCAGGATGCAGCGATGCAAGGTACATTAGCACACCGGATTGTGACCTGTAAGTCAATCCGTGGGCGTTCAAACGCAGCAATATTTCGATTAACCCCGCATAGACCACCGAGAGTCAACTACTCGTAGACCTGCGGTACTTGTGGCGATCATAGCCCTTGTAGCTTGGAACGCCTCACAAAGTTTATGCTTGAGGAGGAGCAAGACTACGACACACAGTAGTAAGATAGACCACGTTATTGAATAGCCTAAGGGGGCGGGTCTTTGGAGTGCTGTGCAAGGTCAATTGCGTGAGATGTGACTCCAGCTTTGACAGAAGGCGGGCGCAATACAAGACAAGCGAGAGTATATTGATCTAAATAGCTTCACTGGATCATGTCTGAGCAGAATGTATATCGAAATGAAGCATAGCCGATACACAAAATCTATTCAAAAGTAGTCAAGTCTTCATTAGCATGAAATACTGTTATTCACAACGCGCATTGTGAATGTATCGTAGAGCACTGTTTGTGAGACAACGGACCCGCCCCTTCTCCAGAAGAGCCACGCCTGAATTTTATTTTATATCAGCGTAGAGGATGTGATTCCGGCACAGACAAGTTCGATGCCGAACATGACGACAATGGCAATCTCACATTTGACTTTGAGAAGTTGAAGATCTGAAGAATACATACTTGTCTGCACTGCGCTGCGTTGCATACCGCCATAACATCAACAGTAGACGTTGCACTGGAAAACTCGAAGGCTAGAAATCGTGGAGAGACGGCGAATTGCAAGAATTCATTCTCGTAGTGTCACCTCTCCAGCCTCGCCGTTTGTCATCATCGTGCGCAGCAACCCGACACTGCCGCCTGCTCCTCTCCGTGATAACAGTCCACCCCAGCCCAATCTTCTCGCCTCTGCCACGCCTCTCCATCCTTCCAGTAGTGGCCGTGTCCTCAACCCGCCCACATAGCAGAGTCGCAACTCCGAAATCGCCCGATGCCCAGGACAATGGGTCGCCCCTGCGCTCTCGGATCCCTCGTTCCAACATGGCGAATTTCACGTGGGGTAATTGCCGCCAAATGTTACCGTTGGTGTAGGAAAGTGTCGGCTGATGTACAGACGGTCCCCCTTGCTTAACGCTGTAGTTGTGCTCCAAAGCCAATGTCGGCGCCGCACGCCTCGTATGAGAAGCAGCGCGGACGATCGTGGGCGAAGAACCATGATCCATGACCACGTTGTCCGTGCACATGCAGGTCGTTGAATCGACACGCGAGCGAGGCGAGTCAATGTTGCACTGCGCTGGGGCGCTATGCAGGGCAGGTTTTGCTAGAGGACATGAGAAGATCGCTGAAACAATGAAAAGCATGGTTTGTCTGTGCGTTGGAAGCTTTCCAGAGTAGGAAAGTAAAACGTGGCTGGTATCCGAGATTGCCAATACACGTGAAGACGATATTCAATGTGACACAGCATCCATCGCCTCAGCGACAAATGCAGATGTGGAGATAGATTCCAACTATGATCGGAACTAGAAACTACGAATATCGACAAATATTGCAGGCTCGAAGCCGGTGAGTAAAGATACCGAGGTAGAAATGTAGATACTCAACGAGATGCGTGGACAACATGACTATGAGTTCGTAGATGGCAGTAGATAACAACACTAGAGAAGACAGAACGAAACTCGTTGCGCGCACTGCGACTTACAGAACGGACATCTAGAGAGGCTAAGAGACTGAAAAAAATAATATAATGCGTGAACGAGGATATCGAACAGCTGAATCGAAGAAAACAAGGAGTAGCGGGAAATGGTAGATGGCTGCCCGAGATTATGAGAGCGTGCGCGTTGATACGTTCGTCCCGTAATCAGTATGTGCCTCCTAGACTGCCCCAGGCAGCGAGCACGTCATCGCTTACACTGTTCCTCGCCTTACTCCTGGTCATGCTAGCGACACTGCTGCCGCGACTAGCATGTCTGGAGCGTTCGCGCCCGGTCAATATGCTCGGCGCGTTCATGCTGGATGCATGTGAGCGCGAAGATGTATTGCTTCCAACACTGCTTTGCCTGCTGCGCTGCTCCATTGCAAGAGCGAGTACACTCTTGCGTTTGGAGCTACGCTCTGGTACAGCGGGCATGGAAGGTTCAATGATGCTCGGTGCCCGTGACAAAATACTTGCTTCGGTGACAGGAGCGAGGTCCTTTGCACCAAAAGACGGTGGTACGGGGAAGCTCATACTCGCGCCAGATGTTGAAGTATGACGACGCTGATGATTCGACCCGATGGTCTCAAGCGACTTGGCGGCCTTGATGATGTGGACGGGAACATCAGCGTCGAGAAGGGCGACATCCTCAATGTCCGCACTAGTGTCGCTGCTGGCAATCTTCACGGTATCGTGGGCGCCGACGCGAGGACCGGGGGTGACTGGCGAAGGCAGAGGCGAGACGTGATCGATGGTGGTTGGGGAAGCGACACTTGCTGCGTGGGAAGGCGAGATTGGAGGGAACGGGTATAACGGGGAGAAGGCGCCAGGCGTAGGAATGTGGTGAGGTAGCGAGCCTCGAGTAATAGGGAAGCCAAAGCCTTCACCGTCACTGACTGAGCTGTCGCGGAGAGTGTCGATGTTGTTCGCGTCATGGGAGGTTTGTGAGGATCTACCTCGAGGTGGCGGTGTCAGATGTGTAGATGAGGTCGAGGATGCAGCCACCGACTTTCGCTTTGACTTCATCTCCACAAGCTTCACAGGGCTGGCTGCTGGCATCTCGTTCGCCAAGAACGCTGGTGTGCGACCGGATTTCTGCAGCGCTTCGAGAGCTCTCTGTCGCTGGCCTTCCTGCTCAATGTAGGCATTGCTCAAACTTATCGAGCTCTGCTTCGCCATCGAAGCACGCTTCTTGCGCATCAACTCCAGGAGAGCCTCCTCCTCGGGTGTAACTGCCATCATCTTTCGATCTGCCGCAGCTGATTGTGGATGAGGCTCACTTGCCGAGGTACGTGTGCTGCGTACACTGTATGCTGATGAAGAGGTTGGCGCGTGTGTGGCGGTCCTTGGACGGTCGTCCTCGTCTTCGAGGATGACAGAAGGTTGCCGCAAGTGGCTTGAACGTCGACTGGCGCTGTAGTTGGAAATTCTCGAGAAGGTATGCGTTGAGACTGGTTCGGGTGTGTACATGATGTCAATTGTGGCAGCACTTGTCGACGTCGATGTTATGCTCATCTTTCGATCGAGGTCGCGGGTGGGTCGCACTTCATAAGCCTGGGCCTGACCAAACACAATATCGTCAGCATCGTCATCCATGTTGATGCTCTTGCGAACTGTAAAGTTACGAAGCGCGCGTCGTTCTTCGTCATACTCATCCTCAGATGAGGAGAAAGACAGACAACTCGAGTCTTGAAGGTTGTGCTTCGAGAGTGATGACTCTTTTGTCTTGGTCGAGTTTGGCAGGGAGAATTGACTTGGTGAGGTCAGTCCATGGACATCGATCATGTCTTCGTGGGAGAAAGAATCGCTGCTGAAACCCGGGACCGATTTCTGTGCTCGTGGTGCAGGATGTGAGGGTGCGGTGCTCTGGTAAAGGCCGTCAAGTGAGGTGTTGCGGAGTGGAATCTTGGGTGTGTTGCTCGTACGCCGTGCCTGTGGAGCATGCACTTGCTGTTTCGGCGAGTCCAGTGCTTCGTCACTATCTTCGTCCAGCGCATCAAACCAATGTTGGACTCCCTTTGGTGGTCTGCGAACGTGGACTTTTGCGTTGTCGTACTCGTCACGCTTGAAGAGTCGCTTTGGAGATTTCGGCACCGGTGGAGCATGCTCTGCGTGTCGGCGAGTAGCATGCTTGGTCAGCTTTGCGTGTCCCTTTGGCGCCGGCGTAGGTTCTCTGGTCATGGGCTGTGCGAAGTATTCCGAGTTCATTGACATGGCAGCTGGTGAGTTCACCATCTTGTTCGGTGAGAGAAGTGCGTTCGAGTATTTCTGGCCGCCTCCAGCATTTGGTTTGGGGAATAGTTTCGAGAGGTCTAACCGTGCAGGCTTGCTCTTGCGTCTTTCGGAGTCCAACATTGGCGACAACGGACTAGCATCGTAGCCGTTGAAGGTATGGGCATGACGCTCTGTGACTATCTGCGGCTTCCCCCGCCTCAATGCCATGTCGCGGACTGCGGAATTTGATGTTTGCTGAGAGATGGAGAGCGGCGAGCTCTTTGCGTCATAATGCGAGCGCATGGTGGAGCTGGACGTCTGGGGATGGAGCCGGTAGCTGGCGGTGCTGTTGTCTGAGCCCCGCCGCGAGCTGTCGCCGGTGGTGGCCCCCAGCATGTCTGGCGGCGGGCGGATCGACATGGCGGGCCGCCTGGTGGATTCGGTCGCAGCGGCCGACTTCCTGCAGACATACTCGTTGCTGTGGCCGGGCTGAGACGAGACGGTGATGTTCCTGCACGCTGGACTGGACGGCATGGTGTTGGTCTGGCGGGACTGTGTGCGGAAGACTGGCGCTTCAGAGGTGCCCAGCACGCGGTGTGCTTTACTGGCGGGCTCGTCGAGGTGGGAGGGCCATGGCTGGGCGGAGGAAGAATGCGGTGCGCTGGGACCGGCGGCGGCGCTGTCTTGCTTCTTCTGCGACCGGCGCCCGGGGATGGGAAAAGAGAAGTGGCCGCGGGAGCGTCCCATGGTGGGAGAAGCAAACCCTGGCCTCGGAGCGCGGTGTGGGTGGAGTAGTTGCTTTTGGGCAGGGCCGCGATTCCGCAGAATCAGAGGTGCGCGAGACTGAGTCGCGGATGCTGGTAGCTGTCCAGCTGGAAATGCGACGCGAGCGCAATGGCGCCGGGGGCTCAGAGTCTATACACAGGCGCTGCGCGGCGCTGCATTGGGGTTGCTCAATGGCGGGTGCAGGGCTGGCAGCGGTCAACGTCGGGAGGGACATGGGCGACGGCGGCGGTGGGACCTTGAGACGCTGTGCGACGAGCTAGTAGTAGTACCTAGTGGAGAGCGCGAGGTTTGGCAACTGCACACCAGGCTCGTTTCCGGCGCCTGCTCCCCCTGCTCCCGACCGAGCTGCAGCGAAGGACCAGCGCGAAGGACCAGCAGGGGACTAGCTCAAGGGGAACTTTGCACTGTCTTGTCGCTAGCAATCAGCGCGAGCATGCAGTGCGTACGAGTACCAAACTCACACGGCATTATCGACAACCATCGACCAAGCCCCCTCTGATCGGCCCAGGTGTAGTCGACCCTGTCCCACCGGCGTCCTGTCCGCCAGAGAAATTGCCCAGCATTCGTTAAATGACCCGCATCGACCAGCCCTGGCGCCATCGAGGGTGGATACAGGCCCAGCTTCTCGAATGACAGCCCGTGCTATCCATGCACGCGCGCCGGACGGACTGGGACGTGACATAAGCAGAGAACGCTGACACAGCCACCTAAAGGTGGTTGCTACCTCCACATGTGCCATCACTCTGGCACTCTTGCTCTGCATAGCCACAGCAACCACCCATCTTCTCTCAGCGACACCGCTAAGCAATCGTTGTTGTGCACCTGACAGCGCCCTAGAACTAACTGTATGTGGACATGTGTTCGCCCGATCCTTAAGGTGGAGCGTGCGGAATCCGGATACCTATTCGCCCTTTTCAGCCCCGCTCTGCCATGACTGCCTACCTATCCAGGTACGATGCGGGTTGTCGGTGCTCGCACATCAGGCCCGCTGATATTCGTTGCTCGGTGGTGCAACACCTGAACTCTTGGTTTGTGCTGTAAACCCATGCTGTGATTCCGATCATCTTTTCCTGTTCCTCTCGGGAAGCGCCCGCTGCTTCCAAATACTTCGTACAGTGGTGCTCCGTCCATCTTGTGCACGGAACTAGCCTGTGTCGCCGACCCCACAAATTCCGACATCCGGATTTCTCCAGGATTCATCGCCTCTGGAGATGAGCGCATCCCAATTCGCCGTTCCTTTATATCAAAACGACATCGACAGCTCAGCTCTATCAAAGCTTCGTCAGAGCTTTTCGGCCAAATAAATAATCCAAGCGTATCACACCATCAATGCTAAGATGTGCTATCACGCTTCGACTTCGATGTGGCCTCTGCTTTGCGATCCCGGATACGCGATGCCGTTTCTCAGGGGATGACAGCCGATCGCTGATGATTGATCTGGATACATGTGAAGCTGCAAGGCTGAGGGTGTTGAATACGTCGTTTCAGAATCTTTGCGCACTTGCATAATACTGCGAGGGCCACACAAGCGCCTTCACAATACCTAGTACGATCTTTACGGTGACTTAAGAGATGCCAATCACTAACTTTCGGCGATACTGATGCACTGGATCCGCTGATATACGAGGAAGGGCCTTCACAAAGGGCAGACAATTAGTTTGTCGATCATACAAGAGCAAGGGAAGCAGGAAAGCATAACGACAGATGTAAAGACGCTCGACCATCATCTCGAGGCGATAGCCATAATCTAGAGAATGGTATTCACAAAATTCATGGACACAAGTCTGAAACTGGACTGATCTGCAGTTACAGTACCACACAGCATACGTAAATGCCTCCAAGCATAAATTCAGTCCCGACATAGTGCGTTGGGACGGTGTTGCGAGACTGTTATCTTGAAGTCGCAATGACAGCAGTTATTTACAAAAACTAGTTCGAGTGGCAAATCTGGAGGTGGTCTGGGTATCAACATCGTAGAGGCATGTCGATGCAATGAGGGCACGCATCCTGCAGCGGATAGAGAGTGGCTTTTCGCGCTGGAAAACAAATCAGTACGAGCTTGCTGCTGTTGAGAGAATTGGTGTCTAGAATTGGTCCACAGAGATTTGGAAGGAACTCATTTCCATGTCATGGTTAAGCGCCAGAACGTCGAGTTGAGGCCTTTCTGTTGCCTTTCTCGAAACAAAGAAATCCTCGCCAGTGGCAATGCCTGCTCGCTGGCCTTGCCACAGTGTGACCAAGTCTAACATGGTGCAGATGCACGAAAAGATCAAGCTGAGCAGCACTGCAGTCGCTCCTTTTCCGTTGATATTCAGCGAAGTAGCCGGCCACCATGCAAAAATGCGAGACGATGACTTCGTTGTGTCAATGAGCATGCAGGCTCGACGGCTGCCGTTTGAGGACATTCTCGATCTAAAGATGCAGTGGGTCCCGCCTGCCGTCTCGACTAGCGCGACCGGTTAATAAGCAGCCGCTCCCCACCACCACAGCGAGTCGACCAGCACTCCGCCGCTTACCGACTCTCCGTTCTGTCGTGCCTCTCCTCGACTTGCCGGACCTCCTGGTGTTTTTGTGTTTCTGTCCTGGAGTTCCACGCTGTCACTGACCCGCCGGAGTGTGCCGTCTCCTTTCTGGCTGCTCCCTCGTCAGCGGCGACCCGCAGTCGAGGCCCACCTCGACTAGCCACCTCTTCGCGGTTCTCCACGCCCTGCGACCCGAGGCTGGCGACATGACCGAGACGTCGCAGTAAACAACTTTTCCCGCGTGTTCTTGCCCCTCGAACTCACGCCTGAGCTTCAAGGCCGCCTTGACACGACATCATCTTCGAGGACATTCGGCCAACGCGGCGGCAGGTCCACCAAACGCCCGCACGTACTCACACTCACCCTGGTCGATATACGAACGAACGCGAGACTTGAGCACACCGTCCTTCACACGTCACACGTCACACGCACACACTCGCTGACGAAATGGCCTCGAGCAACCAGGGCCCCGGTGCCCTCAACCGGCCAAAATCGCGAGACTCACACGCCACCATAGGCCAATTTTCGTTCGCACCTGCAACGACCACCACTACCGTAGTAACTACGACGACAACAGTGACGTCCCTCGCTCCCATGCGTATCAACGCCCCGAGCCTCTCTGAGCGAGATCCTAAGGAGTACCCGCTGGCACAAGTCCGAGCACCAGAATCAATACGCAGGATCTTATTCGACAACGGTGGAGAAAATTGTCTTTTCGAGGAGGCTGAGGATGCGCCCAAAAAAGTACAAGAGGTATGCAGCCAATTAGTTCAGGGATCTGCCCTGTTCACAGGCCGCTCAGGGCAGACGCGTTAATTACACAGAATTGACACTCTTCGCATAGCACACCACCCTTCAAGAAAACCTACGAGTCTCAAACGGCAAGATGCGCACAGTGGACACGTTCAAGGGACCCGCAACTTTTGCCTCTCCAAGCCGCCTTAGACGCCTTTTAACGAATGCCCAACCTCCCACCCTACGATCAGTTTCTGGCCGCCGAAAACGAGACCCAGCAGATGATTCGCCACCACCGCCGTCGATACGAGAGGCGGCTGAAATGGCAAGTCTACAGCGTCGCAGCAAGAAACCGCGAATCTCCACACGGACCGACGACACCGCACAGATTGGCATCACACCTGATGATATGGAAGATCTTGTGCCGGCTACTCCTGAGACTGAGCTCGAAGGATCACAAGCTATGAGGATGCCTGAAACAAAGAGGCAGTTGCGGGAACCGACTGCTGAGCCTTCCTGCATCGAAGCTACTTCCTTTGACAGCCAAGAGGTTTCACAGTCACAATCCTTCTCTACAAGTGTAATCGACGGGCCTGGTGCGGCAGCAACTCCTCCGATTGCTGAGTCTGATATGGAGCCGAATTTCCCAATTGCACGACCGACGCCAATCCATATAGATATCGCAGCTGCCCAAGATGCGAGTCTACCTAGTCCGAGTTTGTCGCCCACCACATATGCTGCGAACGCCCAACAAAGCCTCGCTGGGGCCTCTTCATCAGGGCTGGCAGCCGACTATGAATCGAACGACGTTTGCTCGCTGGACCTATCGCAGACGGAAAGGCCGAATGGACACGAGGAAGTCAGTCCTAACCCACAGCTTCTCACACCAACAATTACAGGTATTCCGGCTATGTTAAACGCGTTCGATGCGCTCCCAGAAGAGATGAAGGACTATGTCATGTATCAGATGCTGCGCCGATGCAAAAAGTCCACGCTACACTTCGTCGCCGACGTGGTCAACCCAGCTTTGAAACGCGACTTCATCGCTTCACTGCCAACAGAACTCGGTCTCGAAATCATCAGTTATTTGGATGTTAAGAGCATGTGCAGTGCCGCGCGGGTTTCGAAACACTGGCGGAAGCTCATCGACACCCACGAGACAGCTTGGAAAGACCTCCTCGGTACGGATGGGTTCACATTGCCTTCAGGCGAGCTGGAGCGTGCGGTGCAAGAAGGATGGGGGTGGCAATTTACGGAGAACGCCGAGAGTTACGAGCGCGACCTGCGAGGATTATTTGTTGCTTCCAGATCAGACAACGAACATGTCTCCGGCTCTAGTTCTAGTACGGCTGCTGATCCGGAAGGCGCGATCACTCGGTCTTCATCCACACGCCACAAGAGGAAGGCTCTTAGTAAACACAACGGATCCAAGAAGCAGCGCAAGAAGGGATTGATGTCGACCAAGGCGCAGTTCATGTCGTACATGCTCCCGATCGAGCAGCGCGACGGACCTAACGCTTACGCCAAACGGGCACAAACCTCGATCCCGGATCCTCAGCTTGGAATACCCAGCCTCCGTAACATGCACCTCTTTAAGTCACTTTATCAACGGCATCACCTCATTCGCAAGAGCTGGATGGTCGAGGACACCAAGCCAAGACACATCGCATTCCGTGCGCACCAGCGTCATGTCGTTACCTGTCTTCAGTTCGACACCGACAAAATCTTGACGGGCAGTGATGATACCAACATTAATGTCTACGACACCAAGACTGGCGCACTGCGAAGTCGTCTAGAAGGCCATGAGGGTGGAGTTTGGGCCCTTCAGTACGAGGGCAACACTCTAGTGTCAGGCTCGACAGACCGTTCCGTCCGGGTGTGGGACATTGAGAAAGGAAGGTGCACCTCAATCTTCCAGGGCCATACCTCGACAGTACGCTGTCTGGTGATCTTGAAGCCAACCAAGACTAGCGAAACCCTTGACGGCAAACCCATCATGATGCCAAAGGAGGACATGATCATCACCGGATCTCGAGACAGCACCCTGAGAGTATGGAAGCTTCCTAAGCCAGGCGACCGGGGCATCTTCCAAAACACCTCTACGAATGCCAGCGACCTCGACAACCCATACTTCATTCGCGCTCTGACAGGCCACCACCACTCTGTTCGTGCGATAGCAGCTCATGGCGATACACTTGTCAGTGGAAGCTATGACTGCACTGTTCGCGTTTGGAAAGTTTCTACCGGTGAAACACTGCAGCGTCTGCAGGGTCACACGCAGAAGGTCTACAGTGTTGTACTAGATCACGCTCGCAATCGCTGTATCAGTGGTTCCATGGACAACCTGGTCAAAGTCTGGTCGCTCGAGACCGGCCAGTGCATCTTCACCCTGGAAGGGCATACGTCACTTGTCGGACTTTTGGACCTCAGCCATGAACGCCTTGTCTCTGCCGCGGCGGATAGCACATTGCGCATCTGGGATCCTGAGAATGGACAATGCAAGAGCAGACTATGCGCACACACTGGAGCCATCACTTGCTTCCAGCATGATGGACAAAAGGTTATCTCCGGCTCAGACCGCACTCTCAAGATGTGGAACGTTAAGACCGGCGAGTTTGTCCAGGACCTTCTGACCGACCTCAGCGGCGTCTGGCAAGTCAAATTCAACGAACGTCGATGCGTCGCAGCCGTGCAGCGGAATAGCTTGACGTACATCGAGGTAAGTTCATGCATATATTCGAGCTCACGCGGAAGTGGTAGCTAACAGGATCTTAGGTCTTAGACTTTGGTGCAGCACGCGACGGCGTCCCTCTGAGTGAGCGAGGTCGTAGAATTGTAGTCAACAACAGAGGCCACGAGATCGAAGACATGCCCGATGCCGAAATGGTCGACGCCGCCGACCAACAGCCATAGTACGGATCCCGAAATTGTCTTCATTGAATTCCTTTTCTTGCACATGTCAAACATCAATACCCCTACACATTTCTTTGTTCAACAGTACCGGGAAAGGTACAACAGCATTGCCTGCGGGCGCACAACGGGACTCTTGTTTATCACACTATCCATACAAGCATACGTGTTCAATGCCGTACGGGAAGGCGTATATGTTGGCTTATGGGAGTATACTTGCATAGCTAGGGCGTTCTCACACCTGATCAAGGTTGCATTGACGACAATAATGAATAACAACACACTCCACATTACTCTTTGCCGTTCGCGTGACTGTGAGACCGGCCGGCCTTGGTGAAGGTGTCGCTCTTGCTCGCGGCTTCTGGACGTGACGGGCCTGCCCCACACCGAGCGCCCCACACGTCCCGCACCGCGAACATTCGTCATCTAGATGTTTGATCTTCCAAACAACCGCATATCTTCAGGCACCTCCGCACTCGCTGGAATGCATCCATTACACTGTCGCCCGTGATGCCAGAGTACTTCTTCCATCTTTTCTTCGAGCTACATTCTTCCCGTTCCGCTGCAGACACGACCTTCATCCCACCGCCGAAGACCAACATCTTCACAGCCGAGCTCCCAGCGCATAGGCAGGCTTCGTGGAGTTCTACAGCGCCAGTAACTAGGGCCTATAGCGCTGCAGCAGCACCCAGCAGCCGACATCTCAGTCACCGCACGCGGGCCTCGTCCTCTGTCCACCACCACGAGAGTCCCGTGCCTGTCGACCAAGACCCTACGAAGGGTAGTTCGCATACCTCGCACCAGAGCTTTGCCGCTCATCAAGACTGGCGCTTCGACACAGTCTCCATCATCAGCATCGACATGCTTCCGAGCAGCAGCAGCGACACGACACGACAAACCCTCAAGCAAGCTGCCACATCTGGCGGCCTAGCGACCAAAGGCAAATTCATCCCTTCCAATCCCAAGAGTACAGAAGTAGGCTGGGGCGTTGTACACTTGTTTCGTGATGGCAAAGAGACACCGGGGCTGTATGACGAGGCGGAGGGCGCTTGTGGGCCTTTTGTCGAAGACGACTGCACAACATTATGCATCCTCGCTGTGCCCTCATACATGACGCCGTCAGATCTCTTGGGCTTTGTGGGGGAGAAGACAAGAGAAGACGTCTCGCATTTCAGGCTCATCCGGACGAGCAGGGCGAATAAATACATGGTGCTTGTGAAGTTCCGCGATCCGACCAAGGCAAGAAAATGGCGGAAGGAGTGGAACGGGAAAACATTTAACAGCATGGAGCCCGAGTACTGCCACGTTGTCTTTGTCAAGTCTATCAACTTTCAAGACGGTGATTCTTCAACTCGCGACCCTTCGTCGTACCCTGATCTTACGAACGACCCGTTCACCCCAGCCGCATCGCAAGAACCGACAGCAACATTACCGCCAACGTCCAGCGCCTCTCAATCCACCGAGAGCAGCTCACTCGCGACCTCTCTCACCACCAAGCCATATGCACCACCTACACCTGCCTTGATCGAGCTTCCGACCTGCCCTGTCTGTCTTGAGCGTATGGACGAGACGACGGGTCTTCTTACGATTCTTTGCCAGCATGTGTTTCATTGCGCCTGTCTCGAAAAATGGCGCGGATCCGGCTGCCCAGTCTGCCGCTATACTCAAAACGACGCATTCACGACTCAACAAGGTCTTGAGGACGATGCAGAAAACATTTGTAAGGATTGCGGTGCTACCGAAAACCTCTGGATCTGTGTGATCTGTGGCAATATAGGCTGTGGACGCTATGATGAGGCACACGCCTTCGCCCACTACAAGGCTACAAAACATACTTATGCCATGGACGTCGTCACGCAACACGTATGGGATTATGCTGGCGATGGATATGTCCACCGTCTAATTCAGAACAAGGCCGACGGCAAGCTCGTCGATCTCCCTGCTTCGACTCAACAAACTGGCATGACCGGTTATGCGAACGATAATGTCCCGCGCGAGAAGCTGGACAACATGGGCATGGAGTACGCCTACCTGCTCACATCCCAGCTCGAGTCTCAACGCGCCTACTTCGAGGAGCAGCTGGCAAAAGCTACAGACAAGAGCGCGAAGGCCGTTGCAGCTGCCGAAGAGGCTTCGCGCACAGCATCTACCTTGGCCAAGGAGTTCAAGGCCCTGCAAGTCCAGCATATGGAGACCTTATCGACGATATCTGCCCTCGAGAAGGAAAGTGCGAAGAACACGCAGAAAGCGACCGTGGCACAAGAGCTTGCGAACAAGCTCAACAAGCAGTACAAGGAAGAAAAGACAGTCAACGAGTCCCTCCTTACTCGAATCAAGCACTGCGAAAAAGTCGTTGCAGACGCGGAAGCCAAAGTCAAGCAGTTAGAGGCTCAGAAGGCCGATCTCGAAGACCAGAACAACGATCTTGTGATGTACATTAGTGGTGAAGCGAAGGTCAAAGAGATGAAGGAGAAAGGGGAGTTTGGCCTGGAAGAAGGCGAGCTCGAGAGTGGAACACTCGAGGTAGGCAAGAAGAAGGGCAAGGGCAAGGGTAAGAAGAAGGCCTAGGAGCCTAAGACCGTGGGAATGAGGCGGATATTCAAGATCGCAGCAGTCAAGCGACCCAGCACAGAGCCGCCAAACGCTCGAGGGGTCTTTTGGGAGAGAGAGTTCCAGGCACGAAGGGGCATTGATCCGGACGCAGAAGAGAAGGCGATGCGATACCTTTGGGATTGATCAACTGTGCCCGCACCACCAAACACGACCAAAAGCTCTACGTCAAGCAGTCTTACATCAGTCACTAATAGTATGCGCTACTATGAACCTCCTCCGGGTATCATAGACGTCATGGCTTTACAGGTGCTGGCTGGTATTCTGAACCTGTTGTCGACTTTCTGGCGCTCGAGCGAGGTCAAGACCATACTTGCGTTAACGTGCACCTTCCGCAGCGGCTTCAAGAGAGTATGGGCTCAGGTCTCGCCTTATCGCAGCATCATTCCTCCTATTTTTCTATTGTTTGGCTTGCTCTTTACATCGGCTTCAAGGGTTTCCTGGCTCTGATTGTTCTCAACGGAGCTCTCATCTTTTGGACGATGCTTCTCGCTGTTGATTTCGGGCCGTTGACTGTGACCGTGCCCAGTGGAGCTTTAATCTTCTAGTGCCAGCATAGCCCTGGGTTTTGAGGCGTTCATGGCGTGCAGTATTCTGATGATGACACGGATTTTGAGATACCCATAGCATTAGATAGTCATTATGCAGCAGTCGTATCACCAGAGCCGGTGGAAGAGCTTGGAAAGTTGCAGTTTCTAGTATTCAAAGGGCTGTGTGAAGGTAATTCACTGCTAGCTAGCCCCACTAGGTACAGCGTCAGCTACACCAGTCCCTCTGCACCGTGTTGGAAACTGAGCCAATGCACGCTCAGCGAAATCGTTCTCTGAGGGTAGCCGCTGAGCCTGCACAAAATTGCTGATTTAGAAATATACGCTCACGATGAAGCCGCTATTGGTTGCACAGATCATGTCAGGGGTGCGAAAGCGCCATCAAATGCATGTCGTAAGGCTGAGATTCAACAGCTGAAGGAGCCATACTTAGCAAAAATATGCTTAGCATGTTAATAGTATAGGTAGCCACCTGCTCAGCCTAGTCCAACCGTCACCACCTTTCGTCGATTGAGGCATGAATCCACCAGTGTGCTGTCGAACAACCACCTGCTTCTCCCAGTGTAATGAGACTGACTGCTGTGGCTGGATGTAACCAGAGTCTATCTCTGATGAGCAGGGCTCAATGCAACCAAAGTCTATCTCTGGTGGGCAGGGCTCCAGGCTGTAGCCACCGTACTTAAACGGAAGGTGACAAACACTCCGCCTGCAGAGAATTTCCACCTCCAACAGCACGGAATCTACATTCGAGTCTTGATTGGCCGCGACAGTTACATTGAGGGCGGGGTTGGACGCCATCAAATGCTTTGCACGGGGCTGAGACAAGTGAGGTCAGACTATCCGGTTGATATAACAATACCGCGGTCCATCCTGATTCGTTTTTTTTTCCAAAATTCAAACTCAGTGATAATTATCTCTCATGATGCGAGTCTTGCTTTTGGCGCTTTGCTGCGCGATCACCGGAAGCTTTGCGACAAACACGTTTTCCGCAGTTGAGATAGCACCCTTGGCCGGATGAACTGGGACAGAAGGACTACTCGTCGAATGTGTTCGGCCTCGCAGGCTTTTTGCTCGATACAGTTCGTCTGACGTAGCTGTTGTGAACATGTCGCATCTAACACATGGCAGAATCGCAGTGTATGGCATCAGACGGCACATACCTAAAATGTCCTGACCCCCTTTATCCCAAATGTGTACGAGTATCAAGTCTGCTTCTCCAGATCACTAGCTGATTCAAACGTAGTGCGCCAACTTCAACTTCAACTTCATTCCAAACGTGTATTGTACCTGTGAGTAGGTATTCAGCATCCTATCGACAATGCACTGACCACCCATAGCATCGACTTGCACATGCTGCAACAGCGCCAATATCGCTTGCCCCCTAATACAGAACTGTTGTGGGTTCAACTGATGTCGAACAGACCAATATTGCGCCTCGACCTGCAGTGCGCCGAACGCAGCACGACTTCCACTCTATCTGGCACACTAGAGACGACCTCATCATCAAACGATGACACAGACAAGCCTGAAAACGGCCTGAGTCAGTCAAATATCATCGCAATCGGTGTTGGGCTTGGTGTTGGCATTCCGGCGTTGGCTATCAGCTTTATATCGATGTGCTTAGCCTGCCCATGTTGTCCATGGGCTAAACGCAGAAGAGCAAGAGGATGAAAGTCAATCACCTAGTTAGGGGCTGTCTCCCTGGCAGAATTAAGGTCTTCGTATCAACTAGTCCTTAAGCAAGAGAGTGTAAAGCGTATATACAAGCGCAGGTCAGCGGGATAGATTTTAGCAGAACCTTACTGCAATTTACTCTTGCTTGTACGCGGCTTGTTTGTACCTACTAGAAATTTTCGATTCTGTGGCCAAACTGTTATGCTTAATGAGTGTTCAACCCAAGGTGGGGCTGTCGAACGAACATGAACACACCGTATCGAGTAGTTTTCGAATGCCATCGATGCAGGTGATCGAAGCGCACCGGGCATTAACTACCTAGGCTGCAAGTCACCTGCAGCCGACATGCAGGGCTCCTGCCAGAATCAGCATGTGCAGCAACAACCATCGATTGCAGCGCTGATTATCACCCCCTCACAGATCCACCAACAGCTCCTTGCAAAACCAATAGCTATCCCTATCGCAGCCTTGCGTGCAGCGTTATCCGGCGACGGCGCGACACACGTGGACAAGCATCTTCCCTTGTGACGCGACTGACGTCGGCTCGCGTGGGCCAGTCAACTCCGCGGTGCTGACACCATCATCCCACCTTTGGCGCGCAAGCTGCTTATTGCACACCGCATCATGAAATCTAGGTCTTGAACCTCTGCACGTCTGTCCTTTCCAGAATTCCTCTGCATTCCCTACTAGCATCCCCCGCGGCTGTGTGACAACCCCTTCAGATCCGGCTCGCTATGCCGTTTTTCGCGAATCCTTTTCCAAGGCTCCGCCAGAATCACAGACATAATGTCCAGACACTCAGATCACAGCCTCTCGCAGAGCTCTCCGGCTCGCTAGGCGACCTCGGAACGCTGCTACCACTGATGACAGCTCTGGTCGTCACAAACTCAATCTCGCTGCCTTCCACCCTTCTATTCACCGGCGCAGCCAATGCGTTCACAGGTATCACATTCGGCATACCGCTGCCAGTGCAGCCCATGAAGGCCATCGCCGCGGTCGCCATAGCACGTAAATTCACGCTCGAAGAAAATGCAGCTGCTGGGCTAGTCGTAGCAGCTCTCGTGGGATTCTTCAGCATGACAGGACTCCTCAACTGGGCGAACCGCGTCACGCCCATCCCAGTCGTGAAAGGCATCCAAGTCGGCGCCGGTCTGTCACTCTGTCTGAGTGCCGGAACAACCATGCTCAAACCGCTCTCCTGGACGGGACCATGGTGGGGCGATAACCTGCTCTGGGCAATCGCTGCAATCCTGCTGCTCCTCAGTACCTTCGCATACCCCAAGCTCCCCTACGCACTAATCGTCTTCTCCATCGGCCTCATCCTCTCTGCTCTCGGACTTAATGCATCCGATCAAACGCCGCCCAGCACCGCAATCCTGCTTCTCCACCCCTCAGCACAGGACTTCTGGATCGCAACCTCAACTGCCTCACTCGGCCAACTGCCCCTCACGATCCTGAACTCTGTCATTGCTGCCTCCGCTCTGTCCGCTGACCTCCTTCCCTCACCCCCATATCCCACTGCACCCTCAGTAACTTCTCTTGGCATATCCGTCGCGGTGATCAACCTGCTAGGCTGCTGTTTCGGCGCGATGCCCGCCTGCCACGGTTCTGGGGGACTTGCAGGTCAATACCGGTTCGGCGCGCGATCCGGGTCCTCAATCATATTTCTCGGGCTGATCAAATTTCTACTCGGCATCCTCGCGCTCTGGAACGGCGGGGCTATCGTCGCGCTGCTCGCTGGGATCCCGAAGAGCCTGCTCGGTGTGCTGGTCCTAGCGGCGGGCGTGGAGCTCGCGAAAGTAGGGGAGAGCGTAAACACCGATGCACGGGACCTGAGGGAGCAGGAGCAAGGGCTGCCGTGGGATGGGAAGAGGGTCAAGGAGTTGGACGAGAGGGAAAGGAAGGAGAGGTACATGGTGTTGCTTGTCACTGTTGTGTCAATTCTGGCGTTCAAGAACGATGCTGTGGGGTTCATTGCGGGGTTGGTGTGGCATTGGGGCTTTTTGGGTGCGAGACGGCTGGAGGTGTGGAGGGATGAGAGGGCGGGACGGATATTCTGGAGAAGCGTTGACAGTAATAGGCATGAGCGCACGGCGTTGCTGGCGCAGGAGGAGAGCGATACTGTCGCTTGAGCGTTGGGTGGTGAGCGTTTTGATAGTGTTGCGGCATAGCATTTACGGGCATAGCGAGTACTCGATTTGAGTTTACAACATAGAGCGTAGTGATGAATGATATGATTCTATTTCAGAGGCGCTATGGACGCTGCGAAGTTGTTGGAGTGAGGATTGACTTGCCCCACACACAAAGTGCCCGTACTGAGTGTAATGTTTTTAGAATGATTTTGGAAATTGTCGCTTGCCCAGTTTGCCCTCGGTGCCACGAACGGTGCGCACGCACACTCAGTCACTCGTCACGATGTCCTCCTTGCGGTTCCAAGGCAGTGCCTCGGTGTCAAGATCACGGCCACCACGGATCAATTGATCGAACTGACGGAAGACGTCTCTTTTGATGACACCAGACCAGACGGGATCAGGTCCAGGAGCAGCGCCGGGCCAGTTGATGGGTCGATGTGGGATGGCTAGTGCGATTTCGACAGTCTGCATTGTAGCTGCCATCTGAGCGAGGTAGAAGTGGGTGTCGCAGTCGGTGAAGAGTGAGATATTGTCAGGATCAGTGACCCACTTGCAGATTTAATCGTTAAGATGGTAGTACTGGCTGGAGTTGAGGGTGCGGGCGCTGAGGGAGTCGAAGCTATGGTCTCTGCCAAGTACCTTTCGACCGAGTTTGATGAAGCGCTTGAAGTAGAACTCGAATTTGATGTATCTGGTGCACAGCGAAGGGCGGCCCAATTCGGGGCTGTCGAGACTGCTGGACCTGCCGGCGCTGCTGGAAACATCGTGCATACTGTCGGCGCGGTGCAAAGTGGGAACATTTTCAACTTTACGTCTGCCAGCCATATCAACGGTGATGAATGTCAATGACAGGGGACTGGCTGTAGCGAGCGCCGAGGTTGATATCGAGTGCGTTTGATGAGAACATTTTGAATTTCAAATTTCGAATTTGTTCGTGATCGTGTGTTGGGGATGGCGTGCAACTGGCGTTTGATATAATAGCACCATAGGGCAGTGTTCAGACTTGGCCTTCGCTTGGAACCATGGTTGAAGAGAGGAAATACTGTTGAACCAAAGACTGATGTGCACGGCCCAGCCAATAGAGGCGATGACCAATCTCTTGCTCGTGCGAAGCAGTCATACCGCTGCCGGCGGATCGCAGATGGATAATCTTGGAGGGGTGACATCAAGATGGAAGATGGCAGGTGACCGCCCATCTTAGGGTCCGTTGCCGTGGGTGTATAATCGATGAAGGGTACTGACTGAAGAAGTACATTCGTCTGACTTGAAGGCGCAAAAGCCGAGTCAAGCTCGTGCACAAAAGGTGTACGCCTCTACTTTTAACATATGACTAGCGCCTTTATGCTTGGAGTCGTGAATGGATCTTATCCTCTTCTGTATGAGAATGCGCAGCAGGACCAGCGACGAGAAATCAATTCTCTGAGCTCCGTGAGTTGGTTCAGGGTTCATACCTCGCCACCGGCTGGGAAGAAAATAGTGGCCTAGCTGTCGTTAAACATCACATTATACAGACCCTACACGAGCGGATGATGTCTCATCGAGTCCTCTTGCTGGTCGAGTGTCCAGATTGTTGTTGTCAACCTGCATAGTCTCAGAATAATCTGGCAGTCGAATATGTCCTGTGTCGTCGCGCGAAATAGCTCTCGGCGGGATCGCAACACGGACAGCCCCGTCCATAGCATCGTCCGTATGTTCCAGAGTCGTGAAAGTATCGTCTTTGGGTTTATACGGCGGTGGCGCTTCGCCGGATTCGTTGAGGCCCTCTACGGCTGGTGCTTGACGGCTTCTGTACATCGCCCATCGCTCGACATCTCTTACAAGGGCATGCTGCCCTCTCAGTCTGATCTGTTCTTGCTCTCTCCGCCTTCGACGATGCATCCACCACAGCAAAGCAGCCAAGACAGCAGCCAACAGAGCTAGGAAGAGGAAATAGTAATTGAATACACGATTTTTGACTTCGCCGCTTTGCGAGGTTTGCTCGGTAGCGATGAATAGCTCAGGGTAGGTCTGGATCGGTGGCTGGTTTGGTATAACTGGAGTGATGGGTGACGACACCGATGAGGATGTAGACTCGAGGCTGGCTGCTGGCGGCATCGTCAGGGAGGTGCTGGTCGTTAGGGCGGAGGATACAGAAAGGATGTCTTGAGCAAGAGTCGCCGAGAAAGATGCGAGAAAGAGGATGAGAAGAAGTGAGGTGCACGTGTCGCACGTGGTGAGTAGTTGGTGTTCAGCAGGTCTCATGTTTATGGTCAGTACGACGGCTTGATATGTCTTCAGGGTAGGCACGCCACCAGCCAGCCGGGTCAGTCGAAGCAGGATGAGTATTAGAGGTTCTCATGACAAAGTGAACACGCGTGCATGTAGGGAAGAGACAATCATTGCGGAGTTCGAATGCCATGACAGACATATGTTGTTTAAAGATGATGGCTGCGGATCATCGCGGAAGGCTTTAGCACTCACTCACCCTTGCAGGGTGGACGCGCTAAGCGATGGCGCAACTCTGCTTCATCGTTGCGCAGTACCCTGATGTCCATCCTCCACCTTACAAACCCGCCTGCACCCCGCGTTCCGCACGCTCACAATGGTCAAAGCTATTAGGGGTGAGTGTACTCTCCTATGTCTCCCTTACGATATGCTGACGTGTGCAGGTACCCTCGTGCGATGCGACGCGTCCATCAAGGCCATGCTGGTCGACATTGATAGCAAGAACAACAACGAATACATCATCGAAGAGCTGGATGAGGAGCACATCCTGGTCAAGGAGACGAAGATCACCGAGCTCAAGGGCAGGCTCAACAACGTCAGCATTCTCCCGCGCAGCAGCACAAGCACAAGCACTTTACTGACACATTATGCAGATGATGAGAGAGCGTCTGAAGGAGCCTGAGAGCTCAGACTCCGAATAGATCACTGTTGCTAGAACTACCGCGATACTCCGCATACAAGATCACGCAACGGACCTCGCCCACAACTCTATATCCTCTATACCATAGCCTTCTTCTGGTCCGCGCTCGACTGAGGAGCAACCCATTTGGGCCTGGTGTCAGCATACAACTCGGCGTTGATCGTGAGGTTATCAAGGATGCTGGTGTCGTCGAGTGTTCCAATCTTGACGATCCTCTTGCCAGGGAAGGTAGCGCCCTCACGCCACATGGTCGAACCGCAGTCACCGCTGTGTATGTCAGCTTACAATCGCCTTGGAGACTACAATACATACCAGAAATTGGAGGTGATCTCATTACCGCTGTCGGCCTTCTTCGTGTGCTGCTTGGGGGTGCCCTTGATGATCTTGAACTGGTCCGCGTCATAGACCCCGTTGGTGCTGTAAGTACTACCACCGATCTTGCGGCAGTCAGTGCAGTGGCACAAAACCTATATTCCATCAGCAACTGGACTAGAGCTAGGAGCACTCTACATACGCTCGCTGCGGACTCGCCTCCGGCCTCATAGCGGACGTTTCCGCAGACACATCCTCCGGCGACCATATTTGCGACTGTAACGTGGGGTCAAGGTGGAATTAAGCTGGAAGTTTGATTGAGTTGATGTACTGTTCAAGAGACTTAGGACTGTTCTGCTCATCCCCTTGGGCCACGACGCATATGCAGACTTTATACTTGACGATGTACCCCGCTATGCCGATCGGCCAGCTCAGAGGAACCGAGCACTCGCCGACGATGGTGCCCTTCTACCTAGCGCCTAGGCCTTGTGAAATCAGGGAGGCATCGTTTCCCGAGGGTCACAGCCAAACGGACATAAGGCAGCACGCACCGGCCTTCTGCGGTCATGGTAGACGCCGCGGACTTCGGTACTCGGCCATCATCACCTCACAGGTGCGGGTAGTGAGCGCTAGGTCAATTCCAAATCATGCTTGCTGTAATGCCCATAATACTTGTTACTGCCGCATTCGACCTCGCAGGAATGCTCACTGCAGGGCCACCTCTTGTGACACCTACGATGCAATGCTGACAGTCCTCAGCCGCCAGCGGACATGACGTGCGGGGCTTAAGTGGGTCTCTTCCGGGCACTCTCCGCAATATGCACGTGAAACCGTGCCAACTTCGCGTTCTTAATCGTGCTCACTCTCCCATACTTATTTGACACACCATGCCATAGCTTGGCACAGGGCTGCGCGCTCTCGCCTCGCTCACCGGCGCGCAGTATACTTCGATTTGGGTTCTTCTCGATACGCCCTTACGGTCGAACAACATGGCGAATGTGTGGACACAGATGGGCTACGTACCTCCGCGAGGGCAGTGCAACTTTAAGCAGACGATCGTCTCATCACGATGCCCGTGTCTGCGTTTTATGCTACACCCTTTGAAGGTGAGCTGGGCTATTCACGGTATAGGTACTTGTGCTAACAAGCTTCCAGTCATCTTCATCCTACGAATGCGACGGCTGCGCCCATCATGCATCTTTCCACTCGATGGAAAACAAAGCCGATGATGATACCCGCAAGAAATGGGAACAAGAAGCTAAGGAGAAGGCAGAAGAACATGAGCATGATGCAGCAGAGCGACCGAAGAAACGCCCGCGTGCTATTGGCTACGTGAAGAACTCAGAGGGACTGCTGAATTACCCAGGGCTTGGGGCGTTGCTTGATGGTACGGCAGGCAAAGACAAGAACGCTGCGAAGACCAAGGCAGGCACGTCGAGGACAATCCGAGCAGCTGGGTCACGAGGGAGGGGCAGGATCACGGAGTTTGCAGAAGGAGAGGAAGTGGTCGTGGAGCTGAATTGATGGTTGTGGATGTGTCGCATCTCTTGCGGCGCCCTTCATTTGCAAAGGCAGGTCCCGCAGGCTTTCATTGCATTATATCCCATGGCAGGCGCGTGTTAGCGTTCAAGCCATGTTGCGACTAAACGCACACTCGATCCAATCGACAACGGTTATCAAGTACCTCTTTGAAGATTCTTGGTCTCATCACGACTGTCTAAAAGCCAAAAATGACATCTTCCCGCGTGCATGTGCCTGCCAAGCTCTGACTCGCGCAAGCTTCATCATCGATGACCTTGCTCTCCACCACGATCAGCAACTCCACCGACATGATCCCTTAATCAGAAGGTCCGACGATCTCGCTCTTTCCCTCGGCGATTAGCGCGATATCCCAAGTCCCCTGTGTCTACAATGGCGACGCCAACACCCTCCTCGAACACGGCGCAAAAGCACCTCCCCGTCTTCTCGTCACCGGCTCCGCGCGGCACGCCTCACACAGGCGCAACAACTGGCATGATGAATTACGACTCGCCCGCTATGCTTAATATGCTGAGTGAAGGAGGAGGAGGGCTGGGAGGAGTTAACATGGGAGGAGTTAACATGGGAGGAGTAAACATGGGAGGAGTAAATATGGACATTTCGCTATCGCAGCTGGGGATAACGAGCGCGAGCGCAAGCGCAATGGGACGCGCAGACGACGCGGAAAGGACGAGAAGACTACACAACATCATCGACACGCTGAAGCAGAAGCCTGGGCGCGTGAGCGTGGAGAACGTGCTTGCGCTCTGCACCAGGCTTGGTATCGAGCCTCACAAGGAGCCGCATAGCTATCTTGTTCCTATTGGCGAGTCGAATCTCCTTGAGGTGAGCAGAGAACGGGTCTCCGCGGACTGCGCGATGGATGCTGACATGTGTAGATCTTCTTTCAAGGAGACGAAGTCGAGAAGGTCGATCTGCAGGGCGGTTTTGACAATCACAATGAGAGCATTGGTTTTGGCGCATCAGGCACAAAAATCATTTACCGCAACTTGCAACCTCTACCCGGTCAAAGCAAAATCAACGCTACTCTCGAGCGGTTTGCACACAATCTGGAGAAGCTCGTGACCTTGGACAAGCTGGGATCGCCAAAGAATGGAGGAGTAAGCTGTTACGAAGCCATCGCTGGTGTTTATACAAGTTTGCAGAAACTGTTCGAGCATGAAAAGAAGATGGCACTTGCGGTCATGGACGAAGACACGCCGAATCGATTTCACAGAGCGGAGAGAGAGGTGCTTTGCAAGAAGAGTGGTCGACCTAGGCCTAACATCGGGGATCGACTGGGACTCAATCTGGAGTACTGGATGGACCGGAGACACATCATACCGAAGTCACGAGCAAAGGCAACGTCTTCTGAAAAGGGCAAAGAGAAGATGGACATTGACACCCAGGAGCAGAGCGGATACCCAGAGGACGATGACGACCTGCCGACCAATACGGTGTACTCGCTGGCGCTGGAATGTGAGCACTCTCCCTCAACGCTGTACACGCCTATTCGTATATCAGACGACTGGATCAGTGACACGATAGAGAAGCCAGTCGATGCGAACGATGCGAACGCGCTTGACAACATCATCCTGAATACACTTTCATTAGATTGGCAAGAACCCAAGCCGACCTTTCTAGAACCGCCAGCACCATCTGGTGACGACGATGCTATGAATCTCGATGCTGACCCTGGCCGTCTACCCAATCTACGTTTCATCGCTAAGTTCAACCCACCGCTTGTGGTCCCTATCACCACCTACATCTCGCTACACCAATCCGTTGGTGTTGAACCACCCCAAGACTTCACCGCAACAACCTTCGTTGGTCTGGCCCTACGACCCAACGAACTCGATCCAGCCATAACCGGCACAGCAGGCGCGACCACGCACGAGATCCGCAGCACGCGAGCCACGCTTGTTCGCGACCTTGACGGAAATGAGAAAGACATCACCCACAACCTCAGCCTGTACGTGCCTAAGATGGAGTATAGCAGGAGACTCGAAAGCCTGCCCTTCGCCCACCCAAAACAGCTCGTCGAGATGCTGCCGATCCTGAGACAATACGCGTTCACGACGAGTCTGCTTCAGACATCTTTCCTCGAGACCGAGCCGAAGAAATTAGCTGAGCTACCGACACCGCCCAGCACCCCAGATGCAGATGCTGAAGACGGAGTGCCGCTACAATTCGACGTTAATCTCTCCTACACACCACCCGCGCCCCGCTTTACTATCCACATCCCCCACCCCTCATCAAGTTTCCCCTCCAACACACAGACAAGTACACGCCCCGACGCTGCAACACCGGCGTCCATCTCCGAGTTATTATCGGGCCTGCTGTCTGACTCAAACAACACTGGCCCCCACGCCCCACTCAGTGTCACGCTGGACGTGCACGCGAACGCGGAGCTGGTGGTCAGCGAGCAGAATGTCGTCGAGGGAGCGAGGCCAGGAGAGGAGGACCTGGAGAAGGCGCAGCAAGCGGCGGACAGGGTTAAGAGGGTTGCGCAGGCATTGGAGGTCAGCGGTGATCTGGGGGTTTGGGGTGAGTGGTTAAGGAGGGAGGTTGTGAGACAGTGAAAGGGAGAGATGAATAGATACCTGGCATAGCGTAGTTAGTTGGCGTTGTTGACTGACATCGTCGCGAACATCGAAGACATAGAGCCAGAATCATGTTGTATGGAAACGGAAAGCGTACGTGGAGAGGATAGTGAAGTTCGATATGTTCATTCATTGCACGTCTAGATTACATTGCAATATTGCAATCGTTGCGTCCATGCTTAACTCCCGCTGCTTCAAGCATGGATCTAGCAGGGGGTGGGGTATGTGATGAGGTAGGAAAGGGAAACGACAAACAAGCCAGCCGTGAAGGCATCTAAAGCGAACCCATCTCGACTCTGATTGAGGTTTCATCCACAATGAGGGCGTCGACAGGTGAAGAAAGGCAACGCCAAATCGCAGACATGACAACCGTGACGTGTTTACAGCGTTGTAAAGTGCTTACGGCTTAGCAATAGGGACAACCATCTCGACCTCAACTTCTTCCGCCTTAGCGTTGAACTTGGCAATGTCCGCGCCCTCGACCTTACCGAACATTGTCTCGGCAATGATGGCGGTGAGCTGGTATGGGTCACCGTTCGAGGCAGGGCGGCGGTCCTCGAAGTAGCCTTTGTTCTCGGCGGCAACGGCGCGGGGAATGCGGACGGAGGAGCCGCGGTTGGCAACGCCCCAGGAGAACTTGTCGTACGACGACGTCTCGTGCTTGCCGGTCATGCGCAGCTGGTTGTCCTCGCCATAGACGGACATGTGCTCCTTCTGGCGGCCAGCGAGCTTCTCCATGGCCTCCTCGATCGCTTTCATGCCGCCCTCGGCACGGGTCTCCTTGGTGGAAACGTTGGTGTGCAGACCAGCACCGTTCCAGTCGCCGGGGATGGGCTTGGGGGCGAAGGTGACCTTGGCGCCGAACTCCTCAGCGACACGGTGTAGGATGAAACGAGACATCCAAAGCTGATCACCCATCTGGATGTCGTCGCAGGGACCGACCTGGTACTCCCACTGAGCGGGCATGACCTCGGCGTTGGTGCCGGAGATGTTGATGTTGGCGTAAAGGCAGGCCTTGTAGTGGGCCTCGACGATGTCACGGCAGAAGACCTTGCCGGTGCCCACACCGCAGTAGTAGGGGCCCTGAGGAGCAGGGAAGCCGTTCTTGGGCCAGCCGTAGGGCCAGCCGAACTCGTCGAGGAGAGTGTACTCCTGCTCGAGACCGAACCAGAACTCGTGCTCCAAGTGCTTCTTGAAGATGATGGCGGCGTCGTGGCGGAAATTGTATGCGTTGGGGCTACCATCTGACATGTAGGTCTCGCACATGACGAGGACGTTGTCGCCGAGACGGAAGGGGTCGGGGTAGTATGCGACAGGGCGGAGGTAAACATCGGAGTTGTTACCGGGCGCCTGACCCGTTGACGAACCGTCAAAGTTCCATTCTGGGAGGTCCTCGAGACTCGAGACCTTCTTGAAGAGAGTCTGGAAGTGCTGTCAGTATGCTGTGCCAAATCGGGTAGTGGCTGAGGAGTTTGAGGAAAGAGCGATGAGGGGTGCAATTGCCGATCGTGGCTGGTGGGGTATCGTGGGGCTTGGTGGGCTGGAGTCGCCGATAACGATAAGGAACGCCAAACAGAGGGGGACGATCGCTGCGCAGTGAGGTCACACGAGGTGACCGCCCTGCGCACGATGTCCAGACTCTTGAATGCTTGGGCTGTGACACCAGGAATGATGACTGCAGGTACAGAACCCTGAAAACAATTCTGACTGCGCCATTTCACCCCACGGTGTCCACAAATACCGCATCCTCAATAGTGCGGTATTTGAGGCATAAACTGGAAAGTGCTCACCTTTGACTTTGAGCGGAGACCGTTGGAACCGTCGATCCAGACGTACTCAGCGATGACCTTGTCCTTCTGAGGAAGACTGAGGTATTTCTGGAGCTGCAAATGGCGCATTAGCCGGGCTCGCCAAGGCACGCGACACAGTGGAACTTACAGTTGCCGTGTTGGAGACGATTGATGAACCAGCCTGTGTGACTGTAGTGAGTAACTGTCCTTTCAAGGCCTCAATTGGCCTGAAAGTACTGGTCGTGACATACCATGACTGCGGTTGTGATGTGTGGTATTAGAGAAGAAGAGAGGGGTGGGTCGCAAGAGTGGTGGAGAGAAGAGTTGGTGTCTGGCGACAAAACCTCGTACTTAGGAGGGGTAGATATAAGAGTGGTGGGCAGGAGATATGTGAATGAGGGGAGAGATAAGGGCTACCGGGGGCTTACACTTATAAGTAGCAGAGACTCAAATGTCTCGGTCTGTGGCGGCGGTTAGTAGGGTAAGAGGAATAGTTAGGCTCGCCCTGGCCAAGCTCAGGCGACGCCGAAACGTTTCCGTGGGATGAAGCATCAACCTGCACAGCAATCAAAGCGTCCTAAACTGGGGGTTTCCGACGGCCGCGCGCCCAGGATGAATGCTGGGATACTGCTAGTTTGACATCCACTTCTCTAGCGCCGCCTACTGCTGTTGAACCACACATCTGGGGACGCTTGCCCAATCTCCGAGCGTGCATTTCATGCTGATGTTATTCACTCACTCATCCTTTGTCTGAGCTGAGCGTGGCTCCTCGCGCTCGCGGCAGGGTTGCACAGCAGCGCTGGGCATCTCCGCCGTACCCAGCCGGGGCCCGCCTCAGCCTCAGTCGCTCCCGACATTGACCGCTTTGTTCCTGGAAAGCGTCGCCAACCATCGTCACTGCGCAGCTAAATTTACCCACATAGCCGAGCAATTGGTCATGGCGGGCGTGCTGGCCCGAGGACTGCCCAAAGCAATGCTGAGGCTCGCATGCACACACCGCTGGCCGGCACTGCACCGCATCGTGACCGTGGTTTGGTGAGTCTTCGCCGTTATCAGTAACCATTGATCACACGCGACGCCGCCGCATCGCTCTGCCGCTTTGCGACGGCAAGTCCCTGCGCGCGGAAAAACTGCGAGAGGCGTGATGCGAGCACCGACGGGGACGCTCGTGCAGCAGGAGTGCACGCCCTGCATCGAGTGTTGCGACATGTTCTCGATAGCCGCTAGAACGGTCCTAACGCAGGTTGTGGCGATAAGGACAGGGCTAGCCAATCGCGAGCATCCCAGACACTCGGCCGTCGTCATGCCAGCATCACTCTACGCGTTTGCATCGTTTCTTGTAGTCAAGCAAACCGCTTTCCGATGCCTCAAACAATTGGAGCATGGCGCGTGGCCCATCGTGTCTGGTTGCAAGGGAACACTGCCGATGCCGTTATCTTCAAACCCTCGTGAATCCGTGCCTGGCTTGGCCGTCTCCACGACAATCAGCTGCAGCGCTGGGATTCACCATTCTAGACGCTGAAATGGGATTCTTTCTGACCAACTGCCCCACAGTCTGTATGCGGTCTCGCGTGCCTTTGATGGAGAGCCGTCTATCGTGAACATGCACCTGCAACCATCTCTACATAACCGCAACGAATGGGCGCGCAACGATATGTAAGACACACCCTTAATTGCAAGCCCTGCCCGCACACCATCTATCTCTCCGCGTCTCCGAACCCCACGATTTGATAGCCATTTTGGAGGAGTGAGGTTGGGGTAGCCATCATGCGATGTCGGCACGACAATTATATCGCGCATCTTTCCGCCAGACGTTGGGCGTTGGTGGCCGTGTTGTGGGGTGCGGGCTGCCGCAGATCACCCACCCCTGCAAGCCACAGATAGCAGCAGATAGTTACTCGACCCGAACACGTAATGCGCGCCGGCCGGAGCTCGGTATCGACATCGCCTGTGTGCCACCAAAGCAGCGTGTTCATTTTGTGTCGGTGGAAAAGCAAATAATTCACCAACATGGCCCAGAGATTCCACAGAGATGCAGGAGACGCACTTCAGTCAAGGGTGGACGCCGAAAAGCGGAGCCGTGCACGTGGCGCTGTCAAGGGCCGTATTGGGCATGGCCAGAGGTCTGCTCCAGGGGGGGTAGAAGGAGGCTTTATATATCCTTCAATTCCAAGACTCGCTGATCAAAGCACTTCATCTCTATGGTTGAGGCGCACTCGCGCGACTCTGCGTTGAGGCGAACTACCCTTATCTCTCCGAAACGTGCAGCGAGCGCTTCCAGGGACCAGCACCGCTCGAGCGCTTCGGTCAAGTAGATGTGCGGTCTGACGTAGGACGACATGCGGTACGCTTGCTCGCTGGGTAGCTCTGGTGTGCCATGCGCCAGAGCTCTGATGCGGTGCTCTCCAAGTAGCAGTCGCGCTCCAGCACAGACGCGCAACGTGCTCGTAAGCCACCAGCTACTTGGGGCGGCCCTTTCCCTCCTGACCCAGTACATATGAGTGATGACGTGCAGAGCCGCTCGACCTTGGTGGGGTGGCGACTGCGGCGGTACCTGCAGATGAGCACTCGGGAAGAGACGGATGGATTCTGGGACATGGCCGATTCGCTCCGTATCTGAGCGTTCGGAGATGGTGCCAGACGCATGGTAAATCTGGGGTAGACTAGTCGAGACGTTGGGCCTGCTACTTGCTCATCTCTGGTATCGTCTGGGCGCTGTCCTTAGGTTAGTCATCTTTGTTGGCAATCGACCCCTACCTGATAGCCGTGACTCGTCATCCGGATGACGCTCAGACATGGTGTTGACCTTTCTCAGCCAACTGGCGAAGACTTGGGATCCCTTGCACGAATCCATCCAACTCAGGGACAGTACTAGTCGCAGCCCATAGTCTTGGCCAGCAAGGACTTTGGCAACTACAAGGGCACCAGTCTCCGCCAGTGACCCTTTCATAACGTTCCATGGGGACCACGCTACTGGGAAGACACCCCATATGTACAGCGTATCTGCAGCCTTGCATTGCCCGGTCAACATAACGTCTGGTTGATGTTTGGCCAATACCGTCACTGTACGACAGCTGCTGCTCCGAATCTCTCGTTGTTTGTCTCGATATAACACATCCACCTCCGCACTCTTGTCCCACAGCCAGGGCTTATCTCCATCCTGGGTGTAGTGTTCTTAAGATTCGTGTGTTCTGGCGAAACTATGAACTACGTTGGCACGGCCCGTTGGCGCCAGCGCAAAATAGTTAGGAGTGTCTCTTACGCCCGCAACGTGCGAGTAGGATTAACCATTGTCCAAGCAGTCCATTTCGGATCATCCCTGGTTCGTTCCGGCCCGTCGCGGATCCGGGTATATCGCCGTAGTGGGACCACTGTGCGACGTGTGAAGTGAACAATCAGATTGTCCCCGCGACGATGTTGTCCAAACGAGTATCAGAAGAACAGAGCCAGATTCGAGGACAAAGGTCGGCACAAGGCTGGCTGCACCGCACAACAATGGCTCCCGTGTGTGACTTATGTCTCGTAGTTTGTCTGAATTAGAATATAGGCCTGGTGACGGTCAGTCACAACTCAAGTTCATTGAAGCGCGATCGCACGCACCTTGCCAAGATCTAAAGTCAAGCTCCCAGCATACGGTTCCGGTACGAAGACTCTGTGGAGGACTGCAAGATGTGCCATACCGAGCACGTATACCACCGAGCCTGTTCACACTGGGGCCGCGAGCGCATCGTTGGCGAGCCTTGCTGTCGAGCTCGTACGGCCAGTGGCCGCCACACGACCTGTCTCTACACCGAAAACATCGGCTCTGTCAACAGTAGCGACCCATGCTCGCAATGTATCTACCAACTTGCGAGAGGGGACGACTGGAAACCATTTGAGCATGTCAGTAATGCTGCGTGGGCAAGGGTGGAGGAGCGATTGCGGCAAAGACGACTAGCGATGAGTCAAACAGCTCTTCACCTTGACGGTACATTGGAGACCCCTCCCATCGATGTTGCGTGCTCATCAGTTCTGCAGGTCGACATAGATGGCAAAGTCGTTGGACGCACTGGCACGGTGTGCAATGATTGTGGAGTGGTATACGTTGACGTCCACATAACGTTGCAACAGGTCAGATGTTTCTCATCTACGATCAAGTCAGCCGCATTGTCCGAGACCGTAAGTGCACGCATACCATTGCGAGGAGTCAAGCATGCACAGACCACCAAAGGCTCTTGATTACAACTTCACCAATCAACATATTATACACTCGTGAGTAGAGCAGCCATTGAGTGGAGAGTACTTTCGTTCACGAAGGTTATGGATGCATATGCAGAGTGAGGAAATTCGACGTCGAGGTGAGGTCGCAGAAGATGAGGGGAATGGTAAGAGCTCGTGGGCCACATGGCAAGCATCTGGCCAATCAGGAACATCGATGGGGTAATAGTAATCTCGTCCACCCCTTCCATCCTCGTCGACGCGAACACAGACGACGACAAGGTCTGAGAAGATGCAACAGATATGCCTCTTGCACTGCCCTTTCAGCTTTGTTTCTAGAACGTCAAGCCGCCAAAGTTACCTGCTACGACCGCCTGCTATCGCATGACCACCACATCCAATATCAGCAAGCAAGTCCCGTCAATGATTGTGAATGATGAACAATTAGTCTTCAAAGTAGCAGATATATATGATAGCTTTTGACTTGTCTGTTGAGACCGGTGAACATTGTTGAAACGGCACATTTGACGTTCCTGCGATCAAAGTCGCGCTGTGACCTTTGAAAGTTCACGGTAACAAAACGAGGCAAATCATGGTCAAGTTTAGGGAATAGGACTGCTAGAAAGTATCACATTATGGGCTTCCCACTGCAGTCGACTTATTGTGAGACCAGATTGCGATTGTGCGCCGATCCTTCGTGCCCCTGAACTCCGCCGAACTAAGTAGTTGAAGAATGAGAACATGCGTGATTTTGGACTGATATATTGGAAACGTTGCTGGTGCCTGAAACGCGTCTCTTTAGCACACCAGCAACGATCGCGCGCGCCTTGGCAACAGGCGAGGTATTCATCGTAGTGTTGCTGTGATGATATGCCCAGGTAAAATACCAGGACAGTGTAGCGTTGCTTTTGATGTCGCAGTGCAGGAGTCAAAACAGCCAATAAGCCCCATGGTGCGACTTGGAGATCTCAACGTTTCCGCACTGAGCAGAGGGAGTCCGTGGCGGCGTGACAGTCAGCTGTTTTGTCAAAGCTGCCAAAAGGCCCGGCGAACCAGACTTCCATCCGTGGCCTGACTCAGGGAACCACCACAATACGGCCTGTGTCGTTGGCGCGAAAGAGCCTCGGGCAAGAACATGAGCACAACATGATCCACGTGAACTACACGGCTCACGTCTCAGTTGGGGTTGGCTGGCTGCAGCTAGAGGAGTACTACCTTGGAATCCAACAGGGTCATCACGAGTGTTGCAACGGCGGAGTGTACGACATGTTGTACCAGGAACCCAGATTATCCTTCCGACTCGCGGACGGAGCTTGTCGATGATATGAAGGGAAAGCGTGTGCGTGCCGAAGAATCTGCTTGGTGTACTGCCCTTGTTTAGCTCCTGAAAGCTTGGCCGCGAACCACCGATCGACGTCTGGGGTACCATCTCACAATCTCGTCGCTCAACCGTCGCAAGCATCTATCGCCCCACGCTCCGTGTTTCTTTCTCCTCACAATCATTTACCTGCTCAGCAAACCGAACACCAACAATGGACCACTGATAGTACATTCATTGCTGCTAGGTTCACCGGAGACGTACTCTAGCGCAGCCATCATTACTTTCATTCGTCAGGCTTCACGCTGCAGGGGCACCCCTTAGCTTCGCGGTACGAGCTCGAGCCGGAGTGACTTCGTACTGAGCTGCACATCATCTAATGTTCGGCGACCGAAGAGGGAGCGTGGATGGGACACGGCCTCCAATGTCGCCCTCACCGACGATGCATCGCCACACCTCCTCAGACGCGGGCGACATGATGTCGAGACGTTCGAGCATTGCGCCAAGCTTCTCGAGCGACCGGCCTTCTGTCGCCAGCTCGGTGACCTTCCAGATGCCCACCACGGTACGACCGCCTCCTGCGTACATCGCGGCCTCAGTCGCGTCACAGATTGTTACGGACAACCACAACGCGCAACTGCGGCACAACGACTCCGAACATGAAGAGCTGGAGAACGCCATCTTCTCCGAACAATCACTCTCGCTGCTCAATGGCTTCCTTGACCACCTCTTATTCGCATTCCTGTCCACTGCGCGCTCGCCGTCCCTCATCGCTATCCGACCAGCCATCTGCGAGGTGCTGAAGCCTCGCCTGGCTCGTGAAGCCGCCGAAGCCGCCGACGAAGAGCTCCAGGGACTGCTGTTTGGAGAGGACGACGAGGAGTTCTCCCCCACCGACGGCGGCAGGGCGATCGATCGCTGGGATGTCGAGAAGGTGTGGAAGCGAACCCGCCTGCGCATCATGGTCTACACACGCTTGGGCGAGATGGAAGACGAGGACGAGGAGAAATACGTGCAGCAAGAGCGCGGCCTGAGCATGGATGACGATGAAGACGAAGAGGCTGGTCTTGTCTCGTGGGCGTCAGCGATCTTCCTCACGTCCGTTGTAGAATATGTCGCCGAGCAGACGCTGCTCGTTGCGGGACAAGCAGCATACGCACGTATGGCATCCAGGTCCAAAAGGTCTCACAACGGAGATGAGACGGACGAGGGCGCACTAGAGCGATTAGTGATTGAAGAGCCAGATGTTGAGAAGATTGCTCTGAACTCAGCACTCGGCCGTTTGTGGAGGACTTGGAGGAAACGCGTACGATCTTCTCTTCAGCCGCTCTCTCCGAACCGCAGCATTCGACCCAACTCGAGCTACGCTAGCCTCCACAGACGGGGCAGCAGAAGCAGCCAAGCCACTGCTGACGACCCATACCGCGTTGAACCTACGCCTGTGTCCGATCGCGTGCCAACCGAGACGGATATCGCAGCCAACATACCTTTGCCGATCACCGAGCGAGACATTGACGAAATCGAGGTTCCAGGACTCGCACGGACTTATGAAGATGCAGAGAGTAGCGGCATGCAGACGCCGGTATCACGGCCGCAGCGCCCGAGTAGTGTCATCACGCTGGCTCCCGCTGAGGAGTTCCGACGAAGGCAGAAGAAGGAACGCCCTACATCGATGCCGGGTCCAGCAGCATTACCCTTCGCTGTTCCCCCACGGACTCAGGTAGACGATAAAGAAGACCAGATCGAGACGCCGTTCGAAACCGCAATGACGAGTAACTACAATCGCACGTCCTACATCGGCGACGAGAACAGAGTCGAGCCTCTGCTTCTGGCCCATAAGGGTGATGGCGATGCGCACGACGATATGTTGGCTTCCGCTGTAGGTGCCGCGCCTCAGAGCGAGCGCAGTCTGGCGAAGTCTCATGGCTCGGAGAAGAGCGATGTAGAGCCTGATACACCCATGTCCGCGACTTCGGCCAACTCAGACACGTACGATATCGAGCCAAAGGTATTGCAGTCGAAGAGGATGTCGATTGGAAGGAGTGGGCCACCAGGCATCGTGCGCACTTTCTCCACACGCAGCAGCAGCCTCAAATCGCCGCGGGAGACACCTACAGCGACACCAAGGGCATCGACACATGATGAGGCAAGATCCTACCTCGATGACCATTCCGACGATGATGAGCTGGAGGGCTCTCAAGCTATCGGCGTGGCGAAGACGTCAGATGTGCCTATCCGATCCTCGCCTACTCCGTCCGAGCGAGCCAAGGTCGTACCTGCACAGGGCATGCAGCCTGCGCCTCGATCCGTACCTTCACGCAACACACCAACACCTGACTCAAAGCCCACGGTACCCGAACGCTCTGGCGCTCGCAACGATGTTCGCAAACGCGCTAGCCCTAGCATTGGCAGCGGTACAGGTCCAGTTGCTGGCACCTCAAGTCCACCGCGCAGGCGGGATGCAAGCCGAGATGCAACTCCTCCAACCTCAGGTCGCACGTCGTTGCCTTCCCTGCAAGAGGTCGAGCACTACAGGCCTCAGCCAGCTGTTGCTAGCGAGCAGACAGTGCAAAGGGACAGTTCTACATACAGTAACCGAAGCCGTACGCAGAGTCCTCATGTAGCAATGGCTGAGCGACAAGACTTTCGTCGTTCTACAGATGAGTCACTGCGCTCCGCATCTGCGGCGGGAGGTTCCATCAAAGAAAGGCCAGTCATCAAACGTGTTGGGTCAACCTCCTCAAAGAAGTCAGGCAGTATCTCGCGCATACCTATCGCCCGTGACTCTGACGATAGATTGAATCGCAGCCAAGGTGGACGTATGTCTGAAGAAGACCGAGAGCGTCAGTTCGAAGAGCTCGTGCAGGGTAAAGAAACTGTGAAGTACACCTTGACACCTGAGAACATGCGTGCTTTAGATGTAAGTTATGCGTCGTCAGGTAGTTTAACGCATATTAATGTTGGTAGGAATCTCCTGTTGTTCGCAAGGCAGAGCCTGAGCGTCTTAACACTGCTTCTGTCACAGTGTACCCTCGAGTCGACGCTGACAGAAGCAATGCGTTTGGCAACAATGCTGTACCTGCCAAACCTCCAAGCACCAGTAGCAAGGGCAGAGGCCCTGGCGTTTCTGGCCACAGGCCTTCACCTAGCAGGAAGGTGATAACTCGGCCACTGGCGAGGGAGCCGCGCATCGAGTCAGAGTCTATGCGTGATTTCGCTGATTTTATTCGCTCGACTGGCCCTTCCCCGGGTCAAGAGAAAGCCCCACAGCCCTTCCTCAACATCAGTGGTAACGGACTGAGATCACCGAATGGCTCTTCCTCTTCCATTGGAAGAAAGACGTCCACCAAACAATCCGGCTCTCGTGCTGTGGACGGATCATCTGCGAGACCACGCGTTAACATGGAGCCACGCAGCCCCGCTGGACTCAGTACTGGTAACGATGATCTGATAGACTTCATTCGCCAAGGACCCCCCAATGGCCCTGAAGGACAGCCCAGAATCCCAAGATCAGTTGCGCCTTTCCGCACAACGGTTGACTCAGATCAGTTCGACACGATGTTAGGAGACCACGGTAATGTTGAGTCAGCGTACGGTTCCAAGACTTCCACGCTCGACTCGCAGCATTCGCTCCAAACAAACAACTCCAGGACTGGTCTCATTCCTGCACCAAGCGTTGTGCAACCTGCATACTCAAACACCCCACAAAACCTGTCCGGCAGCATGACTTCGAGCTCGGAGCCTGTCATTACCCGTACTCGCAGGCGCATCAAAGATCCTTACGCAATAGATCTCTCAGATGAGGAAGATGACGAGGATGATGACCAGCTGACCGCACTACCTCCTTCGAACAAGCCACCCGCGGCGAGACAAGAGAGCCTCATGGACTTTCTTAACGAGTCTGAGCCACCATCTGGGCCGTCCGTAGGTAAGCCTCAGCCCTTCATGCTCAGCCAAGAGACTATTGCTGCAGCCAAAGCACGTGCAAATAGCTCAAATTCGTCACTCTCTTCCTCTGCAACAGCGACGCGCAGCAACGGTGCTGCGCTACCCATGGGTTTCCCGACCTCGAGCGGCGAACACACTGTAAAAGCCCATAAGCCTAAGGTTGCCATCCGTGCACCTGCCGTGGGCGATATGCGCTCCAATCGTACGGCAACCAGCGATCTTGCTGATTTCCTGCGCAACTCTGGACCGTCCGAGCCTGTAGGAACACCACCTGGTGCGCGAAAAGATGAGGAGAAGAAGAAGAGTAGTAACATGAAGTTCTGGAGGAAGAACAGGGAGAAGACTTACGGTGATTTGCCATGATTATAATGCTTCATTTTTCTTCGTTGATACCTTGCTGGGTAATGGGCGTTCTTGTGTTGGGTCAACGCCTACTTCGACACAGTGCAGCTTGCATAGAACGCAGTACTATCTATGTGGAGGGCAATGGTGTGGGTTTGGATAATGGGAGGCGGACTATTGTATTTGCATGTTTTCTTTTTGACCTTCTATGATATCCACAAACACCCTTGTAATGTTACTGTACCATTCATGTAGCATATATACTCTAGCTATTGTAGTGAAGGTTTGGGAACTTGGAACCACGATGGTGAGGCATTCCAGTTTCTGGGACAACAACACATATCTGACCTGGGCTAAAGTTCTGCAATTTACTCAGATGTGACGATGAAAACGTCTACGACCGCTTGCTTACGGGAAGCCCAGGAATCGTGCGGTCCGTCACTATGCTAGCATGCCAAATGAAGCAACAGCTTTCGGCTAGTGTGGTACCGGTAGCCTTGGCCATTGCTCCCCCAGACCCCAACATTCATTTCCAGCTTATCTCCACTCCATCTCAGGGTCCATCAAACAACTTGCAAATCCCAATTGCAGGACCCAACAATGCCGTATCATTTTGAGACATCGCCCGAAATTATCCATAGCTTGTTATTTAAGATGAGCAAACACAACATCGAGTACTCAACGGACCCGGCAATACGCGACTCAAAAGCCAACACACCGCACTCGCCCGTCCCAGCCCACGAAACTCCAGTCACCGTATTCTTCCCCAAAACTACTCAAGATATTGCCACCATATTAAAAGAATGCAATGAGCGCCGCATAGCCGTGACCTCATTCTCGGGCGGCACCAGCTTCGGCGGCGCCCTAACATCAACGCGAGGTGGAATATGCATCAGCTTCGAGCACATGAACTCCATCACCACGCTGCACGAGGATGATCTCGATGTCGTTGTGCAGCCTGGACTGGGCTGGGTAGAGCTGAACGAGCAGTTGAAGAGCAAGGGTCTTTTCTTTCCCGTGGATCCGGCTCCGGGCGCGAGCATAGGCGGTATGATTGCCATGAGCTGCTCGGGCACGAATGCGTATCGATATGGAACAATGAAGGAGTGGGTTATCTCGCTCACTGCTGTGCTGGCTGATGGTACGATTGTGAAGACGCATCGCAGGCCCAGAAAGAGCGCCGCCGGGTATGATCTTACGCATCTGGTCATTGGATCCGAAGGTACACTTGCGTTAGTCACGGAAGCGACGCTTAAGCTTGCAGTGTTGCCGCAAAACTTGCATGTTGGGCTGGTCACATTCGATACGTTTCAGCAGGGTGTGGACATTATTGTTGCGCTGCAAAGAGCTGGGCATCAACTGGAGGCGCTCGAGTTGGCGGACGGACCGCAGGTGCAGTGCATCAACCACTCGAAACTTGCTCGTGTTGAGATGGCGGTCAAACCAACACTTTGGCTCAAGTTTGCCGGGTCATCACTACAGCTCGTCAAAGACCAGATCGAGACCGTCAGGACGCTATGCAAAGAGCAGAAGGCGCTAACATACGAAATCACATCCGACAAGGTACGCATCGACGTTCTCTGGGACGCACGGAAGTGCATCGGTCGTGCGCTTGTCATGATGAAAAAGGATCCCACGGACCTCTTCATGCACTCCGATTGTGCGGTCCCAATCTCGAATCTTGCTGCGCTCGTTGAGGGGACACAGAAGCTCATCCAAGAAGCAAACAAAGCCAATCAAGCATCGTCGTCAGAACCTAAGCAGCCCTGGTTCTGCGCCAACGTTGGGCATATTGGCGATGGGAACGTGCATTCGTCGATCATTTGTCCTGCGGCTGATAAGCCGAGGGTAGACGAGGTACTGAGAAGGGTAGCTAGACTTGCATTGAGTTTGGAGGGCACAATAACAGGCGAGCATGGCGTAGGATTGAAGCAGAGGGGCGCACTGGTTGACGAGGTTGGACTTGAGGGCATCAACGTCATGAGAAGAATGAAGGCATCACTTGATCCGAGGGGGATATTAAATCCGGACAAGGTGTTCGCTCTGGAAGATGAGGTAGGCTCGCTTCAAATATCAAAGCTCTAAAAGCGAGCCTAAGGAAAGTGACGGGACACATGGCGCAGTGCTGAAATTGTCCGTTCTATTAGGAGGACACTTGAGAGACCAACGAAAACGCTTACTAAATCCATAAACCAGTATCAAAACTCTTCTCTTCCTCACTGCTTCGGAAATCCGGGCCTTGAGGTCGACAAACTTTGGGCAGCGGTCTCCCCATGACTATCCCACGCTACGTGTAACTTAATCTCTGAACTTTCACAATTTGGCTTTCCCGATGGCTTCCATACTGTTTTTGGTGATGTCTCATTTCGTGAACTGATTGGTCATAACCCGTGCCAAACTGTGACAGTATTGCTTGCAACGTACTCTCAGCCCAGTATCTCGAATCTGCTGTGAGGGTCCGATGTGCCCTCCTTGAAAGCATTTCCACCAGTATGTTGGTCTTGCGGAGTACTCGCTCAGCATATCCGTCTAGCGCAATATCCAAATCACATAGTTGACGACTATTGCGCTTTTGCAAGTCGTCCCAGGAGGCGCCACCAAAACCGCGCCAAGTTCGAGTGAGAGTTTCGAGTCGCAGAAGTTGCGTTTTCGAAGCACGTCCTAAAATGGTCGTAGGAATGATTAAGATTATGCTCATCTGTCCTTGAGATGTTTAGCCGTGCTGGCTGTGCTGCAGGGCTACTAGCATGTGTCACGATTGCGGGGCTTGCTTGTGTGCGAAGGGGCCAAAGACCGGGAAGCTAAGTACATGCTGATCTGTTCCAGACTTGGGTGGCAATCCAGCAGCTATTCAGATGATCTTTACGGTCATCGATTGAAAGCCAGTCTCGTGCCAATTCGTACACTTATGAAGAATCTCGAAGACTTCGAACACGCCGATTCGCTTGTATGTATGCTCCTCTTTGGAGAGCCGGATCAACAAGAGACCATGGGGGCGAAAAAACGTCTCTCTTCTTAACGTTGAACGAGCTATCCCTATATCCAGCTCTTTGTCGATTGTGCAGTCCAGGCACCAAACGTCCTGAGACTTAACGTCGTTCTTCTGGCCTGTGTCGAGAGCAAACCGAACATTGCTTAGATTCTCGCCCTTCAGCACATAGTAGCGGTGCCCCTTTTTGATAAGATTTTTAGTGTCGCACCGCTTCAGAGGACCAGACACTGTCAGGGACGCGGCCGAGATCTCGCCATAAGGGTTGCTGGTCGACAGCTTCACATGTACGTCGATCATCTTGATGTCGACAAAGCGCCGTCGTGTTGGTTCCAAAGTCCATGCTGAGGTGACAGATGCCCAGCTCCAAGATGGAGCGACGTAGGTTGGTGTTGCTGGCTGGCAAGGCCACACGTACCAGAGTATGCCTGCCGCTATATCTTCCTTCCATAGTCCTGCAATGTACGTGTCCTTTGTCTTCGATGCCACAAGGTATGCTATGCCGGACAAAGCCGGTAGTCGGTCGGTCTTGTACGTCAGCTGTAATTGTGAGTATGACTGGACGAGCTGAAGCCAACGATCATAGTAGGTGTTGCAGTCTTTGCCAGTAAAATCGGAGGCTACGTGTACAAGTCGCTTTCTCTCAGTGTCGATGCCATATAGAACGTCACTGTTGGGCCCGCGTTCTAGCTGTGTGTATGTATCGCACTCGAAGGCCATAGCAGTGGAAGTCAAATGCAGGACCCGTGGAGAGAGCAGCAGTTCTTGAAATGCCCATGCTCGGTACTTCAGAAAGTCTATTCTGGATTTGTGGTCGATTGCGGATCGTACATGGACGTGTGTTTCAGGATGCCCGGGCAGTGCACAGAGCGGGTAGTGGGGAGGTACGTCTTCAGGAAGTATGTGGCGGAATCCTCTTTCGTTGTTCTCATAAGACATCGCGGAGATGACCATATAGCAGTTGGAATAGATGTCGGACATTCGTTCGCACTCGGACGCCCAGTCTTCTTTGCTGTCCTGGATGATGCATAATGAGTCAATCCAGATGTATCTGTCACATCGTCAATACACTTGTTTAGACAAGAGTTCTGACGCGCACCTCTTTCCTATTGCCCTAGTCAGTTCGATCGCATCTTGATACAACTTGGGAAGTAAGTCTATTTGGATGCCATCTCGCAGAGAATCTATGTTGAAAGTGTCGCACTTCGATAGTCTGCTTGGATCAGCATGATGTCAGTCTCAATTAGACGTCTGCTTACAAGTCAAATCTGTTGAATGGCATATTCCCCCAGCAGTGGCTAAGTGCAACGTACTCCACGTCTGGTTTGCCTTGTCCCTCAACCAGTCGGATACCTCCAGATATACCGGTTGGAGAGATATCCACTACGCGAGTTGGCAACTTAGATCTAGCTCGCCACCTACATGAATGATGCTCAGTTTGGCAAGTCTGAAGCCAGATGGATATCTTCTCAACCGCCGTCAAAGAAAGTCGGTCACGTTCTGAGTCGATCATCTTTATGTCGCCAATCTGACCATCTCGTGCGTTGTCTGCAAATGTCTCAGACTCTGAACGTGTATTCGAGCGGATAGATTACCTGTTGTCGAAAGATACAGGTAGTATATCGCAGCCGTCCGCTTGTCCTGCGGCACACACACGTGAAGACATGTTTCCTCGCGCTTATAGGTCGGCAAGATCTTGAAATGAAGTGGTCCACTACTGTCCGAGTAGAACACCGAGCGAGAAGACGTTTTTGGATGGAGAGGAGCAAGTGTGAAAAATGTGCACAAACGGCAACCACTGCTCGCCGACTTTGTTAGTTTGGTCCAATTCTCGTGATGTGCTTGACCTTCTTGTGATCTCATCTGCTCATAATCTAGCACAGAGCACTTTTCGCAGAGCGAAGTCGAGTTCGCAGTATACCTGTCCATCTCCTTTGACATCGGCACTTCGCTCCGTGGACTGATGTCGTGCCATGCAGGCAAACCATCAGCCATCGTTCAGAACTGCGGCACATGCAGGTCAAAGGATCAAAAAGCAGCCCCAGTGGAGTGGGCTGCGCCGAAGGCATGCACACAGCCCTACGAACGGTATGCAAACTTGCGTCACCAATTTGGACTTGTAGGACAGCCGGCAAAGCTCTGCGGCATGGAGCTCTGCGACAGGTTTGGGAGAGATCGCAAGGACGACGTAAGCTGTTTACCGCCGCGCGGACATCCGAAACCGATTTTCGAAAGTGTCGATGAAGCTGCGCAAGATCAATTATCGGTGATATCAGGGACCCCTCACCGATTCCTTCGATCCTTTCCACCAATCGTGTCCACGGCCAGACTCCGCCCGCTAGCAGGTGCGCTAACTCACAAAGCGTCCCTCCACCGCCAGCCGTCGAGCCAAGGCCTTGACCTGAAACATCAGAAAAATCGAATCAACGCCCACCACTGTTTGATCTCAAACCGCTCTTTATGACCCCTGCATTGTGCATCTGAGCGCACAAGAACTCGCTGTATTGGGACCCAGCCCCAGCAGCTCACCTTCGGCGCCGGCGGTCAACGGCGTGGGTTTGGCTATGCGTCCATTGAAGTGGCTGCGCCAGCAGCTGGTGGGTTGTTGTACGAGGCAGAACAACAAGCTGCTCACTGACCGATGGAGAGACGCGTTATGCAGTGCTGCACGATCAGTGACGGCAGATGCAAAGACTGTCGCAAAGGCTGAGATGCCGGACGCCTTGCGGGTTCCTCTGGGCTGAGTGACTGCGTCAGGACTTCTGCGTTCTTGTACAGCTCCCCACCCGTAGTTGTGCACCCCCACCACTTGCACATGCGAAGCGAACGCGAGCGCGAAGAATGCTCACGAACATGTCCGCCGTAGGGCACGAACCGGAGGATGTCACTTGTTATTCTCGTAGCTTCCAGCATTGCCGTCCATGTGACAGCTTCAAGGGTGTCTGTCCGTCACTAGTTGCTGTTAGGATCCATGGCGGAGATTGCAAGGAAATGTCACGGCTCTTTCGTCGGTATTGCCTGTGCACCCGGAAAGAAGCGAACGTTGAAGCGGTGCTAAGGAGATAACGCGCGGTCTGTGAAGTATTGTTTGAAATTTCATTACTCGTATGTCCCGTAGGAACGGTATGTGTAGATGTGTAGCTAACTACTATGGGATATTGCGGCGCGCCGGCCGATAGAAATATTGAACAGTGATGATGTGATCACACTCCTTCAAACGCCATCAATGCTATGCGTGCCGTGCAAATGCTTCAAATGGAACGCCGTAGATCATGCGGTGATATGTTGAATGGTTGTCCTGCAATCTTCTGGCCATATCATGTCCATGCAAATCGTTTATATCTCGATGAGATGTGGTGCGGAAGGCACTCGTCTAGGCAGATGATACGAGAAAGCGAAGGCAATTTTAGTAGGCCGCTGTGCGACTCGCGTAAGCGCCGGCGAACATCCTGTTGAAGAAGCCGCCTGATGTCTTTGTCTTCTTCGCCGGCTTGTTATCGTCATACATGGGGAGCGAGTGCTGAAGCCTGGTCTGGGTAACAGGAGCGTTGATATGTACAATGGTGGCGCCCTGGTCGTAGCTATGCATGACGGCCTCAGAGGGCTCATCGTGGAAACTGGATGGCGAGGATGTGGTGGAGGTAGAGGCGCTGCGGGCGCTGCGGGTAGGAGGCGACAGAGAAGGAGTGCGCGAAGCCGCGCGAGAGTTAGAGTGGTAGGCGTACTTCTCCTGCTGGCGAGGGGCGTATGAAGCATATTCGTACGAGGACAGATTCTCCACGGTAAGCTGGTGCTGCTGCTGACGGGCGTATTCCTTCTCCTGCTCAATCATCCTGGCCTTCTCCGCCTGGCGTACCTGCCAGACACGGATAGGAGCAAGGAAGGGCTCGAGGTGGTAGTAGAGGTCCTCGGGGTTGATGCGGAGGTCCCAATCGAGGAGGAAGAGGAGCTGCTTCTCCATCAGGTTAACCTCAGTGATAGAAAAACCGAAGTTGTCGTAGCCACGGACAGCGCTGTAGCGGGCCCAGTGCTTGTTCTTGGGGGAGGAGTCGTTCAGGTTTTTGGCGGCGAGTATGAGGGAAGCAAGGAAGATGCGGTGGGTAGTGCACTTCATGCCCTTGGCAACAGGAGGAAGACGAGCCCGGAGACGGGAGAGGTAGACCAAGCTGGTCATCAGAGTAGGGACCTGGACGTGCGAGCGCTCCACGAGCGATGTGATAAACTCTTCGACGGACGGCAGGAAGGGTTCCCGGACCTGGTGGGGTGGAGAGGCGGGTGGTGTGGGAGGAAGGCTCTTATCGAGAGAAGGTTCACACCTGATGACCTGTGTGGCCTTCTGTGCGAGGTATGAGATCATGTCCTGAGAGACAGGCTGCTGAATGAAGTAGTCTAGCGCAGCACTGTTCTCCCTCGCAAGGTTTGCTGAGTAAGGCATAGTGATTGCTTGTGATGTGTTGCGGAAAGGTGGATGACGGTCGACTATCACTGAAAGTGCAAGTCGATATTGAAGCTGTGGAGCAATATGATGGTCCAATGGCAAGCGTTCAACAGATTAAGTTACGGTCTGTATGGAGTTCGGTAAGCGCAGTCTTGAGGGCTGAGACTGTGGCTTAAAGTTCGAAAGTTCGACAAGGTTGAAACACAAGGCGACAGTGGATATTAAGGTGAATGACGATTCCGGCCGGCGGAAAGTGTGATTGAATGTCGCTGCAAGGAAGTTTGGAAGGGAGAGTCAAGCTGGCGCTGCCAAGCTGTGATGGTAAGGCTGGATGGGTAGAAGTGGATTGGGCAGTCGCGGACTGAAGAATGCAACCTGCACCGCTGGGGTGTGACAGGTGTAAAGAAGGGATGAGAGAAAAGTGAAGAACTTGCACTGACCAGAAGTGTATCAGGAGTCGGTGATACTTATGCCAACTGGTGGTGAATCCCAATTGTCGTTGGTGGGGCTCCAGCGGCACGGTGTGGGCCCAATCAGCGGTCTGAGCGAACAAGGATTGGAACGTAGCGCGCCTCGCGAGACTGAGGCCAGCGGTTGTTGGCCCGATTTAGGAAGCCTGCGAGAGTTGTGGGAAGCAGTACTGCAGGACTGAAAATAGTGCGTTTCAACTTCAAGCCAGTCGTGTGCGTGGGCTTGTGTAGCCAAATCAGCGGCAGCGCCTGTCAGCCAATGGAGGCGCGTCTCGCTACGTGTTTCGAGGTCGAGCGACTTGATGTTTGAAGATGCCACTGGCTGCAGTGGTACTGGCTATACCGAGTGAGAGTCGTCGAGTGGATGGCAGACAGCGTGGCAGCGGTCAACAGGAAGCGAACTGTCTCCTGGGGACTGCAGAGACGATATGTACTCGTGCTATGCTTGTCTGGCCGGTTCTTAACGATAGTCTGGTGTTCTCGAGCCTGGTAGTGCTGGTCACGTTGGGTGCGAAGAATCGAGGCGGTGTGGTCGTGCAGTGGAGAACACTGCAGCGCTCGATGAATAGAAAGCGACCACGCTGTAGGTGCACGCCTGCTCCCATATAGTAGGTCGAACTATCTGTCTAGCACCGGACCATCCAGGCAGGTATCGCAGCGGACTTCGCCAGCATAGCATGACGAATGACGAATGCTGGCGGAGATTTACATTCTGCGCAAAATTCCCCAGCCTCCGACCGAGAACACAGCGGAGGCGACCTCAATATCATCCCTGCGCGCCGTTTTGGGTTAAAGTGCATCATGCCATCGTGAACGCGTGTTACAGTGCGTGTAGACATCGGCGTAGCATTGCGAGCGCTGGCGTTGAGAATGAATGGCTGTGGCTATGCGGTGGAGCAGCTTGGCGCGGCATCCTCCCGCCGAACGACTGGCGACCTTTCGCGCGTTGGCTGCCACATTCTGCACACCACCCGCGGGCATGCGAACAGAGTTCTTGCCCATCCTTTGACTCAATCTTCATCGGCTGTTGAATCTCCAGACCTTTAATAGCCTTGCATGAAGGCTGGCCTGATTTCCCGCCCCAAAAGGTGTTCGGCCATCTGCCGTACCGCCAACTGGATTCGACCTGATCCGGATCGACAAGTCATGCGCAAGGATGGCGGACTGAACCGGATTGGCCAGTGTGCTGTACAAACATCACCGCCGTTTCAACTCGTTTAGTTTTGACAGAATGACCGGGCCTCACATGAACGGCATGAACCATGCTGTAAAGCCACGTTAGATCAAGACACAGAAGGTCCAGCATCTGCCGTAATCAGGGTGTTGTGCTCGGCCACCAATGAGCGTTGCAAGACTCGCATCGAGATGCTCCAAGAAGCGCTGCACCGCCTCATGCAGCGGGGACAACACTGCCGAGAAGCTTCCAGGATTACCTTCCTAGAACTGCTGGCCACCGACTAAGACACTGCAACGTCATGCATCCTCAGTCAGTAAACAAACATGGTCTGACGTGCGCAAGTCATGTCACGGCATGATCCGCTGCCCCCCGCACGCAGGACCATTTGTCTGCGCGCTCTCATCCAACACTCCTCACATGGAGGTAGTTTTGACAGACACTGAGACCAAACTATGGTTCATGAGCATATTAATCTCCGAAAACACCGATTGAGCATTTCACATGGATTGTTCAAGGGCTCGATGCGGCTCTCTTTACCCGCCGGCGCGTAGATTGGCGCCTGGGTATGAGCGAGCCGCTCGTGTCACAGCCAGAATTGGCAGCGTTGGATCTTTCTTTAGATACTGCAGCCCCCGCTACACAACAGTGCAGCACGAACTTGGTTTCCAATTTGACGTTGCGGAGATTCAACTGATGGTGAACCTTGCGTGGTTCTGGTCGCCAAAGTTGTGGTCCGAACACCAGCGCATCACGTCTCAGCACCGACGTTGACATCATGGGGTTGACGCCCACCCGCCAGGCCTTGCAGCTCCTAACCTACTTGAAGTCCAGCATACTGATCTTATTTGAGTCACGGGTTTACTTTTTCGACGATTGACCCAGAACGATACCGCCCTAACGATCAACGGCCAGCCGCCATACGCGTTTGCGATGGACGCAGGAGATTGTTCTCGCTCTTGACCGGACTTCAGAGTTGAATTACCTACTGTATCGAACATTGCTCCGAATTATCGACAGCACTAGTAACAAGCGTAACTAAACGAAGTCCTACACTGTCTCTCTCACATGATGAATGGTTCCGCCGTTGCCGACCGACATTCGGCGCAATGTCACGAATCAATTTGAGGCGCAGTGACCTGATCCAGCAATAGCACAGCGACATCGTTGGAATTGGCGCATAACCACGTAGATCGTGTGCTGCGATACATACCTACACGCTGGTTGCTACAGGTCAAAGGATGAGCTGGATCATAATGTGGCAGCGACGTAACCAGCTATCTTCGCTGTGCTTGCGTGTAAATACGAGTTCGGGCTTGGCAAGATCCATTGGTGCACTGGCGCTCAAGCGCCGTGCGTGTATAGCTCGCCTGCACTGGGCGATCTCTTGGCTCAGAAGTTGGAAGTATTCGACGAGCGTGATTACGATAAGCTTTCCTGGATCTGACTGCTACCACCAATGTGTTGGACTCCTGCATTCAATTCGGCGGTCAACGGACTTCGCAGCCAACCATCGCACGTCAAACAGGCCCTGGAACTCGTTCATGCAGATGGAACGCCTCACTGAATCCCCCCATACGTATGACGCCTTCTCTGGACTTCCTGAAATGGAAAACGCCTTACGGAAATGAGTAGTGGCATCGATTCAGAGTTACGAGTAAGCAAATCCCTTTCAGCTCAGATCATACTGGATTGCGATAGCCGTCATCCTCCACAGGTTCGAACAGGAGTTGCAAACGGACAATTGGATTCCAGCTTCAGCCTCAAATTCTCGCCTTCTTCATCACCGGTTCGGCTGCCTCCCCACTGTCCTTTCTCTTTCTCTCCTCGCTATTCTTGGCCTTCCTCATTTCCTCCCAGATCTTCATCACCTGCTCTTTTGCAGTCGCAGCCTCCTTCTGCGCGGCTTCTAGTTTCTGGTTCTTCTCTTCTGATTCCTTCACAAACAGTCTGACCTGTTCAGCCCATCGAGCTTCGCACTTGCACCCCTCGTCGTGCTCAGCAGTCCTCCATTGCAAATTCTCTTTGGTGCCTGTATAGCCGCTACGATACCCTTGAGCTTGTCCTTCGCGACCGAGAGACGCCCTTCATAGTCATTGATCACATCCCTCATTTTACTGCTGACTTCTGCGAACTCTGTGTCATGAGCTTTATTCGCAGCTTTGACCTTCCGTTCGGCTTTGCCCGCTCTTGCTGGCTGGAATGCAAGGAGACCCTTGAGTTGGCTGACTTCCTTGCGAAGGCTGGCAATATCCGCGGTGCTCTTCTTTGGTGTTTCGTTCATCGTTTTGAGAACCTCGTTGAAGGCGTTAGTTGTGGACTCGGGCTGCTCGGGCCTCTCTTCCGCTTCCACCTCCGAGTGCTCGGGATGTGTGCCGGTTACCTTGAGAATCCAGTTCCACCTCTCCGTGACCGGTAGGATGTTCTCAGCCCTTGGATGCCCAGATCCATCGTAGGTGTACAGAAACAACAGGTTGTTATGTCTAATCCACCCGAAGCCATTGTTCCGGTGTTGAGGGTGCTTGATCATGATGATCTGGCTCGGGCGCGAGAACTTGATTGCGATGTTGTTTGGATACGCGATACCGTGAGGCAGAGCGACCGGGTCGGTTCTGTTCTCATGATAGCCTGGATGCTGTGTGGAGTGCAGCTGGGGCCACGTCCACGGGTCCCTGGGATCATAGTCGGGGTTATAGGTTTTGGCGCGGGCTTGAATGGTGTCCGTCTCCCACGAGAGATCGCCATTCAAGACTGGCAGGTCGCGCAAGCACATCTTCTCTTTGACCATTTTGAGAGCGTATGATAGTGGCGAAGGGGGATGTGGAGAAGGAAGGGCAGATGGTCTTGTAGGAGGGAGTATGATGGGCTTGAAATGATAGTAGGCCACCGTGTCAGAGTCCTCACATGCAGATTTTGACCAACCCGTCTCTCATCCTCCGTCTTCACTGTACGCCATCGTTAGCCATGCTGGATAATCTCGCGCCACTCGATCAACGATGTTAAAAGCCCTGTCGGCTGATATACCAGTGGTATGATTCTATACATGAAGCTGAATTGTTCGTGCCAAAGCCATACCCGCTGCTCGGGCGCTCGGATCTTTTGCGTCGCGGCTTGAATTACTTTGTTCGTTTTGGCGGTGTGAGTGCTCATGGTGCCCTCGCTGGTCTGGGGTTAATGTTGCATGGCCTCGTGCTTGGTCTGCATCTCCAGCAAAGAAGTGGAAGCTGTCGCACCATCCCTTTTGGAGATCTCCATGCTACCTCCTGCTGTGCTTGCGTATGGAGAATGTCCGTTTTACTGAAGACTGACCGTGGCATTGGCTGATCGGTGATGCGATACAGTGCGTCCGGGATATACTTCCCATCCATCGCCGCGCCCTTCATCAGCGTCCTGCATTCTCCTAACTAGTCAACCAGCAGATACGGGTGCTGTCTCATTTTACCGAACTGGTTGAAGTTGAAAAGGCAGTCTGCGAACATGGCCTCGATCTTGCGGCCTGTGAGGTTAGGTCTGCAGCCGACCTTTTTCACCAGCGGAATCACGTAACATGCATTTGTCACAACGTGCGGGTAGTGTCTTACTGCTCTGGTCAGCGTCTCCCACTTTCGCACTCTGGAGCCACTCACATGGTGGGAAGAAGCTTGCAGCCATTCTGTTTCGCCTGCTCTCTTGCGCAGATACAGCGCTTTCCTATTTCTCGTACGGCTACGAAGGAGCGCATTTGAGAGGTCCAGATGGATCGAGCAGGCCTTAGATATAAGGAATACATATCGAAATACGAGACATGAGTAGAGAAGAAGGGGCTGAGTTTTCAGATTGATCTATAGAAGAAGTAGCGCACAAAAATTGGTCCATCACACACCCGGACCTGTCATGAAATTTACCGGCACCGAAGAACGCCAGAACACCCGTAACCAAGGTATGACTGATTGTCGTTATATTTTCGACGGGTATCGTAGGAAATGAGAAAAGAAGGAACCGCTTCTTAGGATTGTCAATCGTGGCTATGAAGAAGTCCGTAGAGGTGACAAGAAAGATGTAGTAACACTCACGTCTGACACGCTAAGAAGCGCAGTACCACAGCACCAACGGACAATGGTATGTAGATGTAGTGAGACACCTGTGAATAGTAAGAAATCGAGTGGTCGTAGCCAGGGAAGGAGATCGAACATATGACAATATGAGAAGGAAAGAAGGTTCCACTGTGCAACTCTGTAAAACTCTGGCGACGTTGGCGTGGTACTGGGCGAGGAGGACGAAGAGTGTCGAGACCTAAGCCTTCTGGCTGGGTTTCTTGACGCCTCCGCGGCCAGAGGTACGAGAACTGCGCTTATAAGGAGACTTGGACGGTGACTTGGGAAGGCGCGACTTGGCTGGAGACTTCTTGGGAGTAGTGGCCTTGCCTGGGAGCTGAGGGAGAAACTCGATAGACGGAACTTGCTCAGTCTCATTCTCTTGCAGCATCTGAGAGATGACGTCCATGGTGTCCTTGACTTCTGACGAAGTCTTTCCCTTGCCGATGTATTGATCGAGCTCGCGGAGAACATCGATTGGCGCCTCGAATGCCTTGCCAGGAACGGGTGCTACGGCGGCCGCAGCGTTCTCTGCGCTCAAGCCTTGGGCGACCTTGCGTGAGAAATCGTTTATGCGGTCCTCTTCAGACTTCTTCAACGTGATGTCGTACGTGGTACCAGGAAATTCGGCTTCAATGACATCGAACTGGCGGAGAATGAGCTTGACCTTGCGAACCTGCCAAAGTGTCTTGTTGTAGGTAGCACGCTGATAATGCTTGCGACAGAACAGAGGCCAGTCAGTAATATCTAATATGTTAGCCCAGATGTACTCAACGTCGGGAATGACTATTAGAGACTTACCTCGGGTACAAGCCTTGTTGCGACCAAAGTGGTCAGAGATGACCTTGCGGGAGAGCGCCAGAGTGTACTGGCCAGTGCGACACTTGCTGTACTCATCATTCATGCAAATGAACTCACGCTCGACTAGGTCATCGTCGACGGCGGGCAGAGTGACCTGTTCACCAGCGTCAGGCGTGTCGACCTCCTCGGGGAGCTCGATCATCTCGGACATGACAGTGTCGGTGGGGCTAGTAAGCTCATCCTTGCGGGGTGAAGGGTCTCGCTTTGGAGTTGAAGGCGGTTCGAGAACCGGAACTTCGGCGGCGAGCTTGGGAGTAGCGCCCGCAGGCGGAGCAGGGTCGGTGAGAAGGTGAGAAAAGCTCATCGCGTCACGGATAGAAGACGGAGTGATAGTGGTGGTTGGAGAGAGCTCGATCATAGTCTGCGAGGCCATCATGATCAGCTGGTGCTAAACGAAATAGGCTAAGTCTTGCAAAAGACGGGAGTGTGAGTGAAAGTGCATACAGACCAAACTTCCAGCGGGTCGAGATCTGGCTGCGTATTATAGAATAGAAGGAGATCCTGGGAGAGGTCAGCGAGGGGCTTATATGGATCTCAGAAAACTAGAGTACAGGTGGCGTAGGGCAGTCGAGGTGAAGTCGTCTTCACAATCGAGCGTTTGAGTTGGTGCCTGACGATTGATGGCACCATCTAAGGATTTGCCCCACCTGCAGCTCGCAAGTCACTACTTGAAGGATTGTACCAATAGCCAGTACCTTGGAGACGGCGAGAGCGACATCGGAATCTGCGTCGACCTGGTCGATATTGGCAGAGCTGACATCGAACCGTTTGCGTAGTAGTTGACGACGTCCTCAGGACTGGGCCCACCTGATAGACGGACTCATGGGTTGGCAGCGAAAGAATGAAGCAAACTTGGCAAACACGACGATCTAAACCTAATATTACTTGAGAGCTATGTCAAACAACCTATGAAGGCTCACGTGAAGAGACATGACTGACGTGACCTACGATCAACGCACCGTCGCGCAGGTGCCTTATGGCAGGACACGACTGTGATGTGACTAAACCATGATTAAGAAGGTTGCACCAAACACTCTGAGAGTCGATGCAGGAGACGTAGGCTGAGTACATGTGGAAAAGCCTCCCCCAGACACGCTGCAGAATGAATGTGGAGTGCACCTGATACTGGCCCAGCTCTTACTCCACGGACTAGAGTGGCATGAACTTGAAACTTGGAATGAGCCTGTCCGACACAATGACAATTCGTGCTTGAGTGCGAAACTACACGCGTCCACAAAAACTGGAAGTGAGAACTCAAGAGCCGGGGCTGCTACCTGCGTTTGCGGTGGGGTTTCATGTTAATGGTAGAGATCTGCTCAGAGACGTGGCGACCAAGCGCAAGCTCATTGCTATAGAACTTGGAAATCAACTTTACAACCTATGCGATGGGTGTCGGGGGCACTGTGAGGTGTGAAGGAGTCGTGCTTGTGGATCAACATAAACGCCGACCGCCCGAAGCCGTCACAACCCGTGACCCGTCTTTCGTCAGGGCTCTTGGCTGCGCTGCGCAGTGTGTTCCTCCTCTTCGCTCGCTCCCTCAGGCTTCTCAGTTGGGCAATTTGCTGGACACGCACGCAAACTTAATGACATCGCTTGAAATGCACCCACACGTCACGTCGTCTACGCTAGTTCAGTCCACCTACTTTGCTCTGCGCTGAGCGCGTCTGCGGCAGCTCGCTCTCGGTCGTGCAACCAGCCCTGAGCTCCCACCGCTACGATGCCTCCCACGACAGGCACACGAACCTCCACACGGCAGGGCCGCGCCACTGTCCGCCCTACGAACTACTATGCACGCGGCTTTGCCGGCCGTCTTGCCGCACATGGGCTGGAGCAGACGCCCGAAGCCTCCAACAGCGCGCCCGGCTTTTTCCCCGCCCTCACACACTTTACCGGCGCTGTCGATGCCTTTCCGAAGGAAGTTATCAAGCACTTCTCAATGTTCAAGGAGGTCGAGGCCAAGCTCCACGACCCTGAGCTCCTCCTGGAGGAGCTGCTCAACGAGATCGCTCGACAGCCCATTACCACGAACGCCCAGCGGCGCGCAGTGGAACAGAACGATGATGACGCAGTCCAGAATGCGAATGTAAGGATCCCAAGTCCCGACTGCGCGACCCGAACGCTGACACATCCCAGCAGCCTCCTACCGACTTCGCCAGCCTCTCTCCAGCGGAGCAGGCTTTGGTCAGGAAGCGCCAGCTCTTCCTGCGTTTGCGCATGCTCATCCAAACAATCCTCCCGACTCTCGACGAGAAGCTGGTCGTGCTCCAGGGCGCGAAAGCCACGAAAGAAAAGGGTCTCACGCGCATGACGCACTCATACTCGCAACTCGATGCCGAGATCAGCGAAGAGGCGCGCTACGGCAGTCTCACGCATTGGGCATACGCAGATAAAGAGGAAAAGAAGAAGGGTGCGCCAAACCACGAGCGGCAACGGCGTGAAGTAGCTGCTGCGAACAACCTGGCCGCAGCAGCCCAGCACGTTCATGACGTGGACTCAATTGCAGCGAAAAGCGAGGCTCGTCGCGAGGCGATATTGGCTAAGCGCAGTCGCCAACAGCAGGCCGACTCCGATTTCGACGACCGACCAGCGGCGAAGAAGCCACAGAAGAGAAAAGCCCACGCGCCTGACACCTCAGCAGCAGACCATCGAGCTGTTGGTCTGGGCATATCGGGCAATGTTTCGGGACAGAGCAAGAGGAAGAAGACTGAAAAGGCCCTGACAGCAGCTGCGCCTTCATCCGCGCCTATGGAACGCTCAATAAGCGGTGCTTTGAAGGCTGTGAACAACACCGCACGAGCAGGCTCCAGTCCTCGAGCAACACCTAGCATCGAGAATGGTGCCAATGCCAAACGAAAGCCGCGCACAGCTCCTGCGCCTACTCCTCGCAAGAACCAACAACCTACCTACTCTCCTCCGCCCGCATCCTCACCACTCGCCGCCAACTTCGCCATCAACAAAGCTATCGCAGGCGCTGCAGATCGGCCTTTGTCGTCAAGAGCAAGGAAGAATTCCATCGCAAAATCTGCTGCGTCCGGCAGCGCGCCTGAACCCGCACCCGTGCGACGACCATCCACCTCGCACTCAGTTCAGCAAGCTCCAAGCAGCAATGCGATTACCGAGCTCGAACAGGCTGCGGGTATCGTGCGCGACCACGAGTCTGCCCAGGGCGCTTCGACTGCCCAAGACACAACCGAAGGTCCCGTCTATTTGTTACCGACGGTTCTGAAGCAGGAAGATCAAGAACACATACAGAAGGTACCTGAGTGCATGGACATCGACACGCCAGCGGCCATTTCGTCTGCGGCTAGAGCTGCCCGGGCATCTAAGCCTGGAACGCCTGTGGTAGGCTCATTCCCTGAGATACCCATGGCGCGCAGTCGCAGTACTCGCAACGCACAGAACGGCAATTCGAACTCGAACGGCTCCTCGGAGACCAACAGCACAGTAGCAGGGGCGGTGTCGAAACGAAGCAACAAGAAGAGCGGACCTTCTATCACGTCAGCGGTCGACTCACCCGCGCCTAAGCCTACACCAGCTGCACAATCGAACCCCCCCTCCTCCGCTACGAGCTCCGTCGCCCCCGAGCAGGAATACCAAGATGCAGAGACAGATGAGGGCGATGACGAGCCGCGGTACTGCTACTGCAATGAGGTGTCGTATGGGCAGATGGTTGCCTGTGACAACGACGCGTGCCCGCGCGAGTGGTTTCATCTTCCCTGCGTGCAGCTCGAGAAAGCGCCCGTTGGTAGGACTAAATGGTTCTGCAGTGACGAGTGTCAGGAGCAGCATGCAAAGGCCAAGGCAAAGGGGAAACGTCCGGGCAGTAGTAGACAATAGGAATTCGGAAGGAGTTCAAGGCGTTCTGGGACGGGTCCACCGGCGAGTGGGTCTAGGCCAGGCCCGAAAGGAAAGGGCACGGCTAAGCTTAAGGATATCTGGGTTGGATGGAATGCTCTTTGAAGCTCCCATCTGCTTTTTCTGGGTTTGTGGGTTTTGCGGCGTTCAGGTCCGGGGTGTTCCGACTCCGCTCATGATTATGACACCTGGAACCGACTCCATTGGAACAGGCATGTGGGAAGGTATTCGGTTTGGGGCGTTTGTTCGGCTTGATCTTCTGCATGGCCTCGCAGTTGGGCATCTCCACGCCTTTCTTGTGTGTACGGTTACATGCGCCGCCTCATCTTTTAGAGAGCGAACCGCATTAGATCTGTTCCTTTCACGCATTTTCAAACATGAACAAACAGCGCATACATAGCGACAGCGAAGTGTCACGGCCGCAACCATTAAACACATGCGTAACATAGGCAACGCATTATATGTAGCGATCGCGCTCGAAACACCATCCTTGCACGACTTTTGTAATCGTCAATGATAATTGGTCACACGACAAACGCTCAGCCTCAGCGTGGACCCTGTATTTGTCTAGCTGCAGCGCAGTAACAACACTCACCGCCACCCTAAGCTCTTAGTACATGTGTCTTGAGCGTCTTTTCCATCATTCAGTCTTTTGATTCCAACACTGCTTCAGAACTCTCAATGGCACCGAAGAACATCCCTACCGCTGAAGAGCAGCTTATTGCGGAGCCAGAAGGCGGGGCACCAAGCTCCCCGCCAGATCTCCGATTCCTGCATTACAACGATGTTTACCATATCGAAGCTGGAAGTCAAGAGCCAGTCGGTGGTTACCCACGATTTCAAACCTTGATCAACTATTATAAAGGCGATGTGCGGTTTGAAGGGCAACCAAAAGCCCTGACGTTCTTCTCAGGAGATGCATTCAATCCAAGCATCGAGAGCAGTATAACGAAAGGCAAGTGGAAGGCAACGAAAGCTTCAGCATTGAGGATTATACGAGAACTATTTTACTGACCTCATACAACAGGCAGCCACATGGTGCCTGTGCTCAACACGATAGGCACTGATGTATCTTGCGTGGGGGTAGGTCGCATGACACCTGTCAATGCTCACATGGCTGACCACGTCTGCAGAACCACGACCTGGACTTCGGTGTAAAGCAGTACCGATACCTGACCTCCAAATGCAAGTTTCCGTGGCTACTTGCAAACGTTTTGGATCCCGCTCTCGGTGACAATGTCTCGCTCGGTAACGCAAAGAAGACAGTAATGCTCACATCGTCCAATGGCATCAAGATTGGTGTCATTGGGTTGGCAGAGCGAGAGTGGCTCGACACAATCAACGCACTGCCTCCGGATATCATCTACAGGAGCGCATCGGCAACTGCGAAGGAGCTTATTCCGGATCTGAGGAAGCAGGGTGCTGAGATCATTGTGTGTGTCGCCCATCAGCGGGAGCCTAACGACAACAAGCTCGCCGAAAACTGTGGTAGTGAGTACATCGACCTTATCCTGGGTGGCCACGACCATTACTATTCATACAGCCTAATCAATGGTACCCATGTCCTCCGATCGGGAACGGACTTTAAGCAGCTCTCCCACATCGATCTCTGGCGCAAACCCGATGGTAAAGGTTGGGACATGAAGATTATACGACGCGATGTGGTGAGCAGTATCAAGGAAGACGCTGAGGCTCTCAAGCTGGTCGAAGAGCAAACCCGCGACATCAAGAAGCGACTGGACAAGCCTGTCGGGTACACGGCTGCACCGCTAGATGCCCGCTTCACAACTGTTCGAACGAAAGAGTCCAACATCGGCAACTTTGTGTGCGATCTGATGCGCTACTACTACTCAGCCGAGTGCTGTATTATGGCTGCTGGTACGATCCGAGGTGATCAGGTCTACCCGCCTGGTGTACTGAAGCTGCGAGATCTGGTCAACTGCTTTCCTTTCGAAGACCCTGTAGTCGTCCTCAATGTTACCGGGAAGCAGATAGTTGAGGCTCTAGAGAACGGTGTCAGCAACTACCCGGCGCTGGAGGGCAGATACCCACAGGTCTCGAATATCACGTTTGACGCCGATTACTCCAAGGCACCAATGTCGAGAGTGTCAAATGTTACGATTGCCGAAGAAGTTGTGGGTAATGAGCGGGTATACAGGCTTGCGACGCGTGGCTACATGGGCCGCGGCAAGGATGGGTACAAATCTCTGCTCATCGAAGAGGAAGGAGGTACCGCTGTAGAAGTTGTCAGTGAGGAGAACGGTGTGCTTATCTCCACTATCCTACGACAGTACTTCATGTCGCTGAAGGTGCTCGGCAAGTGGAAGCGCTGGGGGAAGTCGATGGACAAGAGGTTCTTGAACATCCAGACAAATCTCCAGGAGAACCATAAGCACGGCTTCCATGAGCCGTCACCGACATCCCCATTAGAAAAGAAGAAGCCGCAGTTGCCCGGCCTCGACCGAGTTGTCAAGCAAGCTCAGGAAGCAGCTGCCGGGAGCGAGTCCGAGGATCCGGATGCCGACGAGGATGAGGACGATGGCGCAGAGTACGACGGAAGAATACCAATCACATTCAACCAGCAGGAGATGGATCTTCTGAGAAAATCGCTGCGCAAGTGGATGAGGCTGGCCAAGCTGCAGGACTCAGCGAAGCTTTGCGACGAGCTCGGCCAGGAAGAAATCCAGGTCAACTGGACAAAGGCGATTGCGCCGAGGTTAGAGGGCAGAATCAACGATATTACGCCCGCAAAAGCGTAGTACTGTAGTAGTGCACACATTAGGTAAAACGACAAGAGAGGTCTTCAGAGCCAATAATGAAACGCGCCATCACGTGCACGCGTCAATGATTTGGTTTGAGCGGATGTGACATGATGCAGGCGGGCGGATACGACACCCCTACTTTCCACACTTCGCAAAGTTGCCAGTTCCGGAAAGTATCCCAACCACAAGCCCCACACCAGACTTTCATCATCACATGTCGATCTTCAGCCTCCCAAAGGAGCTGCGCCTGCAAATCTGGTCGCTCGCATACTTCGCCTCACCGCCTCGGCTCGTGACATTGCGCACCTCGCCCCACAACGAGCAACACACCGAATCTACCTTCTGTCCACGATACTCACCCACGCCAGCGCCAACAGTGTTCAACATCTGCCGCGAATCCCGGGCGGAGGCCGAGTACGAGGCGCGACGTCACAGGCACCTGATTAGCTTACCCTCCCCGCTCGCTTCAGAGCCGCAAGGGTTCTATTTTCGGCTCGACACGGATGTCTTGTTCATCGATCTCGAGGCGGGGAACAAGCACTTCGACGACTCGCCTGATGCCGGGCTGCTGGCCCATTTCCTGGAAGCGGGAGGGTGTGATGCGGATGCGCTGAGGAAGATTGCGATTACGCAGATTGTGCGTGTTGCATTTGTCGACGGCGCGTTGAGCAATTGCCTGAGGGATTTCCCAAACATCGCGTATCTGGTCATGGTGCTTGATCTGAGAGATATGCGCTCGGTGCAGGAGAAGGAGAGGTTTGTACTTGCTGCCAGACGCATTGTTACGCAGTATCGGCTCGATATGCGGATCAGGGCGAAGGCCAGGGGGGAGGTGTATGTGCATGATGAAAAGCGACTTGATCTTGATTTCGCCCTACGGAAGGATGGAGAACTTGAGGTTCTGAACAAGAGCGTCTGGGAGGGCTGGGGCGAACTGGAAAGAGGATGGTGGAAGGAGGATGTGCCGCAGAGGTACATCGATTTCAACTTCTGATCATGTGGTATTTGTATTACATTACAGTCTGTCAACGCCTCAAGCATGCCCGGTGCGAGGCTATGGAATCTCAAGGTAAATTCTGTCGCCTTCCTTCGGCTCTTCCAAATAGTCATTTGGTGTGTCGGTCGGCAGCTGATGCTTCTCGGCCCAGTCACGGACAGCGTCGAAGTTCCTGCAGGTGTGGATAGTGTTGAAATCGACAAACGGCTCGATGGCTGAGTCCGGCGGCTGGTACCAGACTTGGCCCAGCACGCCAATGTCGATGCTGCACATCAGCTGCTGGCGGATGATGTCAAGGCAGTGTGCTGCGGAACAAGTAAGCTTTCGTTACTATGTCAGGGTTCAATTGAAGCCGACTTACTGACGTGTGCCTTCAGGATATGATCATCGTTCGCGAAAGGCCCCATCTTCATCGCCTTGTAGTATTCGATGTTCCAGGATAGCGACTTCCGGAGCAGGTTCAGGCAGTGCAAGTGGTGCAGGCCCTCTACGTTCGCAGGAAAACCGCCACCGTACTTCTCCTTGATCTTCACCTGATCGGCTCTGATGTTAGATTTTGTGGCTTCGGAAGCTGGGATGCGGACAGCGCTGAAGTCTGCCCCGAGACTCTTCCAGGCTGCATCGACCTCGGGACCGGCATCTTGCCGGAAGGCATTGAGCTTCAAGAAGGATCCGTTGAAACGAACTTTCTCAAATTTCATGTCTGCTTCAATGACAATTGGAGCTGAGTTGAGTCAGTGGCTGGTATACTGCGTGTCTGGGGCTACAACATACAGTATTGTGAGATATGCCGTATGCTGAAGGCATCGGCATTCAGTCCTTGCCGTCCAGCCCAGGCACCGAACAGCGCTGAAAGTACTGCTGTGCAGAAGATCATGATAGCTGTAGTTACCCATGACTGGCGTCTTGAAGGAGTTTTTGTGGGGTGTCCATCGAGCGACGAGGTTTCGCTATGAGGGAGAAAGCTCTCGCTCTCCTCCATCTTGACTGGACTATACGATTCTGCCCGCTTCTGTGTCTTGATGCCAAACATATTGTTGCTTTAGACGAAGAGAGATTGCAAAGAGGAAAATACTTGGGAGGAAAACGACGACAAAGACCATGAATGTGCTGAGCAGCAGGGGTGCGACTTTTGCAGCAAACCTTCCAAGGCGATTTATTTTTGGGGCTATACGAATAGCATCGAAGATATCGCTGAGATGAATAAGCCTGAAGCTACGCATCATGCCGTATTGTAGAGCTACCCCGCCAAAGCTGATCGCAAGTGCATTCGCTAGTCTACAAAACTGAGCTGAATGAGTATCACGCCTCATAAATAGCGCATGCTTGTGGCGCTACGGCTGATTCTAGCCGGATGCTCGATCAGATCCACGATACTTGGTGCGCAGACGCTTCTGAAGTTGCTCATCTGTTCCACAACTCCACTGTAAGCCTACGCCAAGAATGCTCAGCCTCAAGATTGCTCACATGCAGCAGAATCACATCCAACAGCACACTTCTTCTTTGTCGCGCAATAGCACGCCGTTCGTAATACCATCACGACATTCGCCACGATAGCTTTGGAATCGTGTTCTTGCGTTACCCTGCATGCAACCTGCATCGAGCTACCGCGTAGCAGCATACGCGAGAGCTGACAGATACCCACGTGATATCCTCACAACCACTCACGTCCGTGCAGTGATTAAGACCTAACCGGAGATATTCACAAGAACGCTATCGGGCATCGCCATGCGGAAACCCCGGAAAGAGCATACGAACAAGACCTGCGCTATACAGCTACCAAGGGCAGCTAGCTCGGTCTATTTTCAGACTACTAGCACGCCCTTCACCACCTTCCAGTGCAAGACATGGCTATATGCGTCTGGATGCACGGCAAGCCGACGGCTACTCCGCCCCCATCAGGCAAAACCTTGACGTCGTGATGGCATGCGCAAGCCATACGAGCACTAAACATCCCGCAATCGATAAATCCAGCGTTAGTGCTGCACGACGATGACTTCGTCAGTGAGCAACACTGAGTCTGTGAAGGATAGCACCGCTGATCGGTCTGACTGTCCAAGACAACGTTAGCGAGGTTAAGCTGAGTGACGGAGGCCTCGATATACGACCATGGAATCAGTATATGAAGCTCTGCCCGCTTCGCACTGGAAGCCATCACGCCACAACAACTCAGAGGTTCTATCTCGAATAACAGCCTCGGATCATTATTGTCTTCATTTCTACATTCACACTCTTCAAGATGAAGTACGCGTTCGCTCTTCTCGCCCTTGCGGCTGCGGTCACTGCCGCCCCCACCGCCAATCCAGATGCCCAGCCTGAGGCCGAAGCAGCACCCACTGACACCGGTTACGGAAAGTACGCCAACTACGGTATGCTGCTTTCTCCCAATGCTATTCGAGGTACTGACATCGTCCAGGCTCATACCCACCACCCAAGGGTGGCTATGGTAAGTATGCCGACTACGGCAAGTACGGAGCTGCCAAGCGCGATGCTGAGGCTGAGGCCAATCCCGATGGCTATGGGAAATACGCCGACTACGGTATACCTAATGATAATCACTCTTGAATGACTATAGCTGATCACATACAGGCAAGTACCCCCCACCG